AAATTCAGGCAGAAAAGTATAAGAAAAACTTATGTAACACGACCTTTGTGGATAATTCATTTCACACTGAAGCGATACTACGTTTGTGACATATCATTGCTCTTCCAAGACCTACTTTAATAAATCTAATGACAACCACCGAATCGAAGTTATCCTTCACATACGTCGTCCTTGCCTATAAAACCGATACACACGGATACATTGTTTGTAATCCGCTTACAAATATAAATAACGTAGTACAAACATCGTGATTGTGCGTAAAGTTTATCTCGAAAATTGTTTTTAAAGCTGTTTCCAACAAGTCTGTATTTTTGTTTATGGTGGCGATTAAAAAAATGATAAATCTGACGCTCTTCACGCGTTTCGGAAAATAAGTAATAAATAAATAATAAATAGAGGATCGTTTTTTTTTCAAAAAATTTTTCCTCGATTTGAAAGAATTGTAGGGACACTATCATAATGCCTTCAACCCGTTTTTGAAAAGAATTGTAAACATACTTGCATACACGATCAGGTTTCCGTAAATTATCTTTGTTTTTCGAATACCTAATGGGTACCAACAGATCGTGTTTTTTGTGTAGAAAAATCTGCGGTTTGGGAATTATGGATTTTAAAGCCGCAATGTTTCGTAAACACAAAGATATGTCCTGCAAATTATTGTAATTGCAGTTTCGTCGGCAGAAACTTACCTTACATTTTTTAGAATTAATTTTATAGCGTGGTATCGCGTAAATTGCAACAACTTTGTAATATTTATTATTTAAAGCTAAAATGTATTATTCGAGACGACCAGAGCATTGGAAAAATTCGCCATTTTCAAAAATGCTTGGTGTTAGTTGGCCCGTTCCTGAAAATTTGGTACAATAGTAAAATGGCAAATTTCTTTGGAATATAAATGTTTTTTTTTTTACTTTATATTAAATCGATATTTATGCAGTCGCTTAAAACACATTTTTCTCTTATGTTTTTACTATTTCGAACACTCGCTGTCTGATATTACAAAGTCGTAGCTGACTTGAAATATTTTTTCATATTTTAATACTGCACAAACGAATACAACAGACTACTTACCATTAAATTGCAAATGAGCCTGTTCCTCATTATGCAGAAATGTCTTATCTCCCATTATTAATAAATTTTATGCGGAAATATTAATATTCGCATTATATTTGTGAAAAGTGCCACCATATGTCGCTTACAGGAGGAATCTATTTTGAATACCCAACGTCTAATGTTTCGTAGGAAATAGCGATCTTAACATTTTAAACTTATTTGTTGCGTATTAAACGGTATTCAAAACGGTATCAAAATGTAGTAGAATTTCAAGAAAAAACATTCAGGATAAAATCTTATATTAAAAATAGGTTTGGCGGTCTGCTTGAATATTAAATGTTTCATGTTTTCATGTTTCATTTGTCCTACATAAAATGGTATTTTGTGTTTTTAAGCCTAATGTTAAATCACATACAAGTTTTCTTAAAAAATGAGTTAAAACTTGCAGTGGCTTAAACCTACTTTTACTATTTAAATTAAAAAAAAAATAGTGTAAAAATTTTACTAAATTTTTGTTGACTTCCACTTTTTTCGCAACTGCTCCTTTTTTATTATAAATCGTATTTCTGCCATCAACCCAATTCGACTCTTGTATTGTGGAACAGCTGCAATATTCAACTTCGTAACTTCCACATAATTGTTGAAAGTAAGGTATTCTGTTGACAAGGATTCCGAAGGTGAATCAATTTTAAATACTTTAAATACTTTTGTTAACAATTCATATAATGTATATTCATATAAAACGTGGGTCACCATGTACAAATGGCTAACAAAATAACAAAAATCAATTTGCATAGATATGCACAATGGGCCAATCTCAGTACTCATTCAGATTATCTCAAAAAGATAAAAACGGTAATATCTGCACGGAACTTGCCCTCGATCATCCAAATTCAGTTGAAACAAAGATGTCGCACGATCGACGACTTTCTTTCCGTTTGTTCTCGGATATAGTGTAAATCATACCAGGCGGTAATTCTTAGGGAACAGCGTAAACGTCATGGCACCTGTCCAAGTATTAAGAGATGTCATATACGTCGGGATTCCGGCGAGGATAGTATGTGAAAAGTAAGTTTAGAGAAGGACTTTTTTCGTGCAGTCAGTTGTTTCCTAATAATATTCTTCATTTTCTTGATATCGCTATTATCAAAAATCATCTGGTAATACCACTGCAATTCTGCTCCATTCTAATGAGCCAAAATTCCTATAAGTAAAGTAGTAGATGTTTTTCTACTCCCTTCTGTAAAATATCTAAGTACACACCAATCCTGGGTGCGGGAAGCGTCACTTTACCGCGTGAGTTTCTTGTCCCACGTATCCGAGCGACTTCGGATATTTCCGGTATACTGCCGCACAGGTTTGAGAGCAATCGGATGTTTTCGGAGATTTACCACTCGGTTCAAATTTTAACGTTTGTCAATTCTGACGGTCATGTCAGTGAATGTATTCGTGTTGCACTTTGCAAAACTGCACCCAAAAAGTAACGGACGTAGAAAAGAAAATGCGACACGTTTGCAAAACTTTTTAAGTCACTCAGTCACACAAAAACAAGCTGATGTATAGACGAGAATGTATTATTGCTGCCAAAAAATGTAAATTCAGTTAAGAGGGCTTTTTAAAAGAAGGTTTGCTAATACTATACCGGATGCTTGTTACAAAACTTCTGGATTCCTTCTGCGTCGGTTTTTGCTTAATAGAAACTGCTGACGTTTCTCCAATCATCCTGTTGGCTTCTTCAGAGCTTGACTGAACAAAAACCCAGAAGAAGAAGAAATCCAGAAGTTTTGTAAAAAGCATTACAGTAGCCTGTGGAAGTTTGTTTGAAAAACTATAGCGGATGACGACGAAGCTATGTCCACGGCAGTATTTCAAAATGGCTTGAGATAAACATATGCAGTTTGGTATGTTGATAATATTGAATATTGTAGACATTTGGAGGAAAAAAATTGTCGAATCATCAACTAGTATATTTTCAATTTTTTGGACTCGCTAAACAATTCTAAACAACTCTTTGTTTAAACAATTTTTGAAATAATGCTATAACTGACAAAATTTAGGTTCTCGTGCGAAAGGATTGTTTACAACTTAAAAAAATATACACCTTTTTTCTTCTTTTCAATTTTGTGTACATGGAAGTTGAATTTATCATAATTGGATGTGGGATAAAAAAGTAGGTTGGGGTTCATTTTTGTAAGTTAAACTGTTTTCGTGAAGTAACTGATTGAAAAATTGGTTCGCGATAACTGCATTTTTTTTTAATGGCGTCAAATTTTATTGTTGATGTTTTATTGCATTGTGTTTTCAATAAGGAGTAAGCCACCGTAATATTTCTTGTTCTTGCCTGCATTGTTTTTATTTTACTATTATGGTAAATTTTTCAACGGCTGAATTTCAGAAACTTTTGTTTTGCCACAGAGAAGGTTGGATGAAAGTTGACAAAACTATTGGTCGATTAATGTGTGATGTGGAATAAAACACTTTAAATTTATTAAACCACTTAACGCGATATTTAAACTTTTTTCAAAATGGTTTATTCCAACTTAACCAGGATGAAAGGCCAAGATGAAATCCTCATAAAATGGAAGTAGCATACTGTAAATACACCCTTAACCGCGCTGTTGTGGTTGTCTCCCTGATTTGTACGATGTGTACACAATTTTTTATACGTAGTAGAAAAATATAACAACGTAAGTATAATATTTCTGTCAAAACCAGCCAAACAAAAAAAAGAGTAATTTCACGTCCTTAAAATTTGCACTATCTTGTTCAAGACCCTGTATTATATTCTACAGGTACGTACGTGATGTTGGTGTAAACCTTAGAAATAAACAAAGCTTGCATTCTGGCATTTCGAAAAATTCATGAATATTAAAAAACCCATTAGCATATCTCACTGATTGGTCGTAGTTTTTATCTATTCACCCACCTTAAAAATTTATTGCATTACGTTTATATGATTTTATGTTTTTGCGTGGGAATGAGCCCGAGTTATAATTTTAACACGATTTTTACAACAATTCGAAAGAAGTAAATCAATTATTCGCGAACACGCAAAGTCCATTAAAAATTGGAACGGGCATAGAAAACATTTTTAAAAACGGGTGCGTATGAACAGGCGACAAAACGTGGTTCTGCTGAAACTGCGTCGCATCGTTGTTTTCATTTAAAACTGGAACGAAATTACACCTGTCGTTTGATATTAGGCGGGATAAAAAATATGAAAACTGATGCGGTTTGCATTGGTGTTTTTAATATTGAAGATTCTTGATATTTGAATGGCACTGCACATTTTGCTAGATGGGATTTTTTTTGCGAAAATTGATTCTTAGTAGACATACATTATTAAAATTTGACCTCCCTGCATCTCAAGTAATGTTAAATTGCTTAGGGTATAACTTTAGTAACAAACACCACGTGTTTTAAAACTACTTGCAATTAAAATTTTAACCCAATATGGCAATATTTACAGAAAAAATCAGAAATGGCTTTTTCCTATAGGTTCTTTTTATATACATTATAAATAAAGTCTCCTTTTTTCATATAGCGGCCAACATAATGAGCACACTCTGCGAGTAACTTTTTTAATTCTCAAAAACACCTACGATTGTAAAGCCTACAATGCATTAAAAGATAGTAGTGAGTTTTGTTATATACCAAATTTACAAAATCATAATCTAATTATGAAAATAACAGACTTGGCAATTACATATATTTTATAAACTAAATTCCAGTTTTACTGATATTTAGTATTTACATTATTACATTTTGTAATAATTCTAATACTGAAGTGGTTGCCAGATCCTGGTAATTTTAAACCAGAATATTATCATTATCATCGATAAGAAAGCTCATAGTTATTTATCATTATTTAAAATTTTGCCAAAGTAATAGCCACTGTAATATTAATAACAAAATTCAAACACGCTTTGTCGCTTTTATTGTTTCAGAAACCCAACATGGTGGAAAAGAAGGACAAGCATGGAGAGATGTCTCACTCTCACGACTGCAGTAGTGTTCATTATAGGAATCTCGTTAATAGTAGCTCTTGCCACGGTATTATACAATAGGAATACGGAAATTGCTAGTAAGTAAACCTGTTGTTTAAAATGTCCGCAATTAAAATAAAAATCCTTAATGCTACTTCGGATAATCACTTCATTGTGTGTGTGTTCTGAAAAATTGAGGAGCAGCATGCATGAGATAAAATTATTTTATCCTGTCTGATGACTATTACTATATTCCTCGTTTGTTTAAAAAAAAAGAAATTTAGTATGATTCACTGTGAAATAGATTTATAGATAAAAATATATACAAATATTTGCTAAAATATTGTTTTGTTTTGTGTTTTGCGTATGCGTTCTCGCAGAGAAGAAAGAAACATTTATTCTGGGTTATAGATATTATACCAGTATCTTCACACAAAACATCCAGTTCCTGTGCTGTATTATTCGAATTTATCCATTTCCACTTTAAGTTGTTCGTTACACTTCTTATACATACCCAAACTAACATTTTCCGATAAGGTCTATGTATTTCGCGGTGTAAAATGTTCATCTTTTCAGAAAGCTCTAACATACAGAGAATTATTATATTAAGATGATTTTCTCAGAATGGAAAAACTGATAACCACATATTCCGGACAGCATTGTTAAAAACCGACATTTTTACGCATTTTACCGATAACAAAGAATTTTAAAGGAAGACCTTTGTATAGCGGGTATAGATTCCACTAGGATCCTCACCTTGGTTCCATTAAGAAAAAACCTTGAAGTAATTGCAAGAAGTATAATTAAGTGGTATCCCTACATGCTAAAGTGCAAAGTTTCACTAACGCTCACCATATCATTTTTTCTTTAAATTTGAAACGTTGAAGATAATTATTGAATTAACAAATTCTTCAAATCTTCAATATTTTATCTATTATATTGGGATGCTTGAAAGTCAATTACATTTTTCTTTATATTTGTGACCCTTGGGAACTTAATGAATATTGTTCCATCGAGTAGCCATCTGCAAGTAAACTACAATGATACAAATGATTTAACTTAATTTTTTAAAGAAATTAGTGAATCGCCGTTAGGTTTCGGTGCACAGTTCTGTGTGGAGAACCGCCAATGAAAATCCAGGAAATAGCACTTGGAATCAATTTAGGAAGAAGCGTGAAAAGTGTACAAAAGACAAAGACAAAATTTGAACAAAAACATATATTTATAAAAACCTTCTGGATTTGAAGTTTTGTATATTCGACTTGAACAGCTGCCGGTGGTGATTGAGCCTGTTCAATTTTTAACGAAGTATCATTGTATAGGAACTTGATATTTTTTTTAAACTTGAAAAGCTGAGTTCATAAAAAGTAAATATCAAACATGATTCATTCCAGGTGCAAGTTTACCTTTTTCTTCCACATCAACAAGTTTGGACTATCATGATAATTTGAACTGTAAAATATGTAAAATGACTAAAAGAGAAACTGATACTATTGAAAACATGTTTTTTTTGTTTTTTTTTGCTGTAACATAATTTTTGTAAAAATAATGTTACATGTCTATCACAACACTTACAAAAATGATAATACTATTCTTCCTATGTGTTTTTCGATTTGATTGATATAATTATAATTAGTCACCCTTGGGGCTCGTATAATAAGACCTGATTTGACTGACTATAGCGGAAATGTGTAATGTCTAATAAGTGAATGTAGACCCCACCCTGATGCTAAATCATTATTTTGTTGTTAGCTACAACCTGCACCAGGTTCAATTAGGTTGGACGATACATCAAATAGGCTGGTTCTGGAAAATTTCACAACTCACTCCATATAATTTTATAATGTGTCTGTGCAAATTTCTCTTTAAAATGTTGGCAATTTCTCACTTAGAACACTAAGTTCAAGTAAAAAAGGTACTAAACAAATAAAATGCACTTTTGGGGTTAATATTCCCACCTAGTTTAATTAGATAGCTCTGGGATAAAGTCTTGATTTTTGGTTAGTGTAAATGTTTGTGGAATGGACTGTTATCTCTTAGATGTAGCACTTCTTCTTTCGTGCAGAGAATTTTAAACATCTGAAAGTCCGAATCGCTTTGTATGTTTTACTTCTTATGAATCATTCCTTGTCCAATTCTAAAAAGTATATTGCCTTAAGTTTCAAATGGTGAAATGTAATTTTCAGTTTCAACAACTCCATAGTCTATTATTATTCTTTGTGAATTGAAAACCTCAGTTCATAAAACGGACAATTACATTAAGTGGGTGCAACATATCGACACGTTAAAAATATCGATATAGCGTTGAAGTCCTCTCCCTCCATTGTAATCGAATCGTCTGCATGAATTTCAGCGTGATCTCAGTACGCTCTTCCCCATCAACAATTCAAATTAGTGTTGCTGATGCCTCCGTAAATACTCTCAATTTAAATACAATCGTGTCATATGCATAAACCGTATCTCTCTTTTAAACCCCCGCTTGTAATACACATATAGCTTGCATTATTCATTTTGCGAAACCGTCTCGGGGGTCAATGTACGGCCGCCAAAATATTTAGGTTGAACGAAAGTACCTGCGGATAATGTTTCAATATTTTTTCAGCGTTTGATGAAATCGACTTTTAGATTTGTCTCGATGTCGAAACGAAATTGAATTGTTCTGGGCGGGCTTATGTTTGCCCACATTTTCTTTACAAAATGAGATCTCTTTTTATGAAATTTTGTTATCCCTGACAAGTGCCAATAGAACACCAAAACCCTCTATTACCAAATGATCAGATGTCAAAAAAGTAACATCAGCCAAGTGTCTCATAAAATACTACCTACCTCACCCTTTTGATGATTAATTCGGCATTCTGGATGGGTTCCTTCGTGGCATAAAGGATAGTAATGGTAGAAGAAAAAAAACATTTACTGAAAATAAAATTCATTACACAAGAATGATGTTTATTGAGTTGGGTGAAAAATAAAATACTTTTAGGCTAGGCTAGGTCACTGATTGGTTAACAACAACATGCATCATGCAATTTATTCCGCTAAGAAAAAGAAAAAAACGGTAAAGCAGTAAATTTTCAAATAAAATAAAATACCATAAAAAATAAGGCCCTAAATATGCTATTATGCTATATGGGCTTGCATTTTATGGTCCACATTAGGTTTATGTTATCCTTGTTACGTCAATGGCGAATAGAAAGATAAACTTAATTTTTATATTATACAAGAATTTGTTACTTTTCTTTTATTGTTATTTTAAAAAAATATGTTAGATTTTTGTATACTGTGTATGTTACCGCTAAAAACCGGAAACAGTTGGTATTAATAATAATGGAGAATATTGGGAATTATGCTTAATTACTGAAACTATTAGTGATTATTTCATAATTATTGAGTATTTTAGGAGTTATGCGTAGTTACTGAAACTCTTAGTGATTTTGCATAATAACTGAGCAGTTGAGGAGGTATATGTATTTACTGAAACTGTTAGTGATTTTGCATAATTACTGAGCATTTTAGGAATTATGGATAGTTACTGAAATTCTTAGTGATTTTGCATAATAACTGAGCATTTTAGGAGTTATATTTAATTACTGAAATTGTTAGTGATCTGCATAATAACTGAGCAGTTTAGGGGTTATGTGCAATAACTGACACTCTTAGTGATTTTGAATAATAACTGAGCAATTTAGAAGTTATTACTGAAACTGTTAGTGATTTCGCATAGTAGTTGAACAGTTTAGGAACTATGCTTAATTAATTAAAACCGTTTGTGATTTTGCGAAATAACTTAACCATTAATATTGGTAATAACCGAAAATTTTACAGGAAATATGCGTAATACCTGAACATTTAGTCGTTATGCATGTATTATTAGCTCCTAGAGGTAGAAAACACAAGAAAATAGATACTTATTCTGAAATACATTTAAACAAGAACAACCTTTATAATTAACTTTACTCCTACATATTGCAAAATGATTTATTAATTTAAACAAGCACTTTACTTACCGCAGTTGCACCGTTGAGGTTGATACAGTTAAGAAACTGTGATATTCTTGTTTGGGTTTGTTTTACGACTTAGCTTCTTAATTTCTTAAATTGAATATAAACCTATCGGCTGTTGCCAAGGTCATAAATATGACAAACACTCGCCCTAACCTATATTTAACTTGTGCTCAGAACTCACTAACCTTTAGCAAGGTGGTGAACTTAATCAACCCTAAATAAAAAATTGGGAATATAAATTTTAACATATTTAGCTTCACATGCCTACGAAATCTCACAATGGTACCCTTCGTGAAAATACTGAAGCCAAGTTCACACAATGACTAAATATTTTAGGTATTACGGGCAATTCCTGTAGAATTATTTCATATTATCAATATCAATGGAATATTATGCATAATATCTGACGATTTTAGTGTTCATGCATAATTCCCAATGTTCTCAGTTATTATGCAAAATCACTAAAAGTTCTAGCAATTACGTATAATTCCTAAAACTTGACGTCAAAATTGAAATTAAATTAGCTGATCAAAAATAAAATAATAAATAACATTCGATTAGAAGTGGGTTTCTCTTCTGAGTATGTACAGTCTTATACGAAATACTTTTAATTCGAAACAACACATTTTGCACCAATCATGGTCTAATTTAATTTGTTTCGCTAAAAAAATTCGCTAAAAGGTCCATCTTTTATTGGTCGGTTTTGTTGCGAAATTTGCAGTAATCGGAAAAACAAATATTTACGATGCTATTATATACCGTTTAATGCTATTACGGATTTTTCTTATCGATAATTTGTTCAAAATGTAAAGTGACCGTGAGCTAAAATGTCTTGCCGTATTTTTTATCGCTCTTTTACACTACTGGCATTGTGTGCAATAATATGCCAAATTGGCAAATTATTATAAAACTCAAAGTACAAGACACTTTTTCCAACAATATCGTTTAAACTTCTTATCTGACTCAATTATTGTAAAATGATTTAAATATTTACAAAAATACCTCTTCGGTATTTCCGTTAATCTGCTAAATATCCAGGCAGGCACCCGTATTTGAATATATTTTACATACAAATTAATTAGTCACCAATATTACTAATTTTTTAACCTTACCTAAACAATATTTTACGAATACCCACCCACAAAACTTAAAGAACTAATTTAGATACGGTATTTTTTATTTTCAGAAAATCGTTTTCCACCCGGGCAATGAATGAAAATAAGATACGAGTAATTAATATGAATTATTGCGACATTGTATGCAGAAAACGTTTATTGTGTACGACGTCAATATTGATTAGACATCATCGAATTTCGTTTTAGTCGCTTACTTTCTTTTTGATAACAATCACTATGAAAATTTTATTTCAGGTTCTCAATTTAGTGCCGAGGCACTGCAAGGACCATTCATTATAAATGCTCACCCGGACGGCCATAATCGAGAGTCGAAGCTTTGTCTTACTCCGGGATGCGTCCACACCGCATCCAAGTAGGTACAAGAACGGCTAGCTCCCGCGCCTAAGTCGTTTTACTCATTACCCCCATTTCATATTTCTAATAACCAATTTTTCTGTTAACTTCAGAGTGCTGGAGTATATGGATCAATCGATAGACCCGTGTGACGACTTTTACGAATTTACCTGCGGCAACTTTCTGAAGAAGACCAATATTCCAGACGATAAATCCTCAATAACTTCGTTTAGTATTATAAGTGACACGCTTCAAGAGCAGTTGAGGTCGATGATAGAGGAACCGATCCAGCCCGATGAACCAAAACCGTTCCAACTGACGAAGAAATTGTATAGGGCATGCATGAACAAAACTTTGATCGAAGGCGAGGGTAAGTAACTGATGGATGGTTAATCCCAATATTCCTTTGTTACCATCAAACTTCATTTCAGGTTTGACGATTATCCATTCGATTTTAAAGGAGTTGGGTGGCTGGCCAGTGCTAGACGGCGAGAGATGGAGGGACGGTGATTTTGACTGGAGAAAATCTGTCTATCGGTTTAGAAAAGTGGGCTACAGCGTTGATTATTTTATAGATTTCTCGGTTGGGATAGATGTTAAGAATTCCACAAAGAGGATAATTGATGTAAGTATAATCGACAATCAATTTCCTCGGAGAAACAGTTTCATCTTCAGCTCGACCAAGGCTCCTTGGGCTTGAGAAGGGAGTTTCTAACCAAAGGTTTAGACGATAAACTTGTAAAGGCATATTACGACTATATGGTAGATATAGCAGTGCTGTTCGGTGCTGACAAGCAAAGGGCTACCAAGGAATTAAAAGAGTCGTTAGACTTTGAAATTAAATTGGCAAATGTAAGTTTAAGCCTGGTTAGTAGCGCGTGTTATACGATTTCTATTCCAGATTTCTTTACCCAGTGAAAAAAGAAGAAACGCCACAGCTTTGTACAATCCCATGACTGTTGCAGAGCTCCAAAATAAGTACCCAAGTATACCGTGGATAGAATACATCAATACCTTACTGGCGCCCGATACGGAAGTCGGGAACGATGAGGTAGTGTTCATTCAAAAATTACATCTCACTGATATTTTAACAGTTCCTTTAAAATACTTCAGATAGTGGTTGTCAGTGTTCCAAAATACATTTCCGATTTTGAAGCTCTCATAAGTAGAACGCCAAAGAGGGTGCAAGCCAATTACGTCATGTGGAGAGCAGCTGCTTCGTCGGTATCATACCTTACAGAAGCACTACGACAAAGACAGCTCGAGTACACTACGATCGTCACCGGAAGAACTGAAAGAGAAGCTAGATGGAAAGAGTGCATCGACATTTCTGCCGGAAGGTTTGTATAATGGCACTTATTTTATTCGAAAAAACTAACATAGTTATCTAGTCTATCAATCGCTTCCGGAGCGTTATACGTTCGCAAATATTTCAATGAAGAAGCGAGACAGAACGCAAAGGAGATGGTAGCTGACATTAGGGCGGAGTTCGAAGAAATCCTGAGGAAGGTCGACTGGATGGACCAAGAGACTAGGATGAACGCCATTGACAAAGCTAAATCTATGTCGACTCATATAGCGTACCCGGACGAGTTATTGGACGATAAAAAACTTGAAGAGTTTTACGAAGGAGTTAGCATTTTTTCCTAAACATTGTACTTTGGCTAACTGCTAGTGTTTCAGCTCGAACTTGATTCCGAAGAGTACATGAGATCGATTCTAAATCTAACATTATTTGGTACTAGATTTTCTTTCAAGAGATTGCGTCAGCCCGTTAACAAGACCGACTGGATCACACACGGTAGACCAGCCGTCGTTAACGCATTCTATTCGTCCATCGAAAACAGTATTCGTGAGTACTTCGAATATTCCAGACTTACGGAATTTCGTTTTGAGGAAAAAATTTTTTTTGTCAGAATTCCCTGCCGGCATACTTCAAGGGGTGTTCTTCAGTGCAGACAGACCGAGGTACATGAACTATGGCGCCATTGGTTTCGTAATAGGTCACGAAATCACGCACGGATTTGACGATCAAGGCAGACAGTTTGATAAAAATGGTAACCTGGTAGATTGGTGGCAGCCTGAGACCAAGAAGCGTTTCGTCGAAAAGGCCCAGTGCATTATCGATCAGTATGGCAACTATACCGTTCCGGAACTAAAACTGCACGTGAGTAATAAAAATAATTTTATTATTAGACAACAAAAGCTACGATAGAAGAAACGCTTATTCGCCTTCCTTGGAAATTATCGTCAAACTAATTGGCCTACTAAGTGCCAACATGACAGAGGTTTCAATCACTTAACCACCATTTCCATAAATATTCCCTGTACTACTTTGTAACTCTTCTTGAAGATTATTTGTTTAAGGCGGGCCGATGATAAAATTAAGTTTAATCTATATTTTGAGAGTTTTTTTGATATGCAGATAATGAAAAATTTTAGCACACCCTAAGTTAAACTTCAAGTGCGACGGAAATTTTGAAAAAACAAGCGAGATGGAAGAAGTTATGGTATTGTTTACATTAGTACATAGCAACGGGAAAATATTTGGCAAATATTACAACAGATCATTCTTTATTTGATTCCATTAATGTTGCGGTGAAAATTTAACCTAGGAGTGCGATAAAATTTTTGTTTATGTTTTAAACTATTTTCAGATTGCTTTACAGATTGTTCCGATGCAGTTATTATGAGAATAGCGTTATTTATCCTATAATTTTAATTTAATTCTTAGTGAAAATATGAGTTGTTGGTTGTGGTTAATATGAGTATTTAAACATACAACAACAATCCTTCCAAGTACAGCAGTTTTGTAAATGCATTTCTCTACTAATAAAATGTACATATAGATATTCTAAGGTGAAGCTCATTGTAAATAGCGAAATGGTAAAAGCGTGTATATATTTGATTGCGTATATATATTTTATCAGTGCACATAAAAAAAACAATGAAACCAATCCTGGAACAAAACGAAATAAAAAAAATGCTTTTCGAATACTCCCAAGAACAATTAAATTATTTTTTATACCTAGTTTCTTAATGCGAGAGAGTAATGGAATGTAAATTTGGAGTAACAAGGGTCACTAAATACGGTGGATTAACTTAAAAGTTATAGCGGAAAGTTCATTTCAATTTCAATTTTGAAGACCCACACGCCTCGAATTGTTCCTAAATTAAAGTCACACTAATTTTACATGATTATAATTATTCAATGTAATTCAATCAATTCAAAAAATTCAATTCAATCAATCAAAAAATTCAATATTATTATAATATATTCAAATCAAATCAAGAAATATACAGAGTGTCGCATATTTTTGCTAAATAAATACAGATTTAAAATTTTGCAGGTTGATGGTTTATATTTCTGAAGATACTCAATTGAAATTGCTGACTCCAAAAATATTTGTGTTTTAGATATCGCAAAAAGTTTATTTTTGTTTCGAATGTGTACCAAAATTGTCATTTACTTTTTTCATTATTTTGTTCAATATACAATTCCATATTATGCAACAAGTGCGGTAAAGGACATTTGACCCACGAGTTTATCTGACACGAGCGGAGCGAGTGTTTAATAAACGAGGGACTTAAAAAGTTTACCGTACGTGTTGCATACTATACTTTTTCTACGACCGTTAGTTTTTGGGTACATTTTCGCAAAACAACACGAATATATTCACTGACACGACCGTCAGAATTGTCAAACGTCAAAATTCAAAGCGTGTGAAATATCTCCGAAAACATCCGATTGTTCCCAAACCCGTGCGATAAAATCCCGGAAATGTCCGAAGTGGCTCGGATTCGACAGACAGGAGTAGAAAAAATTATTAAAAGTTAATTAATTTATGTATTTTGCTTTTAGAAAATAATGATTTTTAGTAAGTAACTGATTAAATTTAATAAAATAATTACAACAATGATTTTCATAGTTCAAATGGCGCTCGACTGGCCCTCCATTTATTCGAATACATTTTTCTATTCTAAGTTTCTGGCTGAATATCTAAGTCTAAGTTCTGGGATGCTACTGGACAGGCTTCACCTATTCTGGCACAAAGTTTACCTCGATTTCTGGGCTTTATTTTATAAACTTTATTTTTTTTATCACAAAAATAAAAACCGAGCGGATCTCGTAAGCCAGGATTCTGTTTCTTCCTAACCAACGCCTAGCGAATTTCTAGATGGAAATATATATGCTCCTGCACATTGAGAAAATATTAACTAAACGACCAGCATTTAATGATTCACCAGTCATTGACCTTCTGGGAATATCGATGTTTACAATTTATAACCCAGTGGGGATTATCTCTCGCCCATTTTGAGGTAACACACCCCCATTGGTGGTGATTATAGTCTTATTGTTCTTATGCTTATTTTCATTTTCTTCTGATAATAGGTGTAAGAACTTTGGTTTATAGGGCTTGATTTTGTGAAGGATGAATCACCTGATTTCATTCTTACTTATTTTCAGCTGAGATGATAAATCGTGGATGCGCTCGATTTGCCGTCAGTACATCGTTATTCTCAGGATGTATTCACTGAAGTTGGCCATTCTGATCGATTTTAACTAGTTTAATTGAAAAGAGCAATTATAGCGTCTGCTTTTCCATGTGTGATGGAAGCACGTTGCGGATGTCTCCTATTAAACTCTGCAGCAACTTCTCTGCTACTACGAGCAAAATCACCAAACAATCCGATTATTTCGATTTTTTTCGGTTAAATCAATCACTAAATAGAACTCATTGTAATAAAATGAAACTTTAATCTAATTCACATTAATGATTTCACAATTGTCTAATTATTACTTTCCACGACACACTAGTATATCGAATAAAAAAATAAAGTTATAATAATTTTGGATAGGTATTGACCAAATTAATGAAAAAGCTAAAATTGCAAAATTTCGTCATAGAATTTGATAGGTTTGGTTAGAATAATATTCTTAACAATTTTTCAAAGAAACTTGAGTCGTTTGTTTAAAAATCAAGCTTGCTGACGTTTCGCAAATCATCTTGTGGTAAAATTTGTTTTAACGTTATCTTTCTTAAGAAGTTTTGATATGTGCTCAGTGATGCTGTGGATGCAAGGAAGGACGAGAGTGGCAGCTGTGGGGTTGCTTTTGGGCTCGGAATATTGTGGTGAAATGTATTTTGTGATGGAACGCTTCATATCTCTCATGTAGAAATTATTAGAGAGAATTATGTTACTCTGTAAACCAGAGTTGCTAACCGATGGTTTTTGGACCCGATGGTGATGTGACAATGATAAGAATATCTAAGAATGTTTCCGTTTCCGTTAAGTTCTGAAGAAGACAGCCCGATGATTGGCGAAACGTCAGCAAGTTTGATATGGAGGAGGAATCCAAAAGATTTATAAATAGTAATATTCGGAAGAACTTTTTTCGGTATCTCGAACGCGGCTCTGTAATTTATGGAATAAAAAAATTAAACTTCTAATAATGTTGTGTATTGGCCGAAATAATGAAAAACAATGACAAGCAAATGAGTACCTTACAAAATGTGAACCATCCACCTCTATGACTGGGCAGAACTTCAAATCTGTATCTATTTGAATATAGAGGTGTCATCATCTTAAATGCGACACGCTGTATAAATTGGTGGTTGGACTCTCCAGCGCTATTTAAGTTTAATTAATTTTGAAAATAATAATTTTCATTGACCCTAGTCATTTTCAAGAACGGACTTTGCCAACAACTGTCGGAAAGTAACTATAATTCGAATTTAAAACTACATGTCAGTTACCTACTACTCTCGCGACCCTTGATAATCGTCTGATATCATACAATACTACGCCATTGGAATACGACTAAATACACTAAATTTTACAGTTCAATAATCATTAATAACTCTCTCGCGTTTATTCGATATGCTAAAAGAAAGATTCATCGATTTCATTTTAGAAATTCGGTTTACGCAAGATGTAAATAAACTTCCCTTATAAATAACACGTCACACGTAGACACTCTCCAGTAGTTATCTGCATGTTCGCACTAACCCTGAGCTTAACCTTCCGTTTCTAGCTGAACGGCATTAACACCCAGGGAGAAAATATCGCGGACAATGGCGGTATCAAAGAGGCCTATCTCGCTTATAAACGATGGGTCGATAGGAACGGTAGCGAGCCTTATTTACCAGGCCTCAACTACACGGGTCGGCAGATGTTTTGGGTGTCTGCGGCCAGCATCTGGTGTTCTCTGACGAGAGATGAGGAACTAAGGCAATTGATTGTTACCGATGAACACGCACCCGATAAGTACAGGGTGATCGTACCGTTGAGTAATATGGAATACTTTGCCGAAGACTTTAATTGTCCCCTGGGGTCGAAAATGAATCCGACGAAGAAATGTAACGTGTGGTAGGCTGACGGATCGGCGGTTCCAAAAGGATGAAAGGTCAACGTTTTCGATTGCAGTGTGTGTAGCTTAAATTATTTTAAGGATTGGACTGGATGTATGTCGAAGTTGTTGGATTTTATTAGTTGTGGCCGATGGTCCTCTGCGAAGAAGAGTTTTTAATCATCTAGGTTTCGAGTTTCGTTTCCACATTGTCGCACGTGTCTCGGAAAATGTATTTATTATTTTATCGATAACTTATACTTGTGGTTTTATCTGGCTTTTCGCGTAATATTGTTATCTAACAAAGAGATCTGACGAGTGAATCCAATTATATGAACTTTGTGACGTATTGGTTATTGGCAATTGATGAGTTTAGCGCAATTTAGGCGGTAATTTTTTCTGTTACTGTCTAGGTAGCAAATCTGTATAAGCAGTAAGCAGGGGAAAAGAAATATTAAAATTTTGACTTGTACCCAAATCCTAACGTGATATTCAGATTTTAATTCGACATTTTTGAATTGTTATTTTATTCTCATTTTAATATTTAAACGATTTCGTACTATTTCGCTAATTGTGTTATATTTATTCTATATTTTATAGTTTAAAAACTTTACTTTTCATTTTCATATTCAAATTTGTAAATAGTTTATTAGATTTTGTACCCTAAAATTGAGGACTGCTTACTTCGTTTTTTTTTTCAGTAACCTGCGAAGTGTTTTTTTTTAAATAAAATGATAAAAAATTGATAATTTATTTTGTTCTCTAGTTGGTGATGGAAGATTCGCTTTTTAACAACATGCATGACCCGCTTTGCTATGACTGCAGGGTAGTCCGGTTACCAGTTAGTGCATCACATCATTTAAAAACACGTTATACCGAGAAAGAGCAAAGGAGCGAGTTATGTAAAATAAAATGCCTTTGTTGCTTATTGTAATTCATTATTGCTTTTGTTAAATAGTACTCACACTTCTTTTCTAGAAAGGTAAGACTGTAGCGCACTAAAATATATATTAACTAAAAAAGTTGGTGTATAATCTCGAACTGTAAAAATTCAAAAATTATGGTACTAAGGCCCTGTATATTTTAGATCAATCAAACTATGATTTATAAAATTTTTAATTGTTCGCTCACTAACTGTTAAAAAAAAAACTAGAAATGGAAGAAAAATCTAAGACTTTGTCTGGCCCACTCAATGTTTTGGTTTAACTTAGCTTTCGTAATGACAGTTAGTAAGTGGCTGTAATTCTGTTTATTATTATATTATATTATTTTTCTAATTGGCGTCGTTGTCTGTTTAACTTTGTTTTAATATTTTCCGCCATTAAATGAAATTAAACTAGGATCCTTTCTCAAAGAACAGAAAGCATGGCTTTTTATAATAAAATAAAAATTAATATAACAATCCTACAATTATGAAACTTTTAAAAATGACTTTGTTTTCAACTCATTAATCGACTTACCATCATTGACATACTCCACAGAGAAAATTAACTAGTTTCATCGAACTTCTTCGAAACGTTTTAGCTGAACGGAATAAACACTCAAGGTGAGAACATAGCGGATAACGGCGGCATCAAGGAAGCTTACCTGGCCTACCAAAAGTGGTCGGAACGTAACGGCAAGGAAGCCTTCTTGCCCGGATTGAAGTACACCCCCAACCAGATGTTTTGGATATCAGCCGCTAACACGTGGTGCGCTAAATATAGACCGGAATCGTTGAAGTTGAGGATTCTGACCGGGTATCACTCACCAGGACAGTTCAGGGTTCAGGGTCCGTTTAGCAATTCGGATTATTTCGGCAGGGATTTCAATTGTCCGGTCGGATCGAAAATGAACCCGGAAAAGAAATGCAGGATCTGGTAGATTTGTTTGGGTAAATGGAATCAATAAATTTACATTAAACTCTAACTTATAGGTTAAGTTTTTTTGCCGATATTTGGCTGATGCCAAGAACCATTTTTTCAAGCAAGTTGTATCAGAAGTAGCACGGTGCAAAAAAATAGTAGTTTCTGGGTTATTTGGATTAAACGTACTCATCTCAATAAATGTGCACAAATATAGCTACAACAATCAATTTAATTTTTGATTATTTGAAATTAAATAAGATATCAAACAAGAACACAGTTATGTTACAGAACATGTTATTACATATCATTAAAGTTAAAAAATATTTATTGCATATTTGTTAAATTCTAACGTTGCGTGGAGATTATTCTTTTTCGGTCTATACGCAACGGTATAGAAGTTTTGAAGTTTTGTAGAGTTACTTGTCAGTATTTTGGTTTTGAGGATTTGTGATATTTTTCCACAGCGTAGAAAATGTACGACAGCAGAGAAGCTTGCAGTAGTTTTTATTTCACGGAAATAAGTACCTTCGATATTGTTGTAATGTAAGAAACTTTTATGAAATAAAAGTTGTTTACTAAATTTTGCAAATGTGTGCTTATTGTTACGTAGATCATAGTAGTAAAATTATCACTGTTGAAATCACACATTCCATTGTATCAGTTAATAATGTTTCACTCAAGATCTTTTGCAATTTCATAGTTTCTTTTGGTCTGGAGATACACTTCTTGTGAATCTACATCATATAATATTCTTGCTTTTTAAATGTTAAAGTTTGTACTAATATGCGTGCAACATTATTTATAATTCATTAAATCGCTAAACCAATATACTGCTGAGACAATTGCATAACAAAAATCCTTTCTTAACGTTAACTGTTCGACTTCCAGATACACCGAAACTGTGAAATTTATCGGCTGCCTTGATATTCAACTCCTTGCCTTGTTCGGTAACTCTGAAACCAAGTCGACACTTAAAAACTAGCAAACTATGAAAAACTATGCAAAAATAACAGAAGAAGTCAATATTTCTAATTTTGAGCCCAATCGAAACTTTGCTAAATATTTCGATTTGAATTTGTTACCTCTTCCGCAATTGATATGAGATTATCAGCCATTGATTTTCCAGTCTGTAGCACCATCTGATATAAAACGCCAGTCTTTTTGTTCTGCAGCAGCTCGTGTGGAGGTCCGAATTCAACAACTCTGCCGGCATCCATCACGAGAACTTTATCGGAATCCATTATAGTGTGCAACCTGTGCGCCACAGTTAACACAGTGCACTGGGAAAACTTTTTCCTTATCGTAGATTGTATGAGTAAGTCCGTTTGGGGATCAACGTTAGCGGTAGCTTCATCTAGGACCAAAATTTTGTTATTCCTAATTATGGCTCTAGCCAAACACACCAGCTGCCTCTGGCCGACGCTGAAGTTTGAACCGCCTTCCGACATTATCGTTTCAAGACCTTGAGATAGTTTGGATACAGCTGGTTTCAGTTCGACTTCCTCCAGAGCACTCCATAGTACCTAAAATAGAAACAGTATTCATACCGAATAGTATAGTTAATATCACCTCCTACATTATCGTCATATTCCCCAAATGGGTCCAAATTCTTTTTGAGTGAACCGGAAAACAGAACTGGTTCCTGCGGTATGATCGAAATATTAGATCTCAATTTGTCCAAGCTTATCGATTTTGTATTCAGGCCGTCTATGAAGATATTCCCTTCAATGTCGGCTAGCCTGAACAGAGCTGCGATAATAGAGGATTTTCCGGCCCCCGTTCTGCCGACTATCCCAACTTTTTCTTTGCTCTTAATTTCAAACGACATATCGTTTAAAACTTTAGGTTCACTTGGCGCGTATCTCAGGCTGAGATTCTGGAACTTGATGTTTCCGTTTTCTGGCCATGTTCTCGCTGGTTTAACACGGCCTTCGTCTTTTTCCGGCATCACATCCGCATATTCCTTCACTCGTTCAACGCAGGTCATTGTGTTTTCTAATTCACTCCATTGTCGCGCTGCGTACTGTAAGGTTCCGATTAACGTTATGGACTGTGTGATCGCCAAACCTACGTTGGCCGCGTATGTTTCTGAAAAGGCAGACCATAAGTAACTTAAAAAAATCTTGCTCTACTCGTATTGATTGGAAACATTTACCTCTGTTCAAGATCAAGAAACAAAACGTTACTATTGCAATGAAAATCACACATTGAAAATCCAGCCAAAGTCCAAAACATCTACTAGCCGCCAAATACATGAAAAAGACCGAACTGTATTCATTTTGGTAGCCGTCGAAATCTTTTTTTAAAATTTCTTGGGCACCAAATGCTCTGATTGTCGTTAGGCCCTGTAAGGAGGTAGTTAGCTGGGAATAAACGGGACTCCTAGCTAAAAATGTATTTAAAATAAGCTGGATTTTTGATTTGATTAGGCATTTACCTATTCCTTCCAGTCGCTTAATATTTCTGCTAGTTCTTAAATATATAAATCTGATATAATAAAATATTACGAGGAGGACAATTGCAGGAATCAGCATCCAAAAGTTGACAATTGAAACCACTGCAAATGCTGCTATAACGTTAACACCATACTAGAAAGTGGATGTATTTAAAGAACTACATTATTGCCAAACGCTATAGTAAAATAATGTCATGCATACATACTTACTTGCATCGTATCCACAAACATTGAAGGCAAATATTCGTCTATTACGTTCATATCTTTAGAAAATCTGTTCAAAATTCTCCCAGATGGGTTAACATGAAAAAACCTCATGGCAGCATAAACAATTTTGCCGAACATTGTATTGTGCAATTTTATAGAAGCCTTCATGCAACATCTAAAGAACCACAACGATCTTACGATCGTTATGACGATAGCAACTGCTATTAGGCAGGAATATGCAATCAGGGCCGTGTGCTCTCCCACATTGTCCAACCAAAATTGCTCTAAGTTATTTAACTGCACTGTGCTATTATCCCAACTATAGAGCGCCTCGGAATATAAATCTAATTTCGGCGACGATTCCGGATTGCGATCTTTTATAATTTGCTCCATATTAACCCTAAAACGTAAAAGAGATTTGTACAAACGTTCCACAAAAATAGAAGTACTATATTACCAGTATGTCAAAAAGTAATCACCAAAACTTGCAAATGCTTGAGCCAACAAAAACGTTAAAAGTACTAGGAAAATAGTACAGCCATTACCTCCAGAGAGTATATAAGTTTTGTAAACGCTCCAGTTGACAGTACCTCGCCCTTGACCTTCCTTTCCTTCCGTTGGGTTCTTTTCATTTTTAGAATCTATTTCTGCAGTTGATGTTTTAACACCAGATGCTCTTTTCTGTTCTATAGCCACGTCTTCTGGGTCGTCAATTACATCTTTTAACTCCCCCAAAAGGTTTGTAAAATCAGTTCTGGAATTTTTAATTTGCTCATACGATCCAGAGTGTTCTATTTTCCCGTTGTCGAGCAAATAGATACTTTCGAGGGTTTTAAGGTACTGTAACTGATGCGTGACTAGAACAACACATTTGCGTTTAAGATAACCGGCGATACATTCATCAAAGAGAAGTCTGCCAACGTGTGTATCAACTGCTGATAGCGGATCATCAAGTAAATATATGTCGGCTTCTTTGTAGACTGCTCTGGCGAGGTTGATTCTAGCTTTCTGACCTCCGCTTAATGACACTCCTCGCTCACCAACAATGGTACGATCTCCGTAAGGAAATAACGTGAAATCTCTTTCTAACGCACAGACTTTAACTACCTCGTTGTATCTTTCGACGTTGAACTCTTGTCCGAAAGTGATGTTATCTCTAACGCTTCCAACAAACACCCAGGGCTCTTGAGAAGCATACGAAATTCTTCCCTGTATTCGGGCAGTACCAGATACAGGCAGAAGTTCTTTTAAAATCGCGTGCAAAAGCGTTGTTTTGCCACTACCGACAGGACCAATTACTGCTGCCAATTGACCCGAAGTTGCGTCCATGGAAATATTGTTTAAAATATTTGTGTTGGATTTCTTTACCCAGGTGACTGAGACGTTATCCATGTGAATGCCGACTGGTGCGTTGGCCGAGTTATTGAAGTCATTCAGAAATGATGAACTTGAATCAAATGTCACTTCGTCGTATAACAAAAACCGCTTTATTCTCTTGACTGATATTGCGGCTTCTGCCATCTGTGTTATGCCCGTGGGCCAATATATTGCGACCGATACGTTCAAAATACCATAAAAGCAGGTGGTAACAAACACGTAATGCGGATCTAAAGTTTTCCCTAGGAGAACGTAGGACATCATGCAGAAATAAATTGAAGCTCTGTTTAGGAACATGAACAAGGACATTACAAATGCTCTGATCACAGATGTCTTGCCAATTTCACCAAGTTCTGTTCTAAAATGAAGAAGTAGTTTTAACACTTGGGTCGATAATGTTATACAATTTCTAGCTAGTACCTTCTGCTGATTTCCACCAGCTTAGCGAATGGTTTTTCCCATGTATACATCTTAATCACTTGTATACCAGATATAATCTCGTTCATTAGTCGGATTCTTTCGTCGGTCTTTAAGGCTGTGCTGAGTCGATATGCTGACGACTTCTTCGCCATCCACACTAAAAAAAAAATTGAATACCTTATCATGGGAATCCTGATCTTGTGTATTGGAATTTAAGTTCCGCTATATATCATCTTTCTGTACTTTACTTACTTTGAAAAGGAACGAACGCGAGCATTAAGACGACTCCTAAAACACCAGTCCAACCTACATAAAAGCTCAATAGCAACAACACAACTATTGTTTGGATAGGTGCCAACCATAAGTTATGAATATGCATGATCATCATTTCGAATCGAGTCACATCGTTGGAGATAAGATTAACCATTTGGCCTATCGTAGTTCCAGCAAGGGCTGACTTATTCAGTTTAAGGGCTTTTCTATGAGAAGAAACAAACTTTAAAATCGAATTGCGTTTGCGGTTAAAAATATAAATACGAAAATTCGTTTAGTAATGCAATACGATATCGCATACCAAGAAAACTCGCATTTTTTTTCTTAGATGTCGAATCAAATGAGGCAAATGCATTTAAGAAAAAAATCATACACAATTTTTATAAAACTTAATCCGCATATGTAAGATCCATTTTGTAATCATTTTTATGGCTGAGTATAATCGAAAGGAACAAGGCTATATTACAAAAATGTCACATGTCTACAGATGATGTATGATGTATTGTACTAAGATAATGTAACCAATGAGATAACTAGGTAGCGACATTGTGGAGCGCAGTCGAGAAGAGTATATCATGCAATAAGTGCGGTAAACGGCATTTGAGTCACGAGTTTATTTGGCACGAGCGGAGCGTAGCGGAGTGAGTGTTTGCTAAATGAGCGACTTGAAAAGTTTACCAAACGTGTTGCATTTTATACTTTTTCTACAACCGTTAGTTTTTGGGTACATTTTTGCAAAACGTCACATAACCGTCAGAATTGACAAACGTCAAAATTCAAGCCACGCGGTAAATTCTCCGAAAACGTCCGATTGCTCCCGAACCCGTGCGGTAGTATCCTGGATGTGTCCAAAGGGGCGCGGATCCGTGGGGCAAGAAACTCACGTGATAAAGTGACGCTTTCCACAAGCTAGATCGGTGTATAATTAGGTATTTTACAGAAGGGAGTAGAAAAAGAATTTTACAGAAATTTAGAGAAGAAGCGATTTTTTTATGTACGAATTTAAATTTACGTATTTGGTATCTTAATTACCTGTAGAGAGTTGTGGATGCGGCTACCCTTATCATCATACCCAAATGCAATGCATGAAGCATAAATGTGTGTTGGCATAAAATGTATACCAGAGAAGACAGTACTATTAAAGTTGCATAGATGTAAGCCTCATTCTGGCTCATAGTTGAATCTGGTTGGTAGTACTCCAACAATTTCGATAGAGCTATAGGTTGGGATAACCTTTAAAAAGAATATATCGTTTCCCACATCCTCTAAGATTATAAGAACAAGCGTCTTACTTAGCGCACATTTCCATAAAAAAATACAAAAATCCCAGGATGACGAGATTTTTTCCAAAGACTCTTCCCAATGCCCACCACAAAGACGGATTCTTTTTCTTTTTTAGCTCCTTTGTCCATTCTTTCTCGAATTTATCGGCTAACTTCTTCGAGTCGTGTGACCTTAGCGACGGTAAAATATCATCTTCGTTAAGGTCCGTTCTGAATCCTTTGTAGAAGAGTGGCAGAACCCATCTTAAAATATGAAAAATGGTACTGTTGGTTTTTGAAGAATCATTCACAAAAATGTATCATAGTTAAGAGCTTTGCAAATTGAACTAAATTAACTATAAAGAAGATAGATACTTACAAAAAAAATATTTTGGAGATTACATTCGCTTTTGTGTAGGGATGGTTCTGCTGAACACTTTTTGTCCCTTCCACTTGTGTATTCTCCATGCTGTGGAAGAAAAAAATAAAACAATCACGACGGTAGACAATTTTTTAAAGAACAAATTACAAAATGTTTTGGGAACCATTGGCCCTTTACATAATTGTTTCCATAAACTAACCAAATTGAGTAAAATTTTTTCAAGTGGAAAATTGAGACTGGACAATCTAAAAAAGCCTAAGCAGTCTAAAATATCTTAGGTACCAACCAACCTCTTTCGGCAATTCCGTAAACATCCATGGTTTTTTAAGTTTATGCTTGCATCTCATTGTATGTTTGCTATTATTTATTACTTATTTATTTATTTATTTAGCGCTTGGCTATTTACATAAGCAAGTAAAATTTGCATTAACAAAACTATAAACTTCGCAAGTACAACGTAAGTCTCTTCTTGAACACTCTTGGGCAAGGCGCGCCCTTAATATTATCCGGCAGTTCATTAAAATTACAAGCACCATCATAGAGTTTTCTGTAAATTTGTTGTTTTTACCATAGAAACATAGAAGTGCTGATTGGAACATATATTATATTGATAAAAGTTTGACCTTTTTTCCAACCATAATTTAAGATAGCCTGGTTGGTGACCGTGCGCAATTCCATAAACCAACATTAAACTTGCTCTTCTAATGAACTGCCCGACATTTAGCCAATTTAGCTGGTCTAACATACTCTTTATAGGAGTATATCTATCACAGTTCAGGATGATTCTCATAACCCTATTTTGTTGTAACTGTAACTTATTTAAATCATCTTTTGTACAAGATATAAGCAATGAACAAACATATGAAAAATGAGGCAAAATTATACTAATATACACTAATATCCTAGTCCACTGCGAAAAAAACCTCGATACACGGTTAAAAAACCCTATTTTCTTACCAATTTTTTTTGCATAGATATTCAACAAGGTTACTAAAGCATAATTGTGGATCCAAGATCAACCCTAAATATTTAATTTCGGAAACAAACTCAATTTTATTACCCTGTATATCCACAGAATACCCCGACTTATAAAATTTTTGACAGTTAACCTTAGAACCGATCACCATGCACTTGGTTTTGGAGGTATTTAATTTCAGTTTATTTTGACACCGCCATTCGTAGAAATACTGCATTTCGGTGTTCAGTTTGGTAGCTATTTCTTTGCAATCGTTTCCAGAGACTGAAATAAGCGTGTCATCAGCAAATAAGTTAACAAAGGAGTTTTTAAAACCTGATACATATCATTTATATAAATAATAAATAAAAGCGGGCCCAACACTTATGGTACACTTATATGCTTGTTTCGTATCTTAATTCTTGAGAGATTTTGTAACCTGGACTAAAATTACTTCGGGAATAGCAAGGTCAATTTTATTTCAGGCTGTTCTTATTTTTATGATAGTATTATTTGGAAAGAAAAATTTTGATTTTAACATTTTTAGTGTTACTAAATTGAAAAGTGAACGGAAAAACAATGAAGCTGCATTGGCTTATTTTGTAAAAATCAAATATTGAAACCAAAGTCTAGGTCGGTCAGAGACGAAAACTGTATGTTTTTGAAACTGCTGCAGAAAAACTGGTGTCTTAAAATTTATATTGTGGATTTCTTCTTCGAAGAACATTGGTATCCGCTTGGCAAAACCTTTAAAGCTTTGGTACTGCGAACCATTTACCGTCTATAAAAAAAAATTGTCGCTTCGTCAAGTACTTGAAATATATCTTACATTTCGATAAATTGTACACGCTTATTAGAAATAACCACTTATACATACTCGTCTTACGCATATTTTCGCAAGTCCTTGCCACGCGCAAATTTAGGTTTATTCAATTATCATTAGAAGATAAAGATGACATTATGAATAATATCATGTCTATTACGAGGTTAGAAGGATATTGGAAAATTGTACTCTGACGAGGCATATAAGAAATAGTCTGTGTTGATATTATAAAGCAAAATTTTAAAAATTTGAGATTATGTAGAAGTTGATGCGGATTAAAAGTAAGGGTACAATAAAATACTATAACTTACATTGGGTAAATATTTTGTAGTGACGAGTGGAGAGCGTGTGTAATAAACGAGTGAGTGTGTCACTTACCCACACGCATACATGAAATATATCTAGTAGCTCCAGAAAGTACAGCAAATATTTTTACCAAATGCTCATGATTCAATGTTTCTTTTAATGTAGAAGACATTTTAAAAAACAGTAATTTTTTTTTTGAAGATCATCCTTTCATAATAATATAGTAATTCCTTTAATTACTTATAGTACCTTGGAGTTTTTTTAGATTTCCTTCCGAACTAATACTAAAATTGATCAAAAATAGGTAATGGTGTTAAATGGTAATTGAAATGATAACCCCAAGGTTAATTATATGAATTATATGAAATATAAAGACATTTTGCTGTAGATGGAAAAAAATCAATTTTACCTGTGCAGGTGTCACACACTTCTACAAGACTGTCGCGAATCTTCAGACTATAATATATATATATATATATATATATATATATATATATATATATATATATATATATATATATATATATATATATATATATATATATATATATATATATATATATATATATATATATATATATATATATATATATATATATATATATATATATATATATATATATATCAATCGGTATCCATTAATATCTGCTGGAGATAATAAATTTAAAATATCAAGGTCACAGCACCTAACTTCCTTATACACAGTTTCCTAGAAAATTTTAAGGTAGACCCCTTCACGTTTGATCCAGGTTTTTAGACATCTCGATTATTTTAAAAGTGTTTTTAACTGGTAGTAAATACCTACATTGAACGCATTGTACACGGAATTTGATGTCTCTCACAGCATACAGTTGGCCAGAAAATTTCATGGTACGTTCTTTCGCGTTTCCTCATACTTAATCCAAAATTTTCTTAGATATCTTGATTATTTCGAAAGTGTTTTTGATCAGTAGTAAAAACGGAAGCAGAAATTAACATTTTGAACTGATTTGCCACTTAGAGGGTGTCCAAATTTTATCAACCAAATATATAATTCTGAAAGCTACGGAATTTCGTAAGAGGACACCCTCTAGATTATTGTATAATTTGACGCAAAATTTAATTCTACAGCGACCAGCCTTTATCTATACGTATTATCGTTATTATCATTATATCATATCATTATTATTATGTTATTTGGATTTATTTGGATTTACTCACATTTTCGTTTTCATGGAGATAGTCAATTTTGAAATGTTATTAAAATTGATGTTTTTAGTGCAGACTGAAATTGGAAATACATTCCCGTCGATCCTGATTTAAAGCCTCAATTTTTAAAGAGTTATTTCACTATCTGAGTTTTAACTATCCTATGTTGTCTTATAGCGGCTATCTGTTTGTTAGTGGAATTTCAACTTTTGATTTTACACATCAATTTAGTTACTTATTTGATGGAAAACGCCTTTAATTCAACTAACAATTAATAGGAGGTACTTATGTCAAGACGGCGTAGAAATACAATGACGCGGAAATGTGCTGCTCTCTATTTTTAATTTTAAATATAGATAAGATTGTAAAAACACTGACTGTCACCGATTTTTCAATTGAATTTTAATTGTCATTTAAACTTATTCAGTAGCATCTTCTACAAAAAACGGTGCGAATACGACGTTAAAATTTATGATTTTGTATACGTGGGATCTTTATAATAGGCGTATAAGCTATCAAAACAATTATTTTAAACTGTTATTACCATCATAAAGCAATTAACTGATATTTAAAAATATTTAAGCGCGCCCCCTTAAGATGTATGAATAGAATCATAGTGTTTGGAGCTCCTGAACAAGTGTTGCTCGTTGATTTACCAGTGAAACTTGCTTAGATTTTAAGTTTGTTCTGAATTTTAACACACATCTTATTTCCCAAATTATTTGGAAAGATTTATAATTATTCGTTATGCGGTAAAAATAAGTTGTTCATATAAAATAATTTTAACCAAGTTTCGCTATTTTTGGTATCAAAACATAATATTTATTTTAAGAATCCGACATACTGAAGAATCAAATCAAAACATATTTCTTTCCATACACTCTACTACACTCTACACTCTAAAACTTTGCTTATTGTGTGAACTTTTAGATTCAAAATAAAAAATACAACACAAATCATCAAAACACATAAAAGCTTCTATAGCTTATAAATACAGCATGGATAAAAATGAGTAAAGAATAACAATAACACTTCAAATTCAATACAACATCCACTAATCTTATACATTGAGAAAACAAAGAAAGTTTTCTTTTAATTTTAATTTTTTTCCTTCTATATATTAATATAGAAAATATTTAATATTTAATTAATTTAATACTATTCTATTCATTTATTAATTTATTTTGTGGAATACCGCAAATAAGAAAACGCGAAAAAGGATTACGAACTAGATAATGAATGTGGATCCAAAAGTCTAACGGTCGATATCTTCTTTAAGCAATCATGCTTCTAAATTGTCGAAGTGTTCCATTAAATGGAATTCTCACCATTTGTTTGGTTTAAATTTTATACTTTGCGAAAAATCTCTATAATTATTGTTTTCAGAAAATATGGTGCATATTTCTTTAAATTTTACTATTTTTTCTATTGAAGACATTATGCGAAAACTAATGCTTCCTACCTACAGCTAGTTTTTAAATCTGATGTTTCGCTTCCCATTGAAAATGTTTTTAAGGTTTCTTGATAATAACGGATTTCGTTAGATTTTTAAATAAAACCAGGATAACAAAAAAACGATATAATAAATATTTTTCTATTATAGGTTACAAACTTAACTCTAAATCACATGCAAGGTAGTAAACGTAATTTTGAAGAAAAATATTCGGAAACAAAAATTAAATCCGAAGATTATGCCTGGGTTGATCTTAAAGTAGCTGCGATGTACGATAGCTCTGAAACAAATAGTGCGTACAGTTATCATCATGTTAAAGTTTCATTACTCCGCAGTCCAGGGAAGCCGACTTGAAGTTATCATATGATAACGCTAGGTAAAGGATACAGAACAAAATTAAGAGTTTTCAGAAGTAGTGGTGAAAACACCACTAATAGGAAATTTCTGACGACGATGATAAAGTTCAAATAATATATTGTTTTGGAAAACTGAATAATATTGAACTGAGGTGGTTTTTACTTGATGAAAATCCATTTATCAAAGTAAATAAGAACTAAAAGTTAAAATTAAATTATATATTTTGACATGACAATTGTTTCTACAACACCGTGTCTTTATCAAAACTTAATTAAAGTTATTGTGAGAATTTAAGTTCAATAAAGGAGAGGTATTTAAACCTAATTGGTCGTTAAGCAATACGTTTTAATGTCTCATTTTGTTAATCTCCATGGCTTCCAATAAATTTAATTTTCTACTTTTTGTGGCTGCATGTAAAATATCAAAATTGTAGTCAAAAATGTGTTTTTCTATGTTTAAGTGTGTTGCATAATTAGAATCTAGACTATTGTTTTTAAACGCTCTTATATGTTCGTTAATGCGTTTCTTGAAGGATCTACCTGTTTGTCCATTATAAATTTTAGGATCCACATTTCAACCTGTAGACAGCTGATTTTTGGGATTCTTTACATTTCGTTACATTATATTTTAAAAATTTTCCTATTGTGTTGCTAGTTCTGAAAGCTATTTTTCAACCACATTTTGATGAATGTTTTGAAACTTTTTCACTAGGTTCTCCTATGTATTTAATTGTTTTAAATTGTTCGTGTTCTGTATTAGGTTTCGGATAAATAGAGTTTACTGTTGTCTGTAGTTGTTTTTTATTTATAATTTTATCTATAATGGACGGATTGTAGCCGTTGTTCAGTGCAATTTGTTTAATGATATTAAGTTCTTTGTTGTAATTTTCTGTTGAGAGTGGTGTATTAAGAAGTCTGTGTATAAAAGAGTTAAATGCAACCATTTTGTGTGTATAAGGGTGATTTGAGCTGTTATGTATGACTGTGTCTGTGTGTGAAGGTTTATGATATATTGAAAAGTCTAATTTGTCTTGCGTTTTCGTAATAGTAGTCTAAAAAATTAATAGAGTTATCCTGTTCAATCTCGATAGTGAATTTTATAGGATTATGTAATGAATTAATGTAATTTAAAAAAGAATTCAATTGTCTGTCCGTTCCAACAAAGCAAGCAAAGACATCATCCACGTATCTATACCACGATAAAAACTTTTACTTTTTTTTTTTAAAAGGTAAGGACCCAACTTAACGACAAAAATAATTTAAAAGTTTGCACGGATTTGCGGAGCCAGTTAATTATGGATCGTTATGTAGAAATGTAATTGAAATTGTTACCTCTTCCGCAATAGATATGAGATTATCTGCCATAGCTTTTCCCGTCTGTAGCACCAGCTCATAGAATACGCCAGTTTGTTTATTCTGTAGCAGCTCGTGTGGAGGACCGAATTCAACAACTCTGCCGGCGTCCATCACGAGAACTTTGTCGGAGTCCATTATAGTGTGCAACCTGTGCGCCACAGTCAACACAGTGCACTGGGAAAACTTTTTCCTTATCGTAGATTGTATGAGTAAGTCCGTTTGGGGATCAACGTTAGCGGTAGCTTCATCTAGGACCAAAATTTTGTTATTCCTAATTATGGCTCTAGCCAAACACACCAGCTGCCTCTGGCCGACGCTGAAGTTTGAACCGCCTTCAGACATAACGGTTTCAAGACCTTGAGGTAGTTTCGACACCGCTGGTTTAAGTTCAACCTCTTCTAGAGCACTCCACAGTACCTACAAGAAAATCAGTTCATACCGAAATCTATTCATATCAAACACCATCTTTTACATTATCATTATATTCCCCAAATGGATCCAAGTTTTTTTTAAGTGTACCAGAAAACAAAACTGGTTCCTGTGGTATTATTGAAATATGAGATCTTAATTTGTTCAAGCTTATCGATTTGGTATCAACATCATCTATGAAGATATTTCCTTCAATGTCAGCTAGCCTGAATAGAGCTACGATAATCGAGGATTTTCCGGCTCCCGTTCTGCCGACTATCCCAACTTTTTCCCTGCTCTTAATTTCAAATGTCATGTCGTTTAAAACGTTAGGTTCACTAGGCGCATATTTCAGGCTCAGGTTCTGGAATTTAATGTTTCCGCTTTGGGGCCACGTTATCGCCGGTTTAACAGCGCCTTCGTCTTTTTCTGGTACCACGTCCGCATATTCTTTCACTCGTTCTACGCACGTCATTGTGTTTTCCAATTCACTCCATTGTCGCACAGCGAACTGCAAAGTTCCGGTTAACGTTATAGACTGGGTGATCGCCAAACCCACATTGGCCCCGTATGTTTCTGAAAGGGTGTATCGGAATCTTAGTGGATCTTCCGTAATTTCTATTGATAAATTTTACCTGTGTTCATGATCAAGAAACTAAAAGTGACAATTGTTATGAAAATCACGCAGTGAAAATCCAGCCAAAGTCCAAAGCATCTACTAGAGGCCAGAAACATGAAAAATACCGAACTATATTTGTTGTGATAATCGTCGAATTCCTTCTTTAACATTTCCTGAGCGCCAAATGCCCTGATTGTCGTTAGGCCCTGTAAGGAGGTAGTTAGATGTGAATAAACGGGACTCCTCGCTAAAAATGTATTTTAAATGCTCTTGATTTTTGAGGTTGCCCTAGTTGCTTCTGTGTTTACCTATCCCTTCTAGTCGTTTAATGTTTCTGCTGGTCCTCAAATATATAAATCGTATGTAGTAGAATATGAACAGGACGACAATGGCAGGAATCAGCATCCAAATGTTCACAACCGAAACCACCGTTAATGCCGCTAAAACATTAACGCCAAACTGGAAAGAGGATATATTTTAAACTCTATATTACACGTTAATATGAGTTTGTTGGGTTAAAATTGGTGGAGAGTGGAGGGTGCTGATGACCAAGTGTACTGTTTCTGTTCACATGTGCCCATTCTTTACCGTAAATTGTATTTCTTTAGGATTAATCAAAAAATGTAGATATGCTGTCTACAAGTTAGACCCATGCCAAAAGCCAATTCGAAATTTCCATGTCAAAACATTTCCGCATTACCAATCTGCATCCAAATTATTTCAAAAAGAAAAACAAAAATAGACAACGAGATAAATTAAAGATAGATTTATGTGAACAATTCATTTAGCAATCCGACATTAGCGATAAGTACATACATACTTCATTAACACCCTAAATGGCTTTATAATTTCTACGCTCTTACTTGCAAAGTATCCAGAAGCATTGTAGGCAAATACTCATCGATTTGATTCATATCTTTGGAAAATCTGTTTAAAATTCTTCCCGATGGATTGAGATGGAAAAACCTCATGGTACCATAAACAATTTTACCGAACATTGTATTATGCAGTTTTATGGAAGCGTTCATGCAACACCTAAAGAACCACAGCGATCTAACAATGGTTATTATGACCGTCACTGCTATTATACAGGAGTAAGCAATGAGGGCAGTATGCTCTCCAATGTGGTCCAACCAAAATTGTTGTAATTTATTTAAATGTAATGTGCCATTGTCCGAACTGTAGACAACTTCAGAAAATAAATCCAAATCCAGCGTCTCTTTTTGGTTCCTCCTAATCTGCTCCACATTGACCCTTAAATGTAAAAAGGAATTTTACAAAAATGCTACAAAAAATTAGTAACTAAATTACCAGTACGTCAAAAAGTAGTCTCCGCAGCTTGCGAACGTCTGAGCTAATATAAATGCTAACAGCACCATAAAAATGGTGCAACCATGACCGCCAGATAATATGTAGGTTTTGTAAACACTCCAGTTGACGGTTCCCCGCCCTTGGCCTTCCTTTTCTTCCGTCGGGTCCTTTTCAGTTTTGGAGACAACTTCTTTAGTTGATATTCTAGGACCAGAAGATTTTTTCCAATCTATGTTCTCATCTCCATTCGAGTCATCAATAATATCTTTCAATTCCTCCAGAAGATTTGTAAACTCCGTTCCGGAATTTTGAACTTCCTCATACGTACCAGAGCTTTCTATTTTACCGTTGCCGAGCAAATAAATACTTTGGACGTTTTTGAGGTACTGTAGCTGATGCGTAACAAGTACAACGCATTTGCTTTTAAGATATCCGGCGATACATTCATCGAACAAATGTCTGCCAACGTGTGTATCAACTGCTGATAATGGATCATCAAGTAAATAAATGTCGGCTTCTTTGTAGACTGCTCTGGCAAGGTTGATTCTAGCTCTCTGACCTCCGCTTAATGACACTCCTCGCTCACCAACAATGGTACGATCTCCGTAGGGAAATAAAGCGAAATCCCTTTCTAATGCACATACTCTAACTACCTCGTTGTATTTTGCAACGTTGAATTCTTGCCCGAAAGTGATATTTTGTCTAACGCTTCCAACAAAAAGCCAAGGCTCTTGAGAAGCATATGAAATGCTGCCTTCTATTTGGGCGGAACCAGATACAGGAAGAAGTTCTTTTAATATCGCGTGCAAAAGCGTCGTTTTGCCACTACCGACGGGACCAATTACTGCTGCCAATTGCCCCGAAGAAACGTCCATGGAAATATTGTTTAAAATATTTCCCTTTGCGGTCTGTGTCCAGGTCACTGATACCTTGTCCATATGGATACCGGCCGGCGCGTTCGTCTGGTTGTTGGGTGAATTTAGGAACGATGAACTAGAATCAAATGTCACTTCATCGTACAGCAAAAACCGTTTTATCCTTTTGACAGATATGCCAGCTTCCGCCATTTGAGTAATTCCTTGAGGCCAAAACATTGCGACCGATAGATTTAAAATGCCATAAAAGCAGGTGGTAACAAATACATAGTGAGGATCTAGAGTTTTCCCTAAGAGAACGTAGGACATCATGCAGAAATAAATTGAAGCTCTGTTTAAGAACATATTAAAGGACATTACAAATGCTCTAATCACCGATGTCTTGCGTATTTCACCAAGTTCTGTTCTGAAACGGAGAAGTATTTATTTAATGAAGATGAAAAATGTTATAAAACTTCTAAATAGTACCTTCTGCTGATTTCCACCAGCTTAGCGAATGGTTTTTCCCAGGTATACATCTTAATCACTTGTATGCCAGATATAATCTCGTTCATCAGTCGGATTCTTTCGTCGGTCAATAGAGCTGTACTGAGTCGATACGCAGAGGACTTTTTCCCCATCCACACTGAAAAAAGAATCCATCAATAGAATTACAGTTTTGATTTCTAGACCCACCCTCTCCAGGTTACTTACTTTGAAAAGGAACAAAGGCTAGCATCAAGATAACCCCTACAAGACCAGTCCATCCTACATAAATTCCCAAAAGTAACAACACGACTATTGTCTGAAGAGGAGCCAACCATAAGTTGTGAATATGGGTGGTCATCATTTCGAATCGCGTTACATCGTTGGAGATGAGATTAACCATCTGGCCTATCGTGGTTCCAGCTAGGGCGGATTTGTTCAATTTAAGGGCTTTTCTAAGACGAGATGAATATTTTAAAATCGAATTGCGTTTGCGATTTAAAATATATAGTGAACGTATATTGGTTTGAATTTTTGTATAATAAACCAACAAAAAATCTCATATCAAAGAAAACCACGGTACTGTCGTGTTGGTCGTCATTCAAATAAGTAACATTCGAGTCTATGATTTGTCCAATCCGTGGTCTTTTCTACAAGAAGATGTTTTTTTCAAGATAAACTTTTGCAAATAATAATAATAATATTTATTTAAATCAATAAAAAAACATATATAATTTACCAACTTATTGTAATGTAAACATTAAATTAATATTAATACAAAAAAAAAACACTAATACTCAAGGTATTCTAAGTTAAAAACTTGACAGCCATCTTTGAACATAACGCAGATTAATTTAACTATGTTTACTATATAACATGCAAAAGAAAAAAAAACCATAATATTCTACCAAAAAAAGAAACGCTTTTATATAGTTACAATACATTAATGAATCTGTGAATTTGACTTATAATAAATATTCATTTAGAAACTTAAGTTAAGTCAATAAACCACTTAGTTATTTTTTTTTTAATGATTTTAATTTTATTTTGTTTTTCAGTTCTATATAAATTATAAATTTTTCGAGCAGTATAAAAGTAATTCTTTTGTCAAACGGATAAATGCATTTTTTCTAAAGTTAAATTTTCTCCAAGTTTAATTAAGTCAGATCGCGGATTTAACTTAAATATAATTTTCAAAATTCTTTTTTGTATTACGTAAAGGGGCTGAAGAGTTGTGCGATAGACACCACCCCAACCAATTATTACATAAGATATAAGTGATTGTAACAGTGAAAAATAAGTAGAAAGAAGTAATTGCTTATCAGATATTTTATTAAGTTGCCGGAATAAATACAATAAGAATCGTAACTTTTTCACTAACTGTTCGACATGGAAGTTCCACTTTACATTTGAGTCAACATGAATTTCTAGAAAGGTAATATGCTCAGCTCTACGTAAAAACCAGCAAATGTTTCTAAACAATAGTTTTATAGTAAGTTTATTGTTTGCAGGTAGCCGATCATTATAATTTGATCATGAAATTTGAAATCTAAGTTAATTGCTAGTAAATTATAGTCAAACCACTGTGACATGAGTTGCAAGTCCTAACTTATGCAGTTCCCGACTTCGTCCCAATTGTTACCTTCAACAAACAAAACTGCATCATAAGCAAAAGAGATGATTTTACCGGAAAAATCAATAGTAAGTAGTTGATTTATGTATATACGTTACAGTTCTCGGCTTACTGAAACAGGTTATTAATCTCTACCATTCGTTGTCGATTTTTCAAGTAAATTTCAATTAGTAAGTGAGCAAATCCTCTTATACCAACTGAATATAATTTAGTCAAAAGCCGCGAGTGGCTTACAGTATCGGATGCGTTTGCTAAGTCAATGAACACTGCAGAACATGGTCTTGAATTATCTAAGCGTCTACATACATTTGACAATAGCATAGCAATGGCATCATTAGTTGACTTGTTATCACTAAAACCAAACTGGCATTAGATATTATATGATTTTTAGTAATAAAAGAAACTAGTGGAACATTTAAGGCTTTTTCGAAAATTTTTGTTACATTAGATATAAGACTTGGCCTGTAATTCTCAAGAATGTTTCGTTCTCCTTTTTTAAAAGCAATTTTGAGATTGAGATTTTAGTTTTCTTTTATGATTAAAATCAAAAACTTTTGCAAACCGCTAATCAGAAAGGTGCATATACCAACATTAACGTTAATTGTTACTACCATTGCCATTACAGTTATTTAGCTTAAATTCAGTTTCATTAGATCAACAGGACTGCAGAAATAATTCAAAATCTGTTTCTTAAATTATGTTCGTTTTCGGTATGCAGAAATCTATATTTAAGGTCATCGTAAGTATAAATACTACCTGTAGATAATTGTTGATGTTGCTATTCTTATCTTCATACCCAAATGGAATATATGAAGCATGTAAGTGTGTTGACATAAAACGTATACAAAAGAAGACAAGACTATTACAGTTGCGTAGATGTAAGCCTCGTTCCGACTCATAGTTGAATCTTGCTGGTAGAACTCCAACAACTTTGATAGTGCTATAGGTTGAGAAATCCTGCAAGAAAAATCAATCGATGATGCGGCTTTCAGTTTTTTAATTATACGAGTAGCCTACTTAACGCCCATCTCCATAAAAAAATACATGAAAGCAAGAATTAGAATTATGAGGTTTTTCCCAAAGACCCTTCCCAATGCTCTCCACAGAGAAGGATTCTTTTTGTCTTTGACCTCCCTTCTCCATTCTTTTTCTAGTTTATCTCCTAGTATCGTCGAATCGTGTGACTTTAGTGACGGAAAAATGTCATCTTCGTTAAGGTCCGTTCTAAATCCTTTGTAGAAGAGTGGCAGAAGCCATCTGAAATTATAGTATCATTTTTTTCTTAACCTTCAATTCGATAAACTTTTAAAAAATATTGCAGGTCAACTTTTTTTCTGGAAAATATTTCATAGCTTGTTTTTGTTGTCAAAATCGTCGATTTATCTCGAAACTTTAGCAGTTGAGAAACATTTCCTGTTTACCAAGAAAAACTAATTTTAAAGAAACGATCTCTTAAATAACTATCTGATACCGGCTCGATTTAAAAAGTTCCTCGCGCTATAAATAAAATAGATAACACTCAAATAGTAATTGTTTGGAAACAATATAAAAATTCGCCTGAATTTTTATGCAGATTTACTTATAAAAACTATCAGCGATCTAAAACAACGAAAAATTATCGCACAGACTTAAGTTAAATAAGTGTTTTTAAAGGATTTTCTCAAACGAAATCTAAAATTAACAAACTGAAAAATGGTACTTACACATAAAATATTTTGGAAAAAACATTGGCGACTTTGTATGGATTTTTCTGCTGAATAGTTCTTGTCCTTTCCTCCTGCGTATTCTCCATTCAAAATGCCGATACTGTTGAACGAAAAAAATCAAAACAATTACTAATGTCGGCTGCCTATAGACTCGCTGCCCCGTCAGAGTTGGATTAAAATTCTAGCGCAAAACAATTTTGAAAGTTTATACAAGTTGGTCAAACTTAAACTACAGCAGCTGACAAAGGCAAGCTCAGAAACAATTGTTTTCCACGTTCCTATTATCACCGTTGGTTATTTTGTTGCGTTCAGTAGAGAGTAGCTGTTAGAAGAACCACCGCGATTGATTTAAAACGCAGCTATAATAGGACGAAAGGATTCACTAGCTAAAATGCGAAGGCGACCATCCTGTAGTTGTGTGAAGTGCTCGATTAGTCTCAGTCTTTCGCAAGTACTTGTATAGATTTATATCTTTGTGCAATAGGCACCTATTATTACATTTAATATTTTTCTCGAAAAATTGAGTTCCATCTTTACAAATCGTGTGACAACATAGAGAGGAAATTTACAGGATTGCTACAACTGATTGGGAAACCCTTTTTAATAATCTTGGAAATTAAATCTGACTTCAGTTTAAGTAATCCAGATACTCTTTCGGTTTTTACAATGGCTACACATTCACTCTTTCACAAAGCCTTAGTTAATTTGATACCCTGTTTCCCGATGACGAAATATTTTAGAACACTATATGGTAACTTTTGCATCAAAAATACTCGAGAAGTATCGACACCTATCAACACCTTGTATAATATACATACGCTTCGTTTATATTTATATTTTCAATACAAGTTGTTAAAATTTACTTATCTACAAAAAATAAAATATTTATCGGTAGAATTCAATCTTTGTTTTTTAATTAACCGATAATAAACATTACTCTGTGGCAACCATACTTGGTGTTGGTAAACTTTGGAGCTTATTTAGTATTTTATGTATTTAGATTAACACGTGTAAATTTTTTTTCTTGTCAATCCTGCTTGCAGCCATGAATCTACACGAGTCAAGCCTTCATGGTTAGAAGTACTATTGTGGTAGAATTGTGCAATCTTAAAGGACGTAGAGTTGAGAGATTATTTGTGAATTTTAAAGCGATGGCCATAAAATTTCTGATCCCAAAACATCATTGAAAATTTTATATGTAACAAACACGTCTCTAAAATGAATGACGACCCTTATTTTGCTCCTCAAAATATGAAAAATTTCTTTTCGAGTGGCGTCGACTTCACTGTCCAATAACTATAATAATAACTATCCGATTTTTTAGTCTTTTTACGACTAACTTTAATATTTTATCCACAAACATATTACAATGCAGGTGTGAATTATATCAACTTCCCAAACATCGTACACTAATAGGGCATTTTACAGCCTCTAGCATAGACCAATTAAACTTTACTGTTTTAGCACTTTTCAAATTTAAAATTACTAAATAGAAACACTTATTTCTACTCACTCCATCGAGTTACGATTAGAAATATATTTGTCTCTTCGTCTAATCTTTCCAAACTTTCATATCTAGATTCTTTCCCTGGACGACTCGTATCATCTCTAAAAATATGGCAAAACAGGTCCTTATGATGCCCAGCTCTTGGATTTTGAGACAGTTTTTCTGGCACTAATTTTTGAATTATTTTATTATGACATAGATAGAAGTTTTTGGAAGTTGACGAGCCTAAACTTTGTAGAAAGAAAATCACTAGAAAATAACAAACTAAATTGTCTAAGCAGGATTAAAAGTTTAGTTGGTCTAGACCTTAGCAACCATTCCTGCATCTACTTAGGTAAGACAAGTACGAATGAATCTTCATTTAGAAATTTGTGACGTTTTCCATTATCAAAATTCTTGATTCTTTTGGTGCAATAAATAATTGTTTTTTAATTTTTATCCAACTTCTGGATTCCTCCTGCGTCGGTTTTTGCTGAGTCGAACTAGCTAACGTTGCTTGACTGAAACTGGCTCGTATTTTACTCTGTATGGTCTGTTCATAGATATAAGAAAGTGGCCATTTGCTTTTGAATGGGATTATTCAGGGGTGGTCATTAACATACAACGCAACAAGATTATTATCTAAAGTTTCGGAATTTAAATTCAGGTAAAATTGTGGTTCGTAATAGAAAATAATTTTATACCTACCTGTGTTTAATATTCTTTGGTTTGGTTTACTACTTAGTTTAAGTTTATTAGTAATCATTCTTATTTCGTGTGTAATACAGCGTGTGTTGAATCGTGTGCGAATTATGCAAAATATGTGCGAGTCTAGTGTATCTCAGGAGATTCTCCCGCCCAGATGTAGAAAACACTATTCTATTGAGATTAAGGAAGTTATAAACAATGTTTATTTGACTCTCATTGAACGTGGTGCCAGCAAGTAAGCATCTTTAGAAGAAACGGCCACATTGACGAAAATTCCAATATCAACTGCGAAAAAGAAAAGAAGCGATGCTGACATTTTCTCGAGTGCAGATGAAAGTGATCAAGTTATAATACGGCGTAAAATTTACCAGTTATACGAGGAACAAAGCGTGCCTACATTAGATATCTTAATTAGGAGGCTTAAAAAAGATGAAACCGGTGTTAAATGTGGCGGAACTACTTTATGGAAATGTATCCAACCCATGGGTTTTAGATTTTAAAAAATTGAAAGTTTTAATGGAATGGAATCTTTTAGAATTCGGAAATGGCGACTGGAATATCCAGAAAAAATTAGGATTTACATAGAACAACAAAGGCCAATTATTTACTTGGATGAAACCTGGTTCGACACTTATGATACCCCGGAAAAGGGTTGGGTTGACTCTAGTGATAAGTGTAAAACAAACGCGCAATCAAAAAGAGGTAAAAGAATAATTATTTTGCATGCTGGCTCTGGATTCTAATTGGACTTTCTCTGTCTTCGAAGAATATTAGAGATTCTTCTCTGGATTACCGTGAAGACACCACCGCTGATTTATTTGAAGGTTGGTTTAAAAACAATTTAGTTCCAAACATTCCTCCTAATAGCGTCATTGTAATGGACAATGCAAGTTATCCCAGTAGACAGTTGACTAAAACCTCTTCCTCATGTGACACAAAAGCAACAATCCCAAACTACATGTATAATAACGACATTTATTTTCACGAAGATTATACCAAAAAGCAATTAATTGAGGTTCTACAAAGCTTGAACCTACAAAAGGAATACGTCTGTAATAATTATGCAAAAAATCTAGGGCATACAGTTTTAAGGCTTCCACCTTACCACTGTATCTTTAACCCCATTGAACATGTTTGGCACCAACTGAAATCTGCCATTCGTCATAACAATGTTTTTCCCCGTGTTAACTCCAATGTTCTCAAACTTATAGAAACCGAAGTTTCTAACATCCCTCCACAAAGTTGGACAAATTCTGTTCGTATATCCATATCGCAAATAATATAGAACAAATAATAATCACAAGACGCGATGATAGCGATAGTGATACTGATATATTATGTGAATAATTTGAAGTAATTTAAGTAGGTAATAAAAATAATTTGTAATTTTATTTTATATTTAAACATAAATACATAAATAAATAAATAAATAAATATTGTTTAGCATCTTTCCTAACAAAACCCCAAATAATTAAATTCTAAACAAAGTACGGACCTGTTCGGCCATATTTCATGAGGGCCGCAAACACCGCCTCGGATGACTGATTCTCATAATAATGGTGACCGGAGACCTGAGTCGCGGTTAAGATTGTTAGATTGCTTATAGATTTTTATAGAGTCTCGGATTTTTCGTTGGTCGAAGAATTCATTACATGCAAGAATTTTAATTTTATTGAATAAAATTTTATGCCCTGTTTCGTAATTGTATTCGGCAACTGCTGATGAGTTTATTTATTTTAGTCTCATGTTCTTTGAGCCTAGTTGATATTTTTCGTCCTGTCTCCACAATCTATTCTTTGTCGCATATGCTGTAAACTCCTGGCATATGAAATAGAATGTTATCTTTAAGGAATCGAAGATGTTGAGAGATTTTTGGGAAAGTGGTAAATCTGGTTTTGACGTTATATTTCTTTACAACTTTTGATATGTGGTCAGTGATGTTTTGAATATAAGGAAGGACAACAGTGGCTAGTGTGGGATTGCTTTCGGCTTCATTGCTATTGGAAGGTTGTGGTGAAGTGTATTTTGTGATGGAACGCTTAGTACCTTTAATGTGGAAATTAGAGGCTGAGAGAGTTTTATGGTTCTGTAAACAAAAGAGTGGGTAAGCAATACTTTTCGGGCCGGATGGTGAGGTGACAATGCATTAAGGTATCGGTCTGTATGCGTAAGTTTTCTGTAAAGACAATGACCCAATGTGAGGGCTGATTTTCTATTGATAAGAATATCTAATAACGGGAGGTTGTTTTTAGTTTCTCTTTCAATGGTAAAACGTATGTTAGGGTGCATAGAGTTTAAATGTCTAAGAAAATATACTATTCCTGACCATGAGGCCAAATAACAAAAGTATCATCGATGTCGCGTTTCCATACATTTTTTTAAGAAGGAAGGTGTCGAGAGCTTTCTTCTCAAAGGCTTCCTTAAATATATTAGTTGTGATAGTGGAGAATCTATAGCTGTTCCCAACGTTCAAAAGTTTGACCGTTTTAAGAGAAATATGTTCCCGACAAGCATTTTTCAATTAAGGTGAGAAGGTTTGGTTTCAGGTTTTCGAAGTGAAAGGAATTAAGTACAAAGCTGTCAGTTTTCCCTGTAAAGGGTTTTTTTGCTAGAGAATATGTTGGACAATAGGTGGAAGGGGTAATCCGGGTTTGTGGATCTTTGGAAGCCTGTAGAGACGAGGAATGTTAGAGTCATGAGGGGCGACAGATTTTTTCAAGGAGTCTGATAGCGAAGAAGCCTTAATAATAGATTTAAAGATGCGCTCCATAGGTGACAGGATCTTTTTTAAGTTGAATGAGGAATGCAGAAGTTTTATGAAAAGTGTTACAGTAACCTGTGGAAGTTTCTTTGAAAAATTAAATAACGGTGTTGAAAAGTCATTTTAAGTGTTTAATAAACAAGTGTCGGAAGAAGTTTATGAACGTGATGACATACTATACTTTTTCTACCACCATTAAGTTTTATTAGCTTCAGAACTGACAAAAGTCCAAATAACATCAATGTTTTAAATCTACCGATTTACCAATCCAATCGTTCCCAACCCGTGTCTAAAATATATGAATTGGCCCTCGACCAGTGTTTAATAAAGCAGACGTTTTAAGCCACACTTTTCTAATGGTAGATAATTGCATAAGTCGGAATATTGGAGTAAGGAATGAAAAAAATAATATACGCACCACCTCAGAATAGTCTTTTTCCTTTTCCGAATTTAGTACGTCATATACCATTGTATAAGCTCTATTATGTGCTAGAAGTGAAGGAGGGAAAATCATTCAGTTTAAATATCGGTCCTACAAGTTTTCTGCTTTTACATATTGGAGAAACAAATTTCATCGTTGTTCAGCGAAAAAAAAAAACTAAACATTCCTAGCGGCCGAGTCTATTAAACTACCCCCTTAAACTAAAAAATCACTTAAATTGATATTATTTTCGATTTATTATGTTTTCTGCATAGGAACAAAAACGGTCAAAATACGAGGAGTGCGTAATCGAGTACCGCAGAAATGAGGCTTTTAACCTGTGATTTACCTTACTGAGCAATCAATTACCAGATTAATCCTCGGTGATTGATCGAATAGGTGCTGTAAAACACTAGAATATATCATTCCATTATAGATACCAATTTGTTTGATTATTATAATGGCTATACAGTGATGGACCTATATAACTATGAAATAAATATATATATAGATTAATTTCGTTGATAAAACTTCTTTACCCGTTTTTATTCAAAGACGGTATACAGGGTGATCACTATTAAATCTTTGAAATTGTAACAAAATTGCTTAAAATTTTATGATTCATTTTATTTCTTTTAAGAAATTTTATATTTTAAATTTAAATTCTGCGAACGAATCAACTTCTTAATACGCCCAACCTATTATTCGATTCGATACATGTGATCGTTGAGTATATTTATTTTATTTGACAATTAAACAACTTGTGACAACAAAAGAATGATTTAGAGTTTACTTAAAGAAATCGGTACTTTCGCAATATGGTTTGAGATAAGTGCTGATAATATTTAGTATTCTAGCAGTTCTAAAAAAGTATGATCAGTGATCATAAATAAAATGATTAGGTGCAACTTGCAACAAAGTTCTTTATAAAACAACGGCGTACTGAAAATGTATCAAATCAGGAGAAACAAAATGAGTAGAGAGTTGTGATAAAGTCCCTTATGAAATAAAGGAAATATTTGAAATAGCTCTTAAAATTATTTAATAACATACAGAGTGTTCCCTTTATATATCAAGATTTGGGAATTTCAGAAAAAAACTGTAAAAAAAACATAGTAAATTCATGCCTAGAGAATGGTTACTTTTCAGCCTGCTGGAAGACAGTTGTTGTGTGTCCCACTCCTAAAGTAAGTTCTCCTTCATCGTTTAATGATCTAAGACCGATTAGTTTGCTACCTGTGTTAAGCAAGGTTCTGGAGAGAGTTGTCTACTTACAGCTCTATGAATTTGTTAAAAATAATGACATCCTATCTGTTTTTCAATCTGCGACCATACAAATCACTCTCAAATCATTCACTTGTATGTGCTAAACTGCTATACTTCGGACTACCTGGCCAACTTTTGGCCTATTTTTGCAGCTACTTGCAAAATAAAAGACAAGTTGTTCGGACGACAGCTGGTGTATCGAAAGTTATTGAAGAGTTATCAGGGGTGCCTCAAGGGTCAATCTTGGGGCCACATTATTTTTACTGGATTTGATTTAGGTACCGGTTTGGCCAATCTCAATCATATGCTGATAATACCCAGCTTGTTTATTTTTTTGACCCGTTCCATTATGATGGGATCGAAGCAGATATTAATTTCCATCTGCCGCAGGTTTTTACTTATAGTGAGAGACATGCTTTAAGATTAAATTCGGTTAAACTCAGGTGCTACTCTTTGCTCGCGACTATGCAATGTACTAGTCGTTTTGTCGTTTGCTACCAAGGAAAAAATTTAAGAGTAACGGTCGACGTATCATTATGATTTAGTGAGCACATTTCAAATTTAAGTTAAAGAACTTAGGTTTTACTTAAGACTCTATATGCCAATAAGCATATATGCATTGTCATCTTGCCTCGTATTTTTTTACCCATGTTTAACAGTCCTTGATCGTAGACGCCTTCAAAAAATACAAAACTGTTGTAGGTATATGGCTTAAGGAAATATGACCACGTGTCCCCTAAAATTAAATTGTTGCAGTGGTTGTGAATAAGCAATTCACTTGAGTACCTATTCGCTGTGTTAATATAAAATATCTTAAAGTCTTCTAGGTCTCCCTATAAAGTAAATATTAAGGAGAATACTCTAAGTGTGCCTCAACTCAGATCTGCTCTTTACAAGCGAGCGTACTATTAGATAAATAAAGTGCTGATTGGGTTTTTCATTTTCTAATTAACCACAGAATTATTTCTACAATTACTTACTTCCTTTTTTATTTATTTATACTTCATTTTTCATTCAGCCAGCTTTTTTTTGTTACAAATTATATTGTCATAAAGCTGTATAATATATAGATTAATTGGATTAATGTTGAGTAGCTGACGCTGTCCAGATCAGTTTTCATCTATTCGATAAGTTGACGAATAATCGAGCTACAAGGGCTTCTAAAATTGCAACATTTTCAGAATCACCCTGAATCTAAAAATCAAAGCTAGGACATTTCGATTGCATTTAATAAAAAATCAGCTTTATTGAAAATGTATTGCAAAAGCAACAAGAACCATCTATTCCTACTAAGAATTAATTAAATTATTAATATTATTATTAATTAATTAAAATTAATGGGAAACATATCGGAAAATTAGACCCGAATTATTATAATAAAAATATAGTACCAAATACCTGTCACTAAAATTTTTGATTTAATTTTCCCACGTCGTGTTGTGCAGATTAAAACGCCCACCATGTAACATTTCAAGTTCATTCAGTTCAAGGCGTAACCTCTAAACGTTACAAACGACAGAACTGCACTTTCCTAGGAGCCATTCGGTGTTGCAGATATACTGGCGTCACTGTTTTTCACTGTTTGTTCGCTTAAATCGCGATGTTGTTCTCGGTTTAGTAATTAATTATAAGAACGTGACCGATTTTAACAGAATGTTAAAGAGAAATATTTCCAATGAGTTGGTGTTATCTTGACGCCATAATTGGCAATGCAATGCTTTTGTCGACATATTTTGAGAAATTTGACCTTGTTTCGCTCGAAATTAAGAACACAATTTTCATACAAAGTTGTTTTCTTCGAATGATTAAGCATTATATATAAATATATAAATTATTTGGAAAGAATTTATAACGTAAATTTTTAATACGTGTTTTGAAAAATATCGCATGTTGTATCGAGTTGCTTGACGTTTTGTCAGTTCTGATGGTCAAGTCGCAGGTCACTGAATGAATGTGTTTTTGCCTGCCATTTAGCTCCGCCCCCTCAAACAATATAAATGCAGGTATAGAGTAAAATAAGAGTCAGTTTCAGTAAAGCTCTGAAGAAGCCAACAGGATGATTGGCGAGGTCTTAGCTAGTTCGACTTACCAATAACCGACGCAGGAGGAATCCAGAAGTTTTATAAAAAGTAATATGATAGAATTCTACAAACCTTCTGGTCAAAACTTCGAATCGCTACTAAACAAACTCGTAACTAAAATGGAATAACATGATATACCATGCAATAACTGTAAATTTTAAACTGTTGAAAAAACATTTTCTTTTGTTATTTCAAAAACATAACTATATTATACTCAAATCATTTTCTAAAATATGTTTTTACACAAGCATTTAATCAAGCGTTTTTCTTATCTATTGTTTTCTAATAAAAGCGTTCGAACATTAATGGTTAATGTTTTTGTAGATAAATGTCATATTTGCAACATTTCATATTACTTAACACCTGCCAATATAATTATTTTGCGGTACGAACTCTATAGTATGTTCAAATTTCTATTGAAAATCTCCAGTAAATTTTGACACTGTATTGTATTGTTTATTCGAACTTTTTTTAATCGAAATTTTTTAGCGACACAGTTCTTCTTTCGATAAATTTTCTACAAAGTTTAGAGTTGCATTTTCAATTTCACGTTACCGATGAAAAAAATTTAAAAATTTTGGCTTTGGACTACAGCAACCGTAAAAACGATTCTTCGTTTAGAACTAACTAACGATTAATGAATAGAGTATAGAGAGATCATCTGGCAGGAACAAAATATTTTAAATTTATTGACCAATATTAATGACTAATAGAAATTTCATGCAGCTGGGTTATAGATATCACGGTAAAGAGAATAAGACGGACAGATATGCAGGGTATTCGGAATTTGGGTTCGCAAATTTGGAGGAAAGATTCAATGTGGTATAGAGTTATAGTCTGTCAATTTTTTTTTAACGCTTAAACGCTTAATTCTCAACGTAATCAGCTGGTGTTTTACACACAGTAGAACTACCACCTTTGCTGGAAGAGATACCCTTGCAGTGCAGACAAAACATGTAGTTAATGGAACATGGCGCTCCACTCTGTACCGCTGTACGAAGGTATTTAAATTATGCATTACGCACCACACCTTAATCCGATGGACTTCTTTTTTTGAGGGCTCTTGATCTACGACAAAAAATAATAAACGGGTCCGAAATAAGCATTTTTTAAAATGTATAAGAAAATTTTTAGAAATGAACGGTGGGTATTTGGACATGAATTGTAATTAGCGGTGTATACTGGTTAATTCCCGATTATTGTTATTTATTAATTTTTTATTTTCCAAAATGTGAAATGCATTTATGTTACCCTGAAAATATGGTTTCAAAATAATTTGGAACAATTGTCCGCCACCAGTTCAAAATATACCGTGTGCCATAGAAATTGCCATACCCGGTATATGCTTAGCTATATTTATATTTCTTGATTGCCTGCATGAAGTGTAGTAAACGATAACACTTTTGTCGCCAGTCTGTTAACTAATAACCGGCCTTTCTTTTATTTCACAAAAAATTAGAGGTATTCAGTTTTACTGCCTTTGCGATATTGAAAACATCCTTTAGCAATGCCTTCTCTATGGAGGTAGGCCTTATATCGTCAATTATGGGAACGAGGTAGACAGCAGGTGTACAAGATTGGATTACAATTCCTTGACGAGCTAATGTATAGAAATAGTTATGTTTCCACTTTCAGTACTGGCCGTACAATTTGTACGCTATGAGGTCCTAAGACAACCAACTGCGAACCTTTAACACATCGAGGCTGCAGTCAATATGCAAACCAAAAGTTAGTAAATGGAAATACTTATTTTTGCTTACTGCATCTAACTATAATGGGAGCCTTTCAACACCATTTGGATATTTTTTTGCGATATCAAGTGGTTTCTGATTTTATAAATTGCTTTGTTATCAATGCGTGTCGATGAGATGTTGTCCTGTGAGTCCTTTTCATGGCAAACATAAGCTTTGAAGGAAAAGAAATATTTAGAAAACGTTTTTCTGCTATGATTAAAAGTGTATTTGGCCCAGACTATATCAAGCGAGTAGTATTTAACACGTTTTTTCCGTACATATTGCCAATGCGTTATCACAGTTGTCACAGCTACTTGCAAGTGTAATGTTGGTATAGCAACGATCTCCCGCTCTATCATGACCGTAATCAAACTTTTTCATCGCTAGTCGGTGATTCTCAAACAATATATATTAGTTAAAGAACGGTAGGTGAGGTATTAAATTAATCACACATATATACCACATAAATCACTGTTACAGAAATTGGATGGCAGCATGAGTTTAAGACGAAGGTCCTCGATTTTTGACAATGTTATGACTAAAAAACAAGAAATAAATAAAGAAATTTTTAAGAAATCTTTCGTATTTTCCACGTCTTGCGGGTAAACTGTTTTTTGGCTTTACACCATGTTAAATTTATAAATTTAATACCTTCGCGTAAATCGAAAGATATTGAATGCACTCGAACTTTTTTATTTGGTCTGTGTAATTCCCCTTTAATCTTTTTCCGAAGTCTTCTTAAATACCGAAATCATCGGAGGTCCGTGTTCGCGCGCTCAAAACGAGCTCTAAAGGACCGAAATTAGTTTTTTGTAAAGTAAAATAATGTTGAATTATACTTCTCCATAACTTAAGATTACTACTTTCCTGTGTGAATAACTCAATAAGAAATAATTATATATTAAGTATTAAATATGAAGCAAAGGTACTTCGGACCATTGAAAAACTAATTAACCGCCGATTAACAAAGAGTATCTTTGATGGTTAATACAAAAAAACAAATCAAACAAATTGTAAAAGAAATTACTGAAATGTTGATAAAATAATAATTGTCAAGAGAAAACACTAAAAATAGATAAAACCAAATTCAGAAATGCTGCGTTATTTAACTATAGAGTCAATTATTCAAAAAATTGCTTTAGACGTTCCCATATCAACGAACACACCTTTTCATTTGGATCTAATATGTTTTGGAAGCACCAGTTTCACCAAATAACAGTCAGAGTATCGCTTTGATAAAGTTCAGTGAATATATTTTTTACTTAGCCAACTTATCACGCCACCAAATCACGTGGTGAACAGGTGATGAACCCTTAAATATTAAAAATTTAATTCAAAGACGGCCTTGAAGGTTATCATCTAGTAAGCGTATCGATTTTATTATTTATTAAGTACATATAAATAATTTAATTTTACATAAATCGGGGACGCCTTAAACTTTTTTACAAACTTTCGTGTTCCTTGCTATTCCGTTCACGTTCTTCTTGTGATTTTCTGTAGCTCTGAAAAATAACAAAAATGAAATGAATTAGGAAATAATCTTTATTTGATATACCACCCGTATAGGGTAAATTAAAATTAAATATACTGTTGACGTGCCTTTGGCTAACTCCTATCTAATAAAGCTTAATCCACTCTAGTTTTAGTGTATGCCCACAGAACAGAACATGGTGATTATCCTTTTTTAGGTTTCATCTAATCTAGTCTAAACTACTGAAGAGATCGATTTGAACTACCTTAATGCTGACCTACCTAAATCTGACATCACAAATCCAATTGTGTCAAAAATGTGTAAGAAACGGGTTTTTGATTCATCGAATTTTTTAAGTAATGCAAGAAGCATTGCAAATATATAGCTTTTATATGGGTTATGTTAGCGAACATGTCATTAAATGATCATTTGGGTAAAAAGGAATCTAGATAAACAAAACAACCAACATTTTGGCGTTGATGTCGCCATGATAGTCCACTGAGCAAGAGAAAGTCAAAATTACTGACTGTGTGACACTGAAGAATAGGTGTCCAACTCGAACTTTGGGGACCGATTGGTGGGAATAGTTACAAAAAATCTATTTTTTATCGGGTTCTCTGGGCTAAGTGAAATTTTAAACTTTCCGTGGGTATGCATCAAAGAACCTTCTTTCCTTTTCCGCATTATTTGATATGCAATTTAATAACCAGTCGACATTCACTTTTGGTATAACCGAAAATAATGTCGTTCGTGATTAATTATTAGTTAAAATAATTGTATAATCTTATATATAATACTTACCTCCTCTGCGATGAACATAAGATTATCAGCCATAGCTTTTCCAGTCTGCTGTACCAATTCATAGAGCACTCCGAATTCCTTGTTTTGTAACAATTCGTGTGGTGCTGCGAATTCCACCACCTTACCGGCGTCCATAACAAGCACTTTATCTGCGTCCATGATGGTGTGTAGTCTATGGGCAACTGTTAACACTGTGCAATTTGAAAACTTTCTTCTAATGGTGGATTGAATTAAAGAGTCAGTGTGTGGGTCCACATTAGCGGTCGCTTCATCCAGTACAAGTATTTTATTATTTCTAACTATAGCTCTCGCAAGGCACACGAGCTGTCTTTGACCGACACTAAAATTGGAACCGCCTTCTGACATTTTGCTCTCTAGACCTTGTGGTAGCTCTGAAACGGCCTTCCTGAGTTCAACTTCTTCAAGTGCGTTCCATAAGACCTGCGAAAAAGCAGACAATAATACTACATTTTTATGAAATTATAAGATAGTTGCCTCATCACTGTATTCATCGAAAGGATCCAGATTCTTCCTTAAGGTACCAGAAAATAGTACAGGCTCCTGTGGAATTATAGATATTTTAGATCTTAATTTATTCAGTGGAACTGATTTCGTATCCACGTTGTCAATTAGAATTCTACCCTCAATATCAGAGAGCCTAAATAATGCTGCTATTATGGACGACTTGCCAGCCCCAGTTCTGCCGACTATACCTATCTTCTCTTTACTCTTTATTGAAAAATTCAAGCTCTTTAGAACAAGCGGTTCCGTTGCGGCATATCTCAAAGATAAGTTTTCGAATTTAAGATTTCCTTCCTCTGGCCAATTTTTCGGCGGATCTTGGGTGGCCTCGTCACTCTCTGGTGTAACATCGGCATACTCTTTTATTCTTTCTACGCAGGTCATTGTATTTTCCAATTCGCTCCACTGCCTCATGCCCCATTGGAGCATACCAGTTAAATTAAACGACTGGGTAATGGCCAGACCCACAGTGCCACCGAAAGTTTCTGAAAACCAACTTTGTAATAAGTAGCGCCCAAATAATGTATAGGTTACTTACCTGTCCCAATTAACAAAAAGCTGAAAGTTACCAACGTGATAAATAACACGCAGTGCATGTCCAACCAAAAACCAAAACACCTATTAGCAGCGACGAACATGAAATACGCTGAGCTGTACTTGTTTTGGTAGTTGTCAAACTCGACTTTTAAAATTTCCTGCGCCCCAAAAGCGCGGATTGTCGTTAGACCTTGGAGTGAGGCGGTCAAATGGGAATAAACTGGACTTCTTGCTAAAAGAGAAAATAGTGCCGATTAGGATAATATTTAACAAATCAAATTCTTGGAAATCATCACAAATATACTTACTCACTCCTTCCAGCCTCTTAAGATCTCTACTAGTTCTCAGGAATACCACTCTGATTGAATAGAATATAATGAGAATCACTACTGCAGGTATCAACATCCAAGGATTGACGGTGGAAATCACCAATATTATGGCAGAAACCATTAAACATATCTTAAAGGATGGTGGCGTTGAGAATGAGATCTTAAATTTCAGTTTAAGACTTACTTGAGTGGTATCCAAAAGAGTCATCGGCAACACTTCATCTACTTGATTCATATCCTTGGAAAACCTGTTCAAAATTCTTCCCGACGGATTCGTGTTAAAGAATCTCATAGTGGCATATACGATTTTCTCAAACATATTGTTGTGCAATCTGACGGATGCCTGCATACAACACCGGTAGAACCACAATGATCTCGTCAATGTCAAAGTAATAACCGAAATGACCAAGCAACTGTATATCGAAAGACAAATCTCTTGCGTCATGTGCGTTAACCAGAATTCTTGGAACCACGTTAATTCGCGAGAGAATTCATCCAAAGGAACGTACGTGTCATTAATTATTGCAAAACTATCGTTGCTCGGGAGAAATTCTTGTGCCGGTGAAGTATCGTTAACTGAAGAGGAAAGGTTTGCTGCACTGGTCGTGTTGGTAGTAGTGATTTTCGCCAATTGGCCGATATTGACCCACCAAGTTAAGTAATAATCTATTAAACTACCAGTTACTTGGCATACGACAAATGTCACGAAAAGAGCAATAATTTTACACCAGTGACCTCCAGCCAGTACGTACGACTTATAAACAGTGAGCGCGACTGTCCCTTGTCCTCGTCCTTCCTTTTCTATTGAAGGATCTTTGTCGTTTTTCGGAATCACTTCTTTCGTAGATTTCCTCCTCCTCCGTACTGGTTCTAAATCAGCCTCGGGAATTGCGTCTTCTTCTTCGGACTCATCTTCATCCATTACGTCTTTTAGTTCCTCGAGGAGCTTGGTAAAATCGGTTCCAGATTTCTGGATCTCCTCGTAAGTGCCAGAGTTTTCGATTGTATGGTGTCCGAATAGATAAATCTTCTCGACGTTTTTTAAATACTGCAACTGGTGGGTCACGAGAACAACGCATTTATTTTTGAGGTACCCAGAAATGCATTCCTCGAACAAGTGTTTACCTACGTGGGTATCTACAGCCGATAGGGGATCGTCTAATAGATAAATATCGGCATCTTTGTAAACCGCTCGGGCCAGATTTATGCGGGCTCTTTGACCTCCACTTAGAGAAACGCCGCGTTCTCCAACAATAGTGCGATCCCCGTAGGGGAACAGGGAGAAGTCTCTTTCCAGAGCACAAACTCTAACTACTTGTTGGTATTTTTCGGAGTCAAATTCCTGTCCGAAAGTAATATTTTGTCTAACACTTCCAACAAACAGCCAAGGCTCCTGCGAAGCATAAGAAATTCTACCATTTATTTCTGCAGTGCCCGTAGTAGGCGGCAGTTCCTTCAGTATGGCATGCAGCAGGGTGGTTTTGCCACTACCCACCGGTCCTATCACTGCCGCCAATTCCCCGGAAGATACTTCCATGGTAATATTTTGAAGATTACTCTCTTCGTGCTTCTTTAACCATTGTACGGAGACATTTTTCAAATGGACTCCGATCGGTCCGTCCTTGACTGAGGTCCCGTTCTGCGTTTTCTTAAGTTGATCTTTGGTTTGGAAACCGTCCAAGAAAGTCGCGCTAGAATCAAATTCCACTTCCTCGTACATCAAGAACTGCTTAATTCTCTTCACTGATATACTGGATTCGGCTAACTGGGTAATACCTTGCGGGAAAAACATGGTGACGACGTTACGCAAAATCGCGTAGAAGGACGAAGTGACAAAGACGTACTGCGCAGTTAATATGTTTCCAGTCAAAACGTAGGTCATCATGCAGAGGTAGATGGCGGCTCTGCTGAGGAAAAGGTTAAAGGACATCATGATGGCTCTGATTACGGATATTTTCCGGATCTGTTGAATTTCCTTCCTGGACAGGATAATTTACATTAAAATCTACAGCCAAGATACAAAAAATGAAACCCACCATCTGCTGATTTCGACGAGCTTGGCGAACGGTTTCTCCCAGGTATACATCTTGATTACTTGTATACCGGAAATAATTTCGTTCATCAAACGGATCCTTTCGTCTGTTCTCAATGCGGTCCCTAAACGGTATATGGATGTTTTCTTTCCCATCCACACTAAAAGCAACCAAGTTTTTACAATTTGCTTGGAAATTTCAGAAGGAAGCACGTACTTTGGAATGGAATAAATGCAAGCATTAGACAGACTCCTGCTAAACCGGTTGGTCCGACGAAGAAGTACAGAAGTATCAACACCACAATCGTTTCCAACGGGGCCAACCATAGGTTATGCATATGCGTGGTAGCTAATTCGAATCTGCCGACGTCGTTCGAGATTAAATTTACCATTTGTCCTACCGTGGTCTCCGCCAAAGCCGATTTGCTAAGTTTAAGCGCTTTTCTGTAAACTATCGTCGAGGTAGCCACCCGGATTTTCATACCCAGGTGGAAAATATGCAACATGTAGGTATGCTGACACACGACCGAAGCAAAAAACGACAGTACTATGAAAGCGGAGTAGAGGTAAGCGTCTTCCTTTGACATTTTTGAATCAGGGTCGTAGTAGTCCAAGAGTTTGGATAAAGCCAACGGCTGCGACAATCTGAAATTAAGGCGACGTGGAAATGTTTCTGAGAAGCTCATAACACTTACCTAATGACGACCTCAATAATCAAGTACGCGACTCCAAGAACCGCCACTTGTTTTCCAAATACCCTCATTAAGGCTTTCCATAAAGAAGGGTCCTTCTTATTTTTCACTTCTTTTTCCCATTCCCGTTCCAATTTGTCGCCCAAGTAGGTGGAGTCGTGGGCCGACAAAGCGGGATAAAGATCATCTTCTTCCAAGTCTCGTTTGAAACCTTTTCTGAAAAGGGGAACTATCCATCTGAAAACACCACGGCGTTTGAGGCAACACACATCGACAACAGCTGGAAAATTGCTTACGTAAAACATATTTTCGAGAGAATATTAGCTTTTAAGTAAGGGTGGGTTTTCGTGTTGTATTTCCTGGCCTCGGCATCTTTGCGATCCTCCATTTAGGCATTGGTGGATTTTTAGTTCGGATATCGGGAGTTCTGAAAATTATCACCGTTACGTAATATACTACTTTAAAAAGGCATTTTTTTGATTAAATTTCGCTTCATATATCTTATCTGCCTATAAACGAGGGCATGACTTTTAAAATTTTGAAGGGCGTATATTAAGCGCTTTGTAAGTGGTTTGCATTATTTAATATTCGATATTGGCGATTTGTGCTTAATTACCAATGGAGATTTCAAACAATTTCGATACTCTTCACCAAAGACTAAGTTCTAATTATATTATAAACGATATCTTCAGTAGAATCTGCCTTGATAGTATAACGTAATGGAAATGAAATGGAAATAATAACATCAAAACGCTAGACCCAACAACAATTTGCTTTTCGTAGAACGACCTATTGGTTTTAACCAGCATAAAAGTTATTATTTCACATGCTCTTCGTGATTAATGTCGAAACCAAATAACCGATTTTGAGAGATATGCTAAAACCGATATGCTATCTCCATAGCCCAAATGCTTTACTCTTAACAGTATAGATTAAAGATACTATTTAAAAATTTTATGGATTCTTTCTGCGACGGTTGGCGAAACTTTGAAATTGTGGTTCGAAATAGAGCATTTTCAAAAAATAGTAATGTTCTACCTCCTCTCCATCTTAAAGTCCCTTAAAATGTCGATATTACCAAGTAAACGCATCAATAACTACGAGTCGTCGGTTCAAGTGGATAGAGTTTTACGATATAACTAGTCCCTGAATTTTTTCTCTGATGGAAATGTACTAGATGACGATCGAAAAAGTGAAGATAAATCCATTGTCGTAATTACACAATTTTGAAAACAATGATAATTTGAAATGAGTCCGCGATCCGAGAACAATCCCCAAATCTTGCGCCAACATTCCGATAGATCTTTTGCAAATAACGTATTTGCTTTTTTTTGCCTTCAATAGGGTAAACTAAACGTCCACAAAATAAACATGCCAACTTTTGCTCCATTTACTATTGTGTCATAATCTAAATTCCAGGCAATAAATGAATATCTTGCATCAATTGGTTAATACGGAAACGCGAAAAATTCTGAAATGTCACCTATAATATGGCTGCTAACACAAACTCTACAATTATGGTTGTCATTCTTTTAGTCATGATTAAAAATAATTGAAATGGTTAAATACTTTCGTGATATTAGCGAATTGAGTGGCACAGGATGTAGCTGCAGCTGATGCAGTGCAATTTTTTAGGTTATTTAATAAGTGACAGCTAAGTTAGTTTTTTGCTGAGTTTCTAGAAGAAAATAAGATTTCTCTCAGTTTTTCTCAATGGGAACCTCTACTCCATAAATTCAGGAAAAAAGACAAGCGGCCATCTTGGCAAGAAATATTAACATGTCATGCATCATTTTAACAAGAATTGGGTTCGTAGAATGCGAATACTGTAGTTGAATTGGAGATTTCTAATTAAAATTATAAGGTTGGCATCACTTCCAAATGCACTGAATCTAAATATGAAAAAAAAATGTTTAAAGCTAAAGAAAAAAGTAAGATAGCAACTGCATCTTGTGTCACTCGGTAAACAAGATAGTTCTACATTTTTAAACCCTACATTTTTAAACATATTAATTTAATTTTTTAATATAGTAATGAATGCACATTTTGTGACATATGCTTAACCGAATGTGATTTAAAAATTATCTATACACTCCACTATCCATAGAGATATAGGAATTGTTCATCAAAAATGCAAAATGTTGATCCGCTCTCCAGACACTTCTGGCTATCCGCTGCGAACCAATACGTAAAATACGTGATAATACGTATACGTAAACATGATGCAATAACTATTCATTTAATTAAAACGTTTCATTTTAGCAATACGTCAATAAACGTAAATAAACAAAATTAACGCGATTCGCCGATTAGTGCGGAAATTTTAACCGTTTTGTCGTTTGGGAACATTAATGAAAATATAAAACTTTCTGGTTCCAAAAGTTCGTTTTATCACACCATCATCATGTTTCATCATCTGATCGTCGAAGTTCTTTCTCTCGGGATTCCTTAAAAATAAGTTTTATTCCAAAACATCCAGCAATATTCGAAAACCCATTCAAAATCCGTTTTCTCTCTCGACAGGTGCGTGAACAGACTCCCTAAGCACTTGTCTCACTTCCTCACAAATCAGTTGCGTGCGTAATCATTCTAAAGAAAAGTGCCAAAGCCAAGGCTTTCATTGTTGCCTTAGGCAGTAACTCAGCGAATGTTTGATTTAATGAACACGTGACTTTGAAATATTTTATACGGATGCACTGCAGAATACAGAAATTTATTCAGTCACATCCCTTACTACACTTTTAATTAAACTGTTACATTTATTCATCAAGTATATAAAGAAATACAATTAGCCACAAAAAAGCGTAAAACAATTTTTTTTACCATACGTTATCAACATTTTTTATGATTTATCGCAGGTAAAGAAACACTCATTTATAAAGGAGTTTTTCATGGTCTATGCTGAACTGAAATATCGATCTCAAGTCTAAGTAGAAGTGAAAAATTCTTTGGTGAATTGAAATTTTTAAGATAGTACAGATCTCTGCTTTTGCAACTTTTGAAGCGACGACGACATTGAGATGCAGTACATCATAGAAAAGCAACAAATCTCTCATTAGTCGTCTAGTACTCGATTGAACGTTATTTCTAACAAGAGCAATCGTAAAAATCAGCATAGGTGCCATATGTTGGTGTAAAATATTCCTTAAAATTTTACGAAATATGTAAAAAGAGTTTTATGAATCTATGGGGAGATATATAATAGAAACGAATTGAACTGAGGTGGCTTTTACTTGATGAAAATCTATGTATCAAAATAAATAAGAACTAAAAGTTCAGATTTTCACGAAATTATATATTTATTTATATAGAACATATATTTATTTATGATAAAATCAGAACTAAAATTTATAAAATATTTCGAGCCATTAAATTCAAGTTTGCGTTGAGAGTTGAAGAAAACGATGACAAAATGGTCACCGAATATTTATTTTAAAATATAAAATAAAATGTTGTGCTAATTTCCTTAAGGGACAATTATTTTTGGACTATTTTTATAACATAATTGCAGTTTTTATCTTTTTATGACCATCGTCTGGCATTTTTGTTTGAAATTGCAGTGACTTCCACTAGAAAATACATGCATTGATACAGTTAGGTACTGCCAACAATTTTTGTAAACCCATAATACCAACTAACGATATATAGCACCATACCATATCATGTAACATATAAACCTTCTAAATTATTACAAATCGTATACTAGCAATACCCTTAATTATCAGGATACTCACGGTCCGCAGAGGTCGATGGCACATTAAATCACAGTTTCAATTCCAACACAGAAGACAAACTTATCTAAAAAATGACCGGCGTCAAATCTGGAGGATACAGAGTACGAGACTATGATTCGAGTCCGCTCGCGGAATTGTGATGAACATTTTATTCGCTACAGATAAGCGCTGGTATATTATCGCGTATTTTTATCTCGTATTTGTATAAAAGGCTGCCAGTACCACATTTCAGTTGTTAGCGTTTGAACACAGGTAGAAACCTATGGTCGGCGCGGAATTGTTCACATGGGGCGTTAGGTGGGGATAACGTATTAATTATTAAGGCCAGGCTGAAAGCAGTTAAGCGCCACGCTTTGCCCGGTTCGTTAAAATGCTAACTTTTATCAAAATTGTTTTTACGCAATGATAATGACAGTCTGAAAGTGTTGTTTTCGTCAAGGCTATTTGTATCGTCAAAATAATTTGGCAGTATGACTAGCAAATATTTAATTATGATGAAGTATTGCTGGACCAATGGTCTTAAATACTTCGTAATTTAGTTAGTAATTAGTTGAGATATTGCTGATCTATAACGACTTCAACTACTTTTACATATTATTTAAGTTGTTTTATAGTACCATAAACGGTTTGATAAATGAGGAATATAATTAATAATAAATTAATTAATTAATTAATAAACAGTGACTGAAGAAGTTTTATAGAATGGTGGCATACTAAAAATGTTCTGCGACTGTCATCTTTTTGGTACATTTTTGCAAAACTACAAGAATAAATTCACTAACGGGTGACGATCAAATTTAACAAAACGTTCCCAAACCCGTGACTAATGTACCATAAACATCCGCAATAGTGAATAAAGAATCTAAGACGTATTTAGGTGACACTTTCCGCATTCTTGGTTCATAGATAATTAGGTATTTTAGAGTAAAGAGTAGAGAAAATTGTTTAAAACATAATTGTCGATATGATATAAACTAACCAAAACTAATCAAGACTATTTCTAAGCGTTAAAGCATATTTTAAAATTTGTGATCGAAAAGTTAGTTTATGATACTCGCAAGTAGCATTAGATTCACAATAATTATTACTAAAATAAATGCTCAAAACTTGGTTTAGCAGATAATTAAGTAATTAACAACGTAAAAGTGAAAAAAAAAATTACAGAAATTTAAAATAAATGGAAATTCGAAAAATGCGGATAATACAGATTTGCAGTGTAGTACCGACGTATTTCTATTTAAAAAGCTGAGCCCCTTTGTAGAAATTATTTTAAAAACAAAAAATAATGGATTCTTCAATTTTTTTTGATCCACTTCACAAATAACACATTTTATTTAGCTCCCAATTGTCATGTGCCCCTGGTTTCTTAAAAAAAAAGATAGTATAGTATAGTATAATATAAGTATAATTTTTATTTATAACGTTTAATGTAAAAGAGGTCGGTATATTTGTACTGAGGGATGTGTGATACAAATTTTGTGTTTATATAATTTTACTTAATTTTATTCTATTTTGTTGCAATGTTTTTAGTTTGTTACGTTTTGAAGTAACATTACATAGTATTGTGCAACATGTAAATACATGGTTACTGTTTTAATTAGAATAAACCTATACGCTTGTTTTTAACGAGTCACATACACATACACCTAAAAACCCAGCTCGAATGATAGATAGCCTAAACAATGATTAAATTTTTCTGCTTAAATCAATAAAACTCATTAAAATAATTATAGGATAGACTGTGTAAAGAATAGGAAAATTAATATAAATGCAATCAAACCATTTCATCATGAACTCTAATTATGATAGTATTCAAATCTTTAAAAAACGTGGTATTATGTGCACCTCTTCGTAATCATCTTGCATTGAAATGAATTATCAGAAGTAAAATAGTAGATAAGATTTTTTGAAAGCAATTAAATTTATCGCGCAATCTTTTCTGCATTGCAAAAAGCTGTTACGATGTCATTTTTATCTTAGAATTTAAGTGGAAAAACTGATGAAGTGCGATTTCAGTGTTTGCAAAAACGCCACCGAATCATGAAAAGTGAAGAAACTACCCTCATTCACCCTTATTCCAACGCCACTTTAATATCAAAAATTTTCTTCCTGTAAGTAAAAACTATCACACGCCATCTAGAACGAAATTAATAAATTGTTGGTTGGTCATTTTAATTCACCCATACAAAATATTTGAAGCGTCGGCGTCATTTTTTTCTAGATGGATGATTCCTTTATTCAGAAAGGGTTTCAGTAAGAAATTATCCGAGAACGATATATATATCCCATTAAAATCACTCGACTCTACTCTCTTAGGTAACCAATTGAGAATTGAATGGGGAAAACAACTAAACACTGAGAAAGTACCTTCGTTATGGAAAGTCTTAACCAAAGTATTCTGGAAAGAGTTTACGCTCATGGGATTTTGGTTAGTTTATTAAGTAATGAGTTCCATTTCACTTAGTATGTGATTTATTTTGTTTTTCTTTGCAAATTAGCTCAACCGATGGCCTTGTCCAAATTGCTCGAGTATTACTAATCCGATTCTACCATGACTAAAACGGATGCCTACATCTATTCGTCTCTAATAATTATCACATCTTTTGTACCAGTATTGTGCATCCATAATTACATGCTACGACAATCTTTGCTAGGTCGTAAATTTAAGGTATATATAATAACTTTCATTTAATAAATATCGAGCACTATGGTTTAAGATTGCAACAATGGCCCTGATTTACGAAAAAGTCTTAAATCTTAATAAATCGGTTTTTGCTGAGACAACGGTAGGCCAGATGGTCGACCTGATATCGAACGACGTGACCAGATTTGAAGCGGCCATGTTGTTCATTCAAGATTTGTGGATGACTCCCCTCCAACTGATTATCGTGCTAGTGCTGCTATATATTTACGTTGGACCAACGGGGCTAGCAGGGGTAGCGGTGATGATTGGTTTTATACCATTTCAAAGTAAGTGCGTCTCAAAAACTTTTCGTCATAACATTAAAATTTCATTATGGACGTTCTAGTTTGGTTGAGCAAGAAAATGTCCGCCTATCGGCTGAGGACGGCATTAAAAACTGACGAAAGGATTCGCATAATGAGCGAAGTGATATCTGGTATTCAAGTCATCAAAATGTACACGTGGGAAAACCATTTTCTAAGTTGGTGGAATTTAGTAGAAAGCTTGTTGAGTTACTAGAATTAAACTCTTTTTTCCGTAGAGAGGAAATAGAGGATTGTTCTATCCTGCAGCTTGTTTTTAACTAGAAGTTCAATCTACGTATGCTTACTGGTCTACATTTTAAGCGGCAAACGCCTTACCACTCAATACGTTTACGTCTTGACCTCGTTCTACAGAATTTTGCAAAAATCCGTGACTAGTAGATTTCCCCAGGGCGCTATGCAGTTTGCTGAAACGTCGATATCCGTTCAGCGAATCAAAAAATTTCTCCTACTACCCGAGGTACAGCCCATCAGTAATACTGAAAGTCTATTAGGCAATGCGCAGATAGAGCTATCAAATGTTTCAGCGAAATGGCTGAATACTATTGAAGATAGCACTCTAAGTAATATCACCGTACATGTTTCTTCGGGGTAGCTAGCAGCTATAATTGGACCGGTGGGCAGTGGGTAATCTACCTACATTTAATTTTGAAAGAACTGTGTCCGGTAACGGGCACAGTTAACGTGAGAGGCAAAATTTCATACGCTTCACAAGAGCCATGGATGTTTGTGGAGAGTATTCGCCACAATATTACATTTGGGGAAGAATACGATCCTATTAAATATCAAAAAGTTGTTAAAGTTTGTTCGTTGGAAAGAGACTTCGCTCTGCTACCTTACGGAGATCGAACTATTCTAGGAGAATGTGGTGTTTCATTGGGTGGAAGGCAGAGGGCTCGCATAAATTTGGCTAGAGCAGTATACAAGGATGCTGATATCTACCTTTTAGACTTTTAGACGACCCATTAGCGGCTGTCGACTCACACGTGGGGAGAGAAATATTTGAAAAATGTTTAGTACTGGTGACGCATCAACTTCAATATTTAACCAAGGTTCAGAAAATATACGTTCTTGAAAATGGAGAAATTGGGGTGTCGGGAAACTATGAAGAAATTCAAAAATCCGGTAAAGATTTCACCAAACTGCTTTCTAAACTAAACCGATCGGAAGATATCCCGGATGAACACGAAATCCCAAAATCAAGCTGTGAAGAAGACCATCGAGAAAGTAATCCAGAAATAACCGAGGAGAGTAGAGTCCATGGAAAAGTTAGCTGGAATGTCTACAAATTTTATTTACGTGCTGGAGGAAATTGTGAAAAATTTTTTACAATTCTCACACTTTTCGTATTTGGTCAAGCCATTTACAGTATTTCCGAATACTACTTAACATTTTGGTAAGTAACCCACACAAAACGAAACACTTCTAACGAACCAATTTAACTCTAAGGATTAATATGGATGAAGCCAAGGAAATGAAAAATGAGACGGTGAAAACGACATTAGAAACGTTTTGGACGACGTACATGTCTGAAGATGTGAGCTTAATGGTTTACTCTGCCATTATCGCTTTAGTAATTGTTACAATTATGAGTAGGTCGCTGTTGTTTTACAGAACTTGTATAAATGCCTCTGCTAACTTGCACAAGATCATGTGTGATAAACTCATGTATGCGAAAATGCAGTTTTTCCATAACAATCCTTCCGTCATAATACTTAATAGATTTTCCACCGACATAAACCAGGTGGGCGAAGTTTTACCCTTATCTCTACTCGATACGTTGCAGGTAACAAAAAATATTCTATAAAATTTGGAACTTGATGTAATTTTCATTTCAGGATGGTCTTATGGTGGTCGCCATAACCATCGTGGTAGCTTCAATAAATCCGTGGATGTTGATACCATCTATAATATTAACCTTAATCTTCTACTTGCTTAGAGTTGTTTATTTGTCTACAAGCAGAAATACGAAACGGCTTGAGGGAGCAAGTAAGAAAGAAAATTACTCTTCCTCTCTTGCACTTATATTATCGATTTCAGCAAGAAGTCCCGTCTATTCCCATTTGACAGCAATATTACAGGGCCCTACCACTATTGGAGCATTCGCTGCCCGAGACACATTAAAAAAAGAATTTGATTACTGTCTAAATCGCAAATCTTCCGCTTATTTTATGGTAACAGCTTTGTGTTATATTCGTTGCGTTAGTAACAATGAGCTTTCTTTTTTTTGATTCAAGTAATTTTGTCAGGTGATATAGACATCAAATAATCGTACTTTTTTAGAAGCCCTAGGCACAAATGTGGGTCTTGCTATCACGCAGTCCATAACATTGACGAGCTTGTTTCAGTGCAGCGAACTCGAAAACCAAATGACTTGCGTTGAGCGCATTAAGGAATATGCAGATCTAGCACCTGAGTCTGATGCAGGTGCCAAGGAGCCGCCTGAAAGCTGGCCCGAGAAGGGTGCTATAATTTTTGATAATTTGTGCCTATACTATTCGCTCAAGGAACCTCCTGTTCTGAAACACTTAAATTTTCAAATAAATGGGTCAGAAAAAGTTGGTATTGTTGGTAGAGCTGGTGCCGGAAAGTCGTCAATTATAGCAGCTTTATTCGGATTAGATCATATTGATGGTAACATATTTATTGACAATACAGATACTCGATCCATTCCACTCAGAAGGCTTAGGATCGAACATATCCATTATACCCAGAGAACCGACGTTATTTTCGGGCACCTTAAGAAAAAATTTAGGTCCCTTTGACGAACATAGCGACGGTGTACGGATACAGCAATTGAAACAAACTGTTGATCACTAGTTAATTTGTAGGTGTTGTGGGATGCTCTTTGCGAAGTCGAGCTAAAACTTGTGGTATCTGATACGCGCGGAGGTTTGGAAAGTCTGATATCTGAAGGAGGATCCAACTTCTGTGTCGGTCAAAGGCAGCTGATACGCTTAGCCCGATCTATTGCCAGAAACGTTGAGTCTCATACCGATTCACTGATTCAAACCACCATTAGAAAAAAGTTTTTGAACTGTACCGTGTTGACTATTGCCCATAGGCTTCATACTGTAATGGACTCGGATAAGATATTAGTGATGGATGGTGGACGCGTAGTGGAAATGGTCGTCCGTATGAACTTCTTCAAGACTCGACAGGTTTCTTTTATAATATGGTTAACCAAACGGGCAAGGGTTAACTAGTGCAATTATAATGTCTATTAATTTGAAAAAAAAATCTTCTATTAATGCTGTCTTTTATGTAAATAAAAATTCCACTCGTATAAAAATAAAACGGGGAAATGTGAGATTAAAATAAGTTTAATGATAACAGTACAGATTAGAGTTAAGAATCAATCGTTTTAACAGATTAAAATACGATTTGTTGAATAGGAATCAGGACTAATCAGTCATCTGGCCATCCACTAGTTTTTGACTTTTGCGTATACATCCTCGAATGATAAATACATTTTTAATACAATTTTTAATACTATATTGATTTGGATTTCCTAACAGGGGCTTCTAAATTTCTCAGGGGCTAGGTCGGCTGTACAGGGTAGTCATAATTGCAGTGTTTTAATAGAAAACAATAGCTTATGTTCACGAAATTTTTTGAAGCGGATAAAAACATTATTAAGACATTTTTTTGCAGATATTTTCTCTAATTCTCCGTTTTTCCATAGTATGGTTGTTGCTATCTGTAATGAAAAATGGAGAAGACATAAGGTATTTTTATATATTTTTTGTGTAAGTATATAAGTATTATATAAGTGTTTTATATAGGCATCCCTCAGACACTTTAAGAATTACTTACTGCGAGAGTTTACAGAACCTTAGGCCCATTAAAAATAAAGTAAATGAAAAATACTAAATCCTAAAGCTATTCAAAACTACTCTTTTCATATTATTGATTAGATATTATTAGTACTTAAAAAACACCTCGTATATATTTCGGCAACAAATTAAAAAATTACAGTTCTTATACTTTATATATTATTTACAGTTATGCTTCTAATGGATACATACTAGTTACGATGGCAAGTGTGAACGAAGGTTTCCTAATCGGATATAAATATTCATTTCGATCACCAATCCTCCCCAATTTCAACGAGAAACTAATCCACATGACAACACCGTCGACGTATATTTTGGACTGACCTTCAAAATAAGCAAATCTGATTCGGCTTTTCTGATGCTATTTATTTTATTCATATTACATTGTCTTAAACACTTAAATATTTACGTTAAAATTTCAATGAAAGAGTCCAATCTTTCACGCAAATTGATAATGTAATTTTGATACTCAGTTATCAACCGCATGTGATAATTCGGAATGTTTCATTATGAAATTGTAAGTTAATGTCTACGTTAAAATAGAAGTGGCGCGAACTTAGGTAAGTTTACTTTAGCTTCAGTAGAAGTAGGAAATCCTCGCATATTAAGTGGGTATTGTCAATAAAAATACATACAATTTTCGTAATACAACATTAACTCATTGATCTCCGAGCACATTTTTTGATTATCAGCATTTGTTGTTCAAGGTTATGCCAGATGGCGTTAGTTTCGACGACACAGTAATTTATAATATACTTGGCGGGATTACAAGGTGTGTTCAAAAAGTAAGGTGATTTTTAAGTTTTGTCATAAAGTATTCATTAATAGGTGCCATATCCGCTGAATATGGTGACTGAGACTTCTGGTTTTCTTTTTGGGCAAAAAGTTAGACACACACAAGCCACGATGAGTGAGCAGGTGATTTATTGTGATGCTAAATCCATGAATTATTTTCCCATAGTTCCGGACGTTTTCGTATTGCTTCTCGAAAACGGTGCATAACTTCAACGTAATACTCTTTATTCACCGTACGACTTTGTGGTAAGAACTCTTGAGGTACTACGCCACGATAATGAAAAAAAACAGTAAGCATAACTTTGACATTTAATCGAACTTGACGTGCTGTTTTCGGGCGATTCTGGGGTTTTCATTTGGACGACTGGCCTTTGGTTTTGACGTCGTTTAACAGCTCTTGAGCGACGCTCCTTCGACGATCCCTGTGATCAAAATTAAGCAATTACGGCACAAATTTTGCTGCTACACGTTTCATGCTCAAAACTACGGAAATAATTGCATGGCGCCAGCCAATAGAGATGCCGACGGGTTCAGCTACTTCTTTAATAGTGATTCGATACCACTGGTGCGTTCATCGGCCATCTTGAAACAGCTTGTACGACTTATAAACATTTTTATTTGCTCAAAGTAGAGTCACCATATGCCGTTGTCAACATTTCAAGCGTTCTGCAGCACTGTATTAAATTTTTTACGCAAAATTTTATGCAAATTTTTTGTTACATTTTTTTTGACAGATAAACTCGCCGAGTATACAAAAAAAAGTAAACGTGCCAACCGGCTGGATCTGTGGGATCAAAATTTTGAGAGTATAGAAATATATATAAAAAATATAGGAATATTAATATTAAGTTATATATAAAAATATTGAATATATAAAAATATAAAATATAAAAAAAATTATTAATAAAATATGAAAGCAAGCTAGCGAAATTAAAAACAAACACAATTAATTTTAAATAAGATACACAACTCTTTCTTAAAATGGATTAGAGCTGGATAAGTCATAACTTCAAATATATATGAAAAATTAGACAATGCGAAGATATCTACAGTATTTTGAACAAAAAAATCCAAGAACAATCTAAATACATAGCATATGATTATTATGTTAAATTAAAACTACAGAGAATAAATTATATATTCAATTCACATTCAATTTGTGAGTTTGATGGGTTTAGCTAAAATTAGCATTTTTTATCAGAGAAAAGTCAGAATGTCAACCGACTGACAAAAACTACGCGCGTGAAATGAAAAATTTTATTCTTTAACTTATCTGAATAATTCTGGAATGTTTAATGTATAGACATTACCGAAATGTTTCAATATCAGTTTATAAAATTAAACCATCACTTCTAGGTAGTATTTCAAAATACCGAATATAAAGGTGTCAAATGATCCTTTTCCAGAATCGTGAAGAGATGGAGGACTACAAAAACACGAAGACGAAGGCAAACAAGTACGCCCAACATCCTTACGCAGCAGCCAATATATTTTCCAAATTATTTTTCACGTAAGTGGATCACCGATTTCGTCACGTCGATATAGTTGTTCTTTGTCGCAGGTATTTGTTTTCTTTATTTCGAGAAGGTTTTAAACGAGAATTGACAGAAAACGACCTTTTTCCCACCCTAGAAGCCCATCATTCGACAATTCTCGGAAACAAACTCGAGACGGAATGGAACAGAGAAATGAGAACGAAAAAACATCCGTCACTGTGGAAAGCGCTTTATAACGTCTTCGCAAAAGAACTGGCAATTTTAGGATTCTTCTTACTGATAATCGAACTCCTAGTCAAATTGGCCCAACCCTTAGCTTTAGCGCAATTGCTAAAGTATTACGACAAAAATTCCGCCGTTAGCAAAAACGAAGCTTACATTTACGCGTTCGTGATAGTAGCTTCGTCCCTAATAACAGCGGTTTTCCAACATACCTACTATATGCTCAACCTATTCCATTTGGGAATGAAGATCAGGGTCGCAACGTCAACCCTAGTTTATAGAAAAGCGCTTCGACTAAGCAAATCGGCCATGACGGGGACCACGGTGGGTCAAATGGTCAATTTAATCACTAACGACGTAGGTAGATTTGAACTCACCACGACATATATCCACAACCTGTGGCTGGCGCCAATGGAAACTATCATAGTTCTCGTATTGCTGTACCTGTACGTTGGGCCGTCCGGATTAGCCGGAGTGCTGTTGCTATTGTTTTTTATTCCATTCCAAAGCGAGTATAACCATGACGTGGTCAATAAGTTAATAGTAATCGGTTTATAGTGTGGATGGGTAAGAGGACGTCAGTTTACCGATTGAAAACAGCCCTCAAAACTGACGAGCGTATAAGGGTTATGAACGAAATAATTACGGACATGCAAGTGATCAAATTCTACACCTGGGAGCAACCATTTGCTAAGCTGGTAGAATTCACACGAAGGTAATTGCAAATGTACGGCGTGAGCACTTTATTAGGGGCCTGTATCTTTTCTCGGGAGCTACTGATTTTAGAAAAAAAAAGTTTATACAAAAGTTTTAATTATAATATTAAGTTTAAATTAAATTTTAAAATTATTTTTTTTTTAGGTAACTTTATAAAACTTTTATAGAAACTACCTATTCAAATTTTGTGTAGTTTATACAGAAATTGAGATTATATATTTCTTTATGCAAAATTATGTTCTTAGTAAATATAATCTTCCACGGCTGGCAGTAATGACTACTTGATCAAATTTTAATCACATGTTTAGAAGACTTCCTTCTAATGATCTGCCCTGACTAGGTATTTTAAAACTATACAGGGTGTCTTAAATTAAACACAACTTTTTTAAATTTCAACTTGCAGTATTCGTTTTTTTTTAGTGAGACGCCCATATTTTTTTTTTGTCCAAAGCGGGTCAAAATACCTATAATTTGGTATAACCTAAGTCTAATGATTTACGAAATACTGACACCTAATTATTTTAAAAAATTTTAAAAATGCATTTTTTAATTAATTTTAAGGATCTTTGCAATGGGTCTTTTTTGTAGATAAGCTAATATAGATATTATAGGTTTAGGAAATTAAAACGTCAACGGTGTAAAATAATATGTATAATTATGATAGAATTTTAAAAATTTAAACAAGTAACAGTAACAAGTAGAAGCAACAAACAACAGTAACTGTAACAATTAAAGTAGAAACTAAAGTAAAACAAAATAGAAAATCTACAGTAAGTTTTCAACATGTCCACCATTTTGAATAATGCAACCTCTACATGGTTTATCGCATTAGAAACAAAATCTTTTTATTCTTCTTCTTCTGTAGCTCACAACCCTTTGTGGGTCTTTGCTGCAAGTACTACCTGCCTCCACTTGCCTCTGTCCGTGACCTCCTCTCTCCAATTCTCTACACCCAGGGTGTGCAGGTCATTGGTAATATTGTCTCTCCATCTTAGTCTAGGTCTCCCTAGAGGCCTTTTTCCGGAAGGATTTTCGCCCAAATACGTCTAATAAGACGTTCATTTTGGGATCTCTGGACATGTCCTAACCACATCGTAGCCTGTGTGCTTTAATAATATTTATGATGGATGGCTCGCTGTACAAGTTTTCCAGTTCATCGTTGGTTCTAATTCGGTATTGCCCTGTTTCCTCATCCACTGTAGGTCCATATATACTCCAAAGATTTTCGCTCAAAGCAACTTAGCAGTGCTTCATTCTGCCTTGTGATGGTCCAGGTTTCCGAGCCGTAAGTTATTACCGGTCTTTTTACTGTTCTGTATATTTTGATTTTAGAATTTCTTGACAGTACTTTTGATTTTAATAGATCATGTAGCGATCTTGTAGAAACAAAATCGGTGTTATTTAGTTGGATTACAGCTTCTCATTTACCGTACCGTAGTGCATCTTTATAAACCATATATTTAATTGTTCCCCATAAAAAAAATCCAGTGGGGTAACATCTGGCCTTCGAGGTGGCCACCAGATGTTTCCATTTTGTCATATCCAAAGATTGCAATTTTGATTCAAAAATTCAATGATATCGTTTCTCCGGTAGTACGGAGGGCCAATTTGCTGCCATATTAATTGAGCAGGTTTACAAGCCGGTATTTCATTTACTATTAATAGCTGTATTTCATTTCTTCGAATATTTAAATATCCTCTAGAGTTTAAGTTTTCTTTAAAGAAAATTGACCCTATAACCTTTGATCGGTATATTCCGCACCACAATTTCACAGATCGTCTATCTCGTCGTGTTACTTCCAACACCCTTTTCTGATTTTCATCACTAAAGTAATGTGTATTTTTCAGATTAAAAATTGGGGCTTTTGAATGAAAAATCGACTCATCGGTCCAAACGCCAGGCGTTATCAGCTAAATGCATGTCCATTAAAATATTGCAGTAGTGTAATCGTGCGTCATAGTCCCATTCCTCTGGATATTGGACTGTAAAAACTTAAATGCTTTTCGCTTATTTAGTTTTAAACAATTTCTGAGGCCAGCTCTTTTAAGATACAACTCCAACGCGGCTTGACGAGTGGACGATTCTGGCATATTCTCAACTGATTCTCTGTTAGAAGGCTACCTAGGCTTGCCTAAACTTTGCATAAATTTTTCGAAATGGCGTCTTCTCTGGAATCCGCCTTAGAGGAAACTTTCTTTGATACTCACTGAGAGCCAGAGCTGGACTTTTCGTAGATCACTAGATCAAGTAGTCATTACTGCTAGCCATGGAAGACCATATTTACTAAGAACATAATTTTGTATAAAAAAATATATAATCTCAATTTATGTCTCAACTACACAAAAAGTTTCTATAAAAGTTACCTTTATTTTTGGCAAGGATTCTAAAAATATTAAAATACATACGGTGTTCGGTTTAAAATTTTAAAACTAATGTCGGTTCAGCACTTATTGGACACCCTGTATATATAAAAACTAAATAATTTCACATTTTAATTTAAACCATAAAACTTTTGTTTAATTTCTTTTTTCTAAAATTAGTAGTTTCCGTGAAAAGGTACAGACCCCTAATAAAGTGCCCACCCAGTACAATCTGCACTATTCATTATTACCTATAACACATTTCTAGGCAAGAAATCGAACAGATCAAAAATATCTCTATTATTAGGGCCATTATGATGTCATTCAACTTGTTTCTTAATAGAACTGCCATTTATCTTTGCGTATTGACGTATGTGGCAACTGGAAACATTCTAAATGCCCAATACGTATTTGTTGTGACATCGTTTTATGATATTTTGAAGATAGCCGTCACGATGTCGTTTCCACAAGGCGTCGCTCAGCTGGCAGAATCCGATATATCGGTTAAGAGAATAAGAGAGTTTTTGTTGTATGATGAGGTCGAAAATTTGACAAATGAACAATCGCGATTTAAAGCCATCACTGGCGAAGATAATGGAATCAAATTAGAAAACGTATCTGCAAAATGGAACAAATCCCAGACAGATTTTAATGTAGAAGATATTACGATGCAAGTTGGACGGAAAGAATTAGCGGTGGTAATCGGTCCCGTCGGATGCGGAAAATCCACGCTCCTTCATGTAATATTAAAAGAACTCACGCCAAATGCAGGGGCTATAAAAGTGAATGGAGTTATTTCATACGCTTCACAAGAACCTTGGCTATTCAGCGGAAGTATTCGCCAGAACATTCTCTTCGGAGAAGAGTTTAAAACAAAAAGATACGAAGACGTGATAAGGGTATGTGCATTGGAGAGAGACTTCGATCTAATGCCGTATGGAGATCGAACGCTTGTGGGAGAACGGGGCGTGGCTTTAAGCGGTGGTCAACGAGCTCGCATCAATCTTGCTCGAGCCGTTTACAAAGACGCCGACATTTACTTGTTGGACGACCCGTTGTCGGCTGTGGACGCTCAAGTTGGGAGGCAGCTGTTTGAAAAATGTATAACTGGGTACCTGAAAGAAAAATGCGTAGTTCTGGTTACTCACCAACTGCAATATTTACGAGAAGTCGAAAAAATTTACCCCATGTCGGGCGGTCAAATAGGGCCCCCAGGTTCGCTCGAGAAAATCCAACATGCCGGCAAAGCGTTTGTAGGGAAACTCGAAGAAACGGAATTCGACGGAATGGAAGAAAACACAATCGATAAGCTACAGGTATCACCTCAAACAACCAACGATACAAAAACCGATGAAGAACCCGTAGAAGAGAAAGAAGGGAAAGAAGAAGGGACAGTTTCTTTTAATATATACAAAGCGTACATATCAGCCAGTGGACATTGGTTGACAATTGTGATGCTGGTTATAACGTTCATCGTTGCTCAAACTTTTGGAAGCCTCTGTGATTATTATTTAACTTGGTGGTAAATCGCCCCGCAAAGGCACTCTTAGAATGGACCACACGCTGTTATTTTTAGGGTCAACGGAGAACAGTTGAAGGAAGAACCAACCGCTGGAATAAACATACTATCACCCAAATTTTGGTTACCACCTCTAACACCAGTGCAACGTCTCGCAGTCTATACTATGCTGATTTCTGCGGTGATAGTGCTGACTATATCTAGATCGTTATGGTTTTACAGAATCTGCATGATCGCTTCCGTAACGCTTCACAATGAAATGTTTAACAAAATCGTTCGCGCTACGATGCGCTTCTTCAATGTAAATCCTTCTGGAAGAATTCTGAACAGATTCTCGAAAGATATGAATCAAGTGGATGAAATTTTGCCCATAACTTTTCTGGATACGATACAGGTGCATTAAACTCATCGTACGGATGAATTCACATTCCTTTCTAGTCAACGTTGGTTTTAGGTTGGCTTAAACGGTTGCGCAATAACCATTGTAGTAACTTCGATTAACCCGTGGATGCTGTTGCCCGCTCTTATTGTATTAGCCATATTTTATGCCGTCAGAACGATTTTCTTAGCAACTAGCAGGGACATTAAACGCCTCGAAGCAATCAGTAAGGACTTTTAACCACCATCGCTTCGAGAATAATATTATGGGAACCTATACTTTTTACAGTGAGAAGTCCTGTTTACTCTCATTTTACTGCATCTCTGCAGGGCCTGACGACGATACGAGCATTTGGTGCCCAAAATGTGCTTAACCAAGAATTTGATTACTATCAAAACAGATACAGCTCTGCTTATTTTATGTTTCTAGTAGCCAACAGATCGTTTGGCTTTTACTTGGACGTTTTCTGTGTGGTATTTATCGGTTTGGTAACTTTCAGCTTTTTGGTTATGAATACCGGTGAGTGGGCGTACTTGCAATTTCTTACTTAAAGTCGTATTTTCTAGAAAACTTGAGCGGCGACGTCGGCTTAGCAATAACTCAATCCGTGATGCTGACAGGCATGCTGCAATGGGGCATGAAGCAATGGAGCGAACTTGAAGTGTCCATGACTTGTGTGGAAAGAATTAAACAGTATTCAGAAATCACTACCGAAAAAGACGAAGGAAGCCAGCACCCATCCGAAATGTGGCCCAGCAGTGGCAAAATTCAGTTTTGTAACCTGAGTTTGAGATACGATGACAACCAAGCTGACGTTTTAAAGGGAATCTCATTTTTGGTGGGCGCTAAAGAAAAAGTTGGCATGGTGGGAAGAACTGGTGCCGGAAAATCATCCCTAGTTGCTGCTCTGTTTCGGTTGGCTGAAACCAGTGGATCTATTTTTATCGATGATATAGATACCAAGTGCATACCATTGAAAACCCTCAGATCTCGCATATCAATAATTCCACAGGAGCCTGTGCTTTTCTCAGATACTTTAAGAAAGAATTTGGATCCATTCGATGAATTTAATGATCAGGTAAAGTATGTAATAGTTTCCAATCAATATTTATTAGTCGTTTATTTATTTAATAGACCCTCTGGGATGCCCTCGAAGACGTCGAACTCAAAAGTGTAGTATCGGATCTACCTCATGGCATGCAAACCAAAATGGCCGAAAGAGGAGCTAATTTTAGTGTAGGCCAGAGACAATTACTTTGTCTAGCGAGAGCCATAATTAGGAATAACAAAATATTGGTATTAGATGAAGCTACAGCCAACGTTGATCCTAATACGGATGGTTTGATACAATCTACTATTAGAAAAAAATTCTCTGAGTGTACGGTCCTGACTATAGCGCACAGACTGAATACCATTATGGATTCGGAGAAAGTTCTGGTATTAGATGCTGGAGAAGTTGTAGAATATGGACAGCCATACAAACTTTTAATGAATCGTAACATCTTTTACGATATGGTTCAACAAACCGGAAAAACGATGGCACAAAACCTGAGGACCATTTGTGAACAAGTAAGTTATGGTTTGATAATATTGTAAGTTTGACTGTTGATATTTCTAGGCCTACGAAACCCGTGATAGATGATAATGGTTTTTTTTGTATTCACTAAACCAATAAATCTGTCAAATAAAACTATTTTTACTCAAAATAATTTATTTATTTACATTCATATTTTATTTATATAAGTACTTTGTATAAGTACCCACGTCAATTTCTGACTTTTTGCGCTTCTATTTTTGTTAGCTAGAAACAAAAATGGCTCTGCTTATCCTATGATTAATGTAAATAGCATCATACCTGTTGCCTAGCGATTTCAGTCAAGTTTTCAGCCATAGCTCTGCCGGTCTGCTGTACCATTTCGTAAAATATCCCACCATTTTGAAGCAGTTCATAAGGTCGACCAAATTCAGTTACGCGTCCAGCGTCCATTACCAAGACCTTATCTGAATCCATGATGGTATGGAGTCGATGGGCTACGGTTAATACTGTACAGTTGTGGAATTTTCTCCGAATGGTTGATTGAATTAAGGAATCCGTATGCGGGTCAACATTGGCGGTAGCCTCGTCCAGTACAAGAATTCTGTTGTTGCGAGCTATGGCTCGAGCAAGACAAACTAGTTGCCTCTGCCCGACGCTAAAATTCGATCCTCCTTCAGACATCCTGCTCTCTAAACCTTGCGGCAAGTCTGATACGACCGATTTAAGTTCCACTTCGTCTAATGCATTCCACAATATCTTCAAAATGAAACTTCAACTAGCAACCAAACGATTGTCCGAAACATCCCCAAGTTCTTGATCCACAACAGTAATAAATCATCTTACCTCATCGCTATATTCGTCAAAGGGGTCTAAATTTTTCCTCATGGTTCCGGAAAACAGTACAGGTTCCTGCGGGATAATAGAAATACTGGACCTAAGCCTATGCAATGGTACATATTTTGTATCCACATTATCGATAACAATTGTTCCTTCGTTCTCGGCCAATCTAAATAAAGCAGCGATAATAGAAGACTTTCCTGCACCCGTTCTTCCCACAATTCCAACTTTTTCCCTACACCGAATATTCAAAGATAAATTTTTCAATACATTCGGTTCATCTGCTGCATATCGCAGGGACAAATTTTCGAACGTTACGTTGCCTTCTTCGGGCCAATTTTTAGGAGGTTCTTTTGTTTCGACATCCTTCTCTGGTTCTATGTCAGCATATTCTTTTATTCGTTCCACGCATGTCATTGTATTTTCCAGTTCGCTCCATTGTCTCATACCCCATTGAAACATGCCAGTCAAGGTTATTGACTGCGTAATGGCAAGACCGACGTTTCCGCCCAACGTTTCTAAAAAAATCAAAAGTCGTAATGGAATACATTCAACAATAACCTTAAAAAAGCGTACTAGCGTCAAAAAACAAGAAGCTCAGGGTGACTAAGGCTACGAATACAACACAATGCATATCCAAAGTCATGCCAAAAGACCTTCCGAGTGCGGTAAAGGTAAAATACGCCGAGCTGTTTTCATTTTGATAGTTATCGAATTCCTTCGTAAGAATCTCTTCAGCACCGAAGGCCCTAATTGTTGTCACTCCTTGTAGTGTGGCCGTAAGGTGAGAATAAACCGGGCTTCTCGCTGAAATCAACTGATGATGCTACAAGTTTTTACAATATGAATATCATACTGATTCCCTCCAAGCGTTTGATATCTCTACTAGTCGCGAGATACACCACTCTAAGAAAATAGAATATTGATAATATTATCACAGTCGGTAACAACATCCAGGGATTAACAGACGCCACCACTGCCGTTATTGCGACAACCAGATGTGCATTCTGGAATAACAATGTAGAATAAAATGGTGAAAGCTAGAGTAGAAAAAGTAAACCTGCAGTGCATCCAACATACTCAACGGCAAGAGCTCATCTACTTGATTCATATCCATTGCAAAGCGGTTCAAAATTCTCCCGGAAGGGTTAGTATTAAAGAACCTCATTGTTGCGTAAACGATTTTATCAAACATATTTTTATGCAGCTGCGTGGACGCTCTCATGCAAAAATTGTAAAAAAATAAGGACCTCGTAAGAGTAGCCACTATCATAAATGCTATCAAACAGGAATATGTCGTTAAAATAACGTCTTCGGACATATAAGTCATCCAGAATGTCTGTAAGGCAGTGTTGGAGCGAACCGGACGTGTAAATGTATCATTAACAAAAATGAGATCATCATAAGGAACTATATTGTCTATGGCGGTTTCATTCAACGAATTTTCCGTCTTCATTATTGCTACGCCATTTTCCCTTTTCATCTGCTCCATATTGACCCTTAAAATAATAAATTGCTTAAGGCTGTAATTTTTTTAAAGTCTCACCACTTACCAGTAGGATAAATAGTAATCCGTGAAACTGCAGAAAATCTGAGCTATTATAAATAGAGCAAAAAACAAAAATATTCTGAAAGTGTTCCCTCCGGCGTAGAAATACGACTGATAAACCTTAACGGATATCTTTCCCTCGCCTTTGCTTTCCTTAGCAATTATGGGATCCTTGGTAGTTTTTGAAATCGAGCGTTTTTTCGTTGATCGCCTCCTCGGTTTGCTGTCATTGTTATCTAGTATCTCTTGATTTTCAGTTTCAGAACCTTCTGATTCCTCATCCTTGTTGAGTTCGTTCAGAAGCTTGGCAAATCCTTCAGTCGACTCTTGAATCTGTTGATAGGAGCCAGATTTTTCTACTGTACCACCCCCAAGCAGGTAGATTTTGTTTACATCTTTTAAATATTGCAACTGATGTGTAACCAGGACGACACATTTATCCTTAAGGTACCCGGTAATGCATTCCTCGAATATGTGTTTCCCTACGTGGGTATCTACAGCCGATAACGGGTCGTCGAGCAGATAGATATCGGCCTTCTTATAGACTGCTCGAGCCAAGTTAATTCGAGCTCTTTGTCCGCCACTCAAAGACACACCACGTTCTCCAACGAGAGTACGATCGCCATAAGGAAACAACCTAAAGTCTCTTTCTAACGCGCATACTCTTACGACTTCCTGATATCTTTTGGCGTCGAACTCATCACCGAAGGTAATATTTTGACGAACACTACCAACAAACAACCAGGGCTCTTGCGAAGCGTAAGAAACTTTTCCATGGATTTCCACTGTCCCAGAACTAGCAGGTAATTCTCGTAGGATTGCATGTAGTAGAGTTGTTTTTCCACTACCCACAGGGCCAATTACAACTCCTAACTCGTGAGAATTAACGACCAAATTCACGTGTTCTAGATTGTATTCATTACTTGAAGATACCCATTTAATGGCTACATTTTTTAAATGGATGCCGACTGATTTCTGCGGTATGACTCCATTAGCTGAGAACTTTTCCTTTTGGAAATCATTTGTTGCTAATTTCTGAACGTTTAGTGATTCTACTTCTTGAAATAGCAAGAACTGCTTTATCCGTTTAACTGATATGCACGATTCTGCCATCTGCATGGCGCCCTGTGGGAAACCTATTGTTAAAGTCTTTTGCAGAATGTGGTAGAAGGAGGTGATGACGTAAACATATTGCGCTGTGAGAGCGTTTCCAGTTAAGTAGTAGGTTAATATGCAAATATATATGGACGTTCTTGTCAAGAACAGCGTAAATGACATGTTTATTCCTCTGATAATGGACGTTTTTTTTATTTGCTGAATTTCTTTGCTGAAATTTTAGGGTATTCGTGTAGAAAAGTTTGAGGGATTTTCAGAATGAACGCACCGTCTGCTAATTTCCACCAATTTCGCAAATGGTTTTTCCCACGTATACATCTTGATCACTTGTATACCTGTAACGATTTCGTTCATAAGTCGAATCCTCTCGTCAGTCTTTAAAGCGGTTCTAAGTCTGTAAATGGACGTTTTCCTTCCAAGCCACACTAAAATTCTAATCTATTATCTAATTAAATAGACCGATGCGGTTACTTACTCTGAAACGGTATATAACCAACAACAAAAATTAGGCCCACCATACCAGTAACCCCGACGTTAAAGTATAGCAAGCATAGTACCACCGTTAGTTCGATGGGTAGCACCCACAGGTCTTGCAGGAATCTTGTGGCCTGCTCAAATCGGCCTACGTCATTTGATATTAAATTCACCATCTGACCCACCGTGGTGTCAGCAAAAGCTGATTTGCTCAGTTTAAGGGCTTTCTCATAAACGAGGGCTGACGTTGCCACTTTCACTTTTCTACCCAGGAGGAACTGTCGGAACATAAAATTATGTTGGAACACCGGCGGTACCAAAGTTGTCAATATAACCAACGAGGCGTATATATAGGCTTCATTTTTTGACATAGCTGAGTTCGCTTCGAAGTATTCCAATAGTTTTTTGAGGGCTAGCGGTTGTGACAATCTACGACACGCTTCATCAAACTCTTTCCTCGGCTGATGCCACTTTACTTACTTGATGCAAGTTTCCACTAGCAAATACCAAACACCAAGAACGACAGCTTCCTTCCAGAACACTTTCGCAAGTGCCCTCCACAGAGAAGGAGTGGCCTTCCTTACTTCTTTTGCCCATTCCACTTTCAGTTTCTTACCCAGGAATGTTGAGTTATGAGATTTTAAAATTGGGGATAGGTCTTTCTCCGTCAGATCTGTACTGTAACCTTTCTTAAATAACGGCAGCAACCATCTGCAAATGTATTCGTAGATATAAATTTAAAAAGCAACAGATCTGATCTGAATATTTCCAAAACCAAAAATATTTTATTTAATGCGATTTACTGACGTATTTTTTCAGTTCAAGTGACACCGTTTATCCAAGAGGAGTTCACGACTCTGAAATTTTGTAATTTTTTTTTAAAATACCTTTACGGTATTTAGTAACGTTCACACTAAAAATACAAATTTATATAAGCATCCATTATAAAAATAATATTTTAGTTTAACGTTTGGTTGCCTCAAAATGTGAAACTAATATCCAATAACTCAAACTTACACAAAAAATACTTTGGATAAGAAGCTTGCTTCCTTGTACGGGTGTGGAGTTTTGTTATTATTTCTTGCCTCTGCATCTCTGTAGTCTTCCATTTATTGCATTTGTATATTTTGGTTTGAAATTTCCCTTTCCTTCGATTTTCCCTATTTTAATTACAAGAACCTGAAAACTAAATGTCAACGCTGAAAAATGTCGTAACATTTTTCGCAAATACACGTACAGTCTATTTTTAAGCCATGGAATTATTTTTGGAAACGGAAAACGTATTCAACGAGTGTGATATACCAAGAGCGATCCACATTCGACTTGAAATAGCGATTCAATAAGAGGCAAATAAAAGTTTGACATCGAAATTTCACGTAATAGTAAAAAGTCTCAGCGAAAACGGGGGATATTTATAAATATCGGACGAATAATTAAACCATTATGTAATCAGTTTATAATCTGAACGCATAGGCATATAAGATAATTTTTTTCATTAAATTTAAGATAATAAAATTGTTAGTATTAGCGACTCATATTACTCAGTCACTTTTAGATAACGAGCTTACATGGAAAATCACTGCAAACTTTATAAGACTTAACCAGATTCATAAACAATACAGACGGTACAGGAATAATCTTCTCAAAATGAAAATGTATCTCATAAACATATGACTCCCTAAATTTGATAGGGTAATCATTATTTCATGAGGTTGTGAAATTTTAACCAAGTGGGTTTCATGGATTTTACGTCTTTATTTTTAGGTAAAAGAGTAACTTTGGTAATAATAACCACGAATTTTTATCGCAATTCAATGGTATATTTTTAAATTTGCAAGTTTGACGAAAAGTGAGAACTATTAGTTTTTATGATTTACTCCATTAAATATCTATAGTTAAGAATTCATAAAATTCAAATACTAAAATAATTAATATCTCAAGTATGGATGAGGCAAAGCTCTTCAAAGTTGCATATAATTTCTCCGCAGTAATTTTAAACAACCTCGCAAGTGCGCAATCTAGCTGATTTTTTAATAATGAAATATATGCTACAAAGATAAGCATTAATAAACCCGTAATTAATGTTTTAATATATTAGCAAATAAATAATACTCCGACCGGTTAGTTACCTTAAGGTTTTGGTTAGTTTGGTTTTTTATAATTCGAACTTATTGGTTACTAATATATTTAGTTTCATAGCAAATAGAACAATAACCATTGGGGTTGGTAAGAAGTTCAAAGCAATTCCACTTTTCTTTCTTAAAATAAAGGGCATTGAAGTTCTTCATTAATAGAAACTGGTATATATCGAATGAGTAACTAAACAGTATTGCTTAAAATTGATTGCCAGTTAACTACTAAGAATTCATTTGCATGTTCTTGCTAAGAGCACATGATAATAAATGTAAAAATTCTTTATAAGCTTATGGACATTCCGTGAAAATTTTTAGACCTTGCGTTAATAAAACTAATCGTTTTTTTTTTAAACTTCACCCACTCACGATTGACCTATTAAGGTCCTCGTAACAGCTACAGATAGAGGACTTTTAGTCAGTAGATATCAGATCTTATTTCGGAGATAAAATCATTTTTCCCCTTTAAACTTAAAAAAAATGAGTTTAACCTATCAGCTTCCTTTTCCACGTTGATCCCTAAGAAATCCAGTGAATAAATATTTTGTTAATACCAAAATAAGTAAACACGAAAAACAAGCTACAAAATAATGGAGCTACTCAGTTCATATGTATGTACTATGTACAATGTATAAATACGAAGTGCAGAAATGCGTACAAAATAGGTAAAGTCTAATAATACACCTACGTTTGCTTTTAAAACATTTATAGGTCTGTCGTAATGCATTTGAATTTCTTCGACTTTTTAGGTTTAAGAGACAAACGAAAAATTTAAACAGTGACCTGGACCTGATGAAAGTACACTAAAGACAAAAAAAATGGATGAGCAAGGTTCTTCACATTAATTGCAAGATTTTTAATGATGCATTTAAAAATTGCAAAATGGTTAAGTACTCACATATTACTTGAGACATTGGCTTTTATTGTAAATATGTAGTAGGAAACACACAATTTTCCTAGTGTAATAAATAAATAAATAAACAAGACATATGTCAACTCCTAAATTAATTAATTAATCGAAACACATTTTATTCATGTACTATTTAGATTTACAATGCTGATGCTAGCCATTATTTTGAATCCAATGTTATGGATCTGCAACTATGCAATCATCTTCCGAAAATGAAGAAGACCATATCTTTTTGGTATACTTAAATAAATTAAAATTTTGACATACGACAGAAACATGTGAAAAATAAAATTTAAAATTTAAAGATAAAAATTAAAGAGAAGCATAAACAAGAATAAATACCAATTATTTGAACAATTCCATACCAATGTAAAATGTAATAATCAATAACAACATTCTGTAGCATCAAAAATAAGTTAATTAATTAAACAAATATTATGCAAACACAACGGGCGGTATATTCACGAAACTATAGCGACAAATAAAGATAAAGAAGTTTTGCTTAATTCTAAAAAGCAGTCCTAAACCATAGCCATTGCATTTTACCTGGCCAAATCGCCCCAATCAACAGCGATTTCCACTTCACACACACACGCGCCTTCCCGCTAAAAACATCAAACCTACGACGATTACGAAAATTTTAGCAATATCTATGAACGAATCGTAAGTTCGCATATTCGTCTAGATATTGGTTTCAAATTTTTACGCGGCGCAAGCGTATCTTTTATAAATTCCAAGGACCAGCGTTTCCAGTGAACTTAATTGTGTAGAATGCGTCAACGATAATATAGAATGAGCGATTTTAATTCAGTGATAAGTAACAAGCTTTATAGTCTATATTTCAAATCAATTATTTTCTTTGACTCATGGTAAACCAACCGTGAAAATCAGAAATTTCAAATTGAAGAATATGATGTCGTAAAATTACACTTTCAGTAATTCTCATCGGTCCACAATTGAATATTTTAAAGTATAAGGGCATTTAGCTCTCCCTTTCACTATTTAAATAGTTATTAATATAAGTAACCGATTTTGAAAATGATATTTGAATATCAATATTCCAATTAATTTGAGTCTTCTTATTGGTAAAAAATTGAAATAACAATACTAAGAAAAGCAATGGCAACAAGACACTGGAACACAGTGGGATACCACTCTTAAGATACCTTCTGGAATTTTGAAGAAGAAAAAGAATTGATTTCATTCTTTTTACTGCAATAGCCCTTCAGCCACACCACTGACACTTGAGCAAACAATGCAGTGCAATGAACGCAGGGCGTTTTTATTTTCGTATCAATGCGAAAGGATTTCGCCGACTAGCAACCAGTAATACAGAGTGTCACAAATCCGGTTTTCGCTGTTGGGATATACCAGAGATCCCAAGTGGGTTAAATGGGAGGCAACGGTGCGTTTTGAATGAAGATGAGCGATTTCTCTTTATCTTTCCTTACCTTATCTCAACGACATTATTTAAAGTATTTTTAATTTCAAAATTGTTTTTTTTACAAACATAATTATAATCAACAAAGTTGTATACTTTGACCTAGTGGTTCGTCCAAATTATTTAGTTTACTAGAACTCGCTGGAAATGGATAGTCATCCACAACTAAAGACAGCTCGAAATATGAGACTGGTAATGACATATGTTTATTTAAAAAACAAAATATATGTATTAAATATTGTATGGTCATTCTTGCGCAATATTGCAAAATTTCGTTTAATATGCAAAACTTATTTTAAAATTACAAAATGTTGTGAAATCTATATGAACAATATGAATAGGTGATGCTGCGTTTATATATAAACATAGATTAGTTAGTTAGCGCATTGTGCGTTTAAGACAAATTTGTCCTCGTGGTCTGAACTAATTTCAACAATCGTCATTTAAAACATTGCAAAGTATATTTTAAAACATCAATAGAAATCCCTTTGTGAGCAAAGCTAAAAGGTGTAGCTGTATATAAAACAATATTCAAAGTTCCAGTGGAGCAGAGATTTCCCGCTAGTAAGAGAGAGATAATTTCAGGCTACAAAATTAATAAAAATTAAGTAACATTATTCTATTGTGCACACTATGTACTGTGACAAAATCAATTGCAAAATTGGAGTTACTGCTAACAAAAATTTTGCAAAAGATGCAGATATCGTTATATATACAACTGTATAAATTAAAGACTCAGGATAAACATAAATATTTATTCATTACAATTATGTAAAATCTCAATTTCCCCTGTAGTCTTAAGCCTAATTTTATATACATACTCCCTGGTTTGTTCATCCGATTGAACATTTAGGACCAAGTTAAATATGTCATTTTGATCCTTATCTTTTTCTACTTTAAAACTATGAAAATCGTAAATTGTTGTATTCAATTCCTTCTCCAGCAAACCATAGCATTTTTCCTTAGAGACCTCTGGACAGAATAAAATCTCGTACAATTCTTCCAGAAGTTCCGCCATTATAATTCTGAAATTTGGTTCGTTTTTGTACAGATCCAACGAAATCTTCGATTTATCTTCAAATAGATATTGCCTATAATCATCCGATTTTTGTTTGAGTTTGTAGTAGTATTCATTACTTCCAGCATTTTCTAGAAAATACAAAGCTGCTTCCAACTTAACCAGAGGCAGTACGAAATCAACTGACTGCAAGAACTGCTCAAAGTTAAATATCTTCTCAACACTAACCCCAAACTTGTCCAGTTCCTCAGTTAGTCGATCATAATAAAATCTCAAGAGATAAGTAAAGTAATGCTGTCTAAATAACTGATGAGTTGTCAAAAATATCATACTTAACACGTCGTAGGCTGGCAGAAAATACATTACAGATTGAAAGCCAACCAGTACGCAGTGCACTGGGGTGTTGCCGTCGTATTTAAATAAAATATTCTTAGTGTGAAGGTTTCCATGGCACAATATATTGTAGAACTTACTTTGAGGCTTCATTATATTCTTTATTGATTGTAAATAAGTCTCGAATTTCGAATTGAGGATGTCTATTTCATTCTGGTAGTGAGGATTGTTGCGAAACAACGCCTTTATACCTTTGATACTTGCTTCGAACCATCTGCTATAAGCATCGCCCTGGTTTTTAGCAAAACCGATATATTCGTCTTTGGAAGGGGCCTTTTCTTCATACGCAATGCTCGAAGCGTGAAACTGGGCTAAAGTTTTCAGGGCTACACTTAAATGTACCCTGTCCAAAAAAATTGGATAAGTTCGTTTAGCTCGGACGTAATATTTGACCGATAAATCTTCAAATATCAATGCGCCTTCAGACTTTTCCAGTAAAAATTGTGGAGCAAAATCCGGCCGGCATTCCGGTAGCACAGATAAAATATTTGGAAGATGGCGGGCAAAAAAGAATGTCTCCTTTGAAAACGATTCAGATGACTTTAAAAGTTCATACTCCGGTGTGTCCCTGTCGGGACATTTTTTAATAAAAAATCTGAACTTTTTTATGTTCTTTTGTACTTTGGCATTTATTTCCAACACGAAACCAATTTCGAAAAATTCAGTTCCTTTACTGAAATAAGGTTTCGTTTTAAAATTAATGAGCTCGAAGTTGTCGTTTTTTATATATCTTTTGAGTAGTTGGACGCAATCTTCCTCGGTCACAATATTATTCATCGTAGAACACAAACGTAACGGTTGTTGAAAGTAAATAAACGAACTGCCTAATATTTCCATTAGCTGCCGATATTGATGAAAACAGGTTATCGAGAGTGGATTAGTTGATAACACATTTTATCTGACTAAGTTTTGTCAGATCCTTAAACGAGTAGATATACAAACTTTACCTCTTTCAGCTCATTTTGGACCGAGTATAACAAAAAAAAGTGAAGGTAACTAGTTGTCAAAGAAGCAAAAGTGCACCTAAATAATTAACAACAAATTATTTATTCGTTATTAAATAGTGTCTTGTTTGACCAAATAATGATTCCAATGATTCGAAACTCTATCGATTTGAAGTTGAATTGGAAAAAAGTGTGCTGAAACATCCACACTGAAACATTATTTTAAACTGATGGTGTTTCTAATTTTAGTACTATTTACTACCCATTTTTGTATATTACGAGATAACTTATATTGTTCGTTGCCCTATTGCTTTTAAAATTCATATCGACCCCTCATTATCTGGTCAAAAAGGGACGAGAATTGATATGACTTATAAGCCGCCAATGTCAATCCAATTTGGGCTACAAATTAACTTCATTCTTAAACGAATGTTCTCATTTCGGTGACGTTTCCTTTACGTCAATCAAAATCGTCAATTTTAGGTCAGGTCATGGTTATTGGGTGATTGGTTTTGGTGGAATTCCAATTTTCTCGCTTGCCAACCCCATTATTCTCCAATTATTCAAATTCAGTTCATAAGAAAACATTTTATATCTGTTAAAGGTTTTATCTTGTGACTTCAAAATGACGCATTCTTCAACAATTCGTAACGATCTTTAAATCAATGAGGGACCGTTCATGACTCGAAAAATTCGTAATTTTGGTCACCATTTGCTACGTGCATTTTAATTTTATTACATGATTTGTTTCAAGAAAATTATAAAGAACCATGTAACGTAGAACATGTAAGGGTCCTTCGAATACAAAATAATATTAAATGCTCACTTCTCCACAGATTCCAGTTTAAAATATGTGCAGTTTATATTCAATGTCTGAAATGTCCTGGTTTGTTTTTTTTTCTTTAGACATCTTCAGAAAATAATTATCGTTGTTATCCACGTCTAAATCTTTATCTTATCGTTTAAACAAGTATCCAAGTTACGTTCTGAAAGTTAGACCTTCGTGACTATGAGATCCACTTCAGAGGTTTTAAAATTTTGGATCCCGCATCTTAAATGTTGACGATAGCTGGCTGCTAGTAAGCAACTCGGATGTCATGGACCACCGACAGCAAGATGATTTGAAAGAGAACCCCAGAGAAACGGCGAATATATTCTCGATCATAACATTCGCGTAAGTACTGGTAAATAATATACAATATTTTAAAACTGTTTAAAAGCATCATTTGAAAATAAATTCTACATACATTCATAAAACGGAATCAGCTAAATGTCTCCTAAATCTTTTTTATTTCGGGCAGATATAATTTTTCATTGCTAAGAAAAGGGAAGAACAAGGAACTACAAGAGGAAGACGTATATAAAGTTGTACCTTATCTATCGTCCGAACGACTAGGAGATAGACTGGAAGGTTACTGGTACAGAGAACGAAAATTTAACAATAATCCTTCCATAACACGATGTCTACTGAGATGTTTCGGACCGATGTTTTTATGTTATACCGCTATCCAGCTTGTTTTCGGCACTGGATTTCTGTAAGTAATCTTAAACTTAGCCAAGACGGAGAACATTGCTTGTTAGTGATTTTCGTTGATTGTTTATGAGCAATAAAACAGCACATTTAGCCAACCAAGTAAACAAAACTCTCTTTTGTACTTACATTAATGTAAACGCGATATCCATTAGTATCCCAGAAGGGACAAAGCATCTGCATAATGCTGGGCCCAACATATTTCCAGTTTCCAGAAAAATTCCGGGCAATTTATGTGACCGACATTAAGTATTAAGGGCTATTAAGTCCATGTTGTGTAACAAAACACCGAATTTCTTAATCAGTTTTTACTCCTATTATAATTATTGAGCTAGGTATGTCATACTAGTACAATACAGTGAAATGTTATAACATGAAACATATGAAAATTGATTACAACATTTCCTATTACTCAACATTAGCAAAATATAACAATATTGACCTAGTGTTTTCAAAAATCTTTCCGTATCTAGGGAACATCCAAAAATAAAATTAGTTTGAGGGCCATCAATTGAGAAAAATAAAAGCCTGCAATGGATACAATGCAATGGGTAGCGTTGTATCAAGAGAAGCAACACGTGTATGCATTTTTAACTCACTACTTGACTGACTATCTATAGGGCAATTGTAGAAGCAATAAGAAAAGATAAAGAATGGATACTGTAGAAATGTATATCCCTAACGGAGAGATTAGAAGAAGAATGGAAAGAATGTACATTATAACAGAAAGAATGGAAATCAGACAACAAATAGTGTGTGTATCTATTTGGCCAAAATATGGATGAAGGTACTGATGATAGAATGAGGGACAGAATTATTGTTAGGGTCGGATGGAAGGATAGAAAACAACAGCGATCGAAATGAGGAATAAGGCAAAGACTATAGAACCCCTAAATAGATATAAATGGGACCAAAAAAACGTTTTTTTATCACTTTTGAAATGGTTAAAGATAATTATCTTAATATTTTGTATCAGACTTGTTGATTAATACTACTACTATTAACACTACAAAAAAACTGTTATTTTTTGTGATCTCTTTGAAACTAAATGATGAATTTTTTTTTGTAATAATCTATTTACCCTAAAATTATAGAAATGTTTTTTAAAACACCCTATACAAAGTTTTAATGCTAAGGGAATCACTTTAATTATATTTCAATCAAAATATTTCGGAAGCTGAGCTTACTTCAATAATTTCTCTTCGCAGAATCATTCAGCCTCAGTTGTTTTCCAAAGTGGTAGCGTACTTTCAGCCCAACCAAACATCGATTTCAACAAACGACGCATATCTCTACGCCGCAGGTGTAATAGGGCTAAACATCATAAACGTTTTCTATATAGAAAACTTTTTTCTCCTGGTGACCGAATACATAGTTAAAGTAAAAACCGCTCTGTGCTCTTTAATATACCGAAAAGCACTGAAGATTAGCCCCGCGGTGTTTTCCGAAATGTCGATCGGCAAAATAGTCACCCTGATCACCAAGGACGCCGTGGTCCTTGACAATGCGCTGGGAATGACCAAGGACATGCTCGTCGGCTTTTGTCACATCGTTGTCGTAACCGTTATTTTGTACCGAAGAGTTGGCTTCTCTATTCTACCGGCCGTTGCAGTTTTCCTCGTCATTATTCCCATGGAACGTAAGTACAGCAATAAAAAGACGTCAAAATTATCATTTTAAGTTTCCATTCACAATAATAATAAATAGTCTTTATTGGTCAAAAAATAAATTAATTAATAAATAATTTTTTGCACATCTTATCACAGCGTCTGTTTCATATTGTTTAAAGATGCAAAAAATAAAGCTTACCATAAATCGCATATTTCCGGAATTTACTAAAATATTGTTTCCTCTATTTTCAAATGGACAAACTTTAGTCATTATATCTTCAATAATGCTTAATAAAAGTCAAAAGAAATTGACAAACGCGTTTGATAGACGCCACTGTAATCACGAGTTTGATTTGAAAGGGAGCGGCGTTTAATAAACCAAAGACTGAAGAAGGATCGTGTTAGGCATCCTCTTTCCTTTACCATTAGTTTTTGGGTACATTTTTAAAAAACATTCACTGAATGCCCAGTGAAGTGGCCATTAAAACTGACAAACGTAAAATACCATTCGACAATAAAAAAAAGCATCGCCCAATGGCATGGAACACAGTCTAAAGGGGCAATAAATATAAGTCTTAAAAAAACCGGACATTTCTATATACACATTGAAAGTTGAGATAAAATATATATATATATATATATATATATATATATATATATATATATATATATATATATATATATATATAGACTTTGGAATATCGGAAATAAAAAAAAAACACCTTATCAACGCCTGATTGGTGAAAAGGCGAAAAAAAATGTGAAAAATGAAACTAAAAACCGTTAAGCGATTTTCTAAAACTTATATTCGGTATAGTCAATTGTTTTCGTCTGTTAATCAATAATATTAAACTAAAAATGTTGAAATGATGATTGATTGATGCAATTATTAACTTTGACATTTAAGAAAATCTTATATACTCAATACAAAATTGAAATTATTGTTGCTGAAATATTATTAAGTACAGTACTAGAACATTTTTGATATTTTTGAAACCAATGATGTATCTTGTTTTAGTTCTCCTCGGTCGTAAAACAACACATGTTAGATTACAAACAACCCAGCGGACCGATGAAAGAATTCGGATTATTCAAGAGACTTTGGGTTCGATAAAAATCATAAAGATGTACAACTGGGAAAAATATTTCGAAAAAATGATTACCGCGGCCAGAAAGTAAATCGAACCTTAGCAAAGCGAGTTTCGTATACTAACTATGGCGTTTTTCAGAATCGAAACGGATAAAATCAAAGTGGTATATTACCTGAAGTCTCTAATAGTATCTCTAGGCAGTTCTACGATAAACCTGGCGTTTTATATATTGCTGGTATCGTACATCGCAAGGGGCTATCGAATCGACGCGGAAACTATCTATTTCATACAGAGTTGTTTGGGTTTTCTAGGAATCGCCGTCGGAAGTTCCATACCATTCGGGATAGCCCAAACGTCCGATATGCTAGCGTCGATCCGGAGAATTCAAGCGTTTCTAATCGCCGAGGAAACCAAACGGAAAGATAGCTCCTTCCTTCCTATTCGAGACCCAAAAATTTACCTCGACAAAGTTGCGGTCGAGATCGTCCAACACGAAGTACTTAAATCCGTTTCGCTAAATCTAGATGAAGGTTTACTGTTGGTCTCGGGAAACGTGGGAAGCGGCAAGAGCACCCTCTTAAAAACCATCCTCCGGGAATATTCAATTTCCAAGGGAGAAATGGAAGTAGTGGGCACCATTTCCTACGCTTCGCAAGAACCGTTCCTCTTTCCGTCTTCAATTAGACAAAATATACTTTTCGGGGAAGACTACAATGAAAGAAGGTACCAAGAGGTGTTAAATGTCTGTGCGTTAACTTATGACATCAACCAGTTCGAAAAATTAGACTATACTATTGTGGGAGATAAAGGTATTAACCTGAGTAAGGGTCAGCAGGCCAGAATTAATTTAGCCAGGGCGGTGTACAAAAACAGCGATATTTATTTGTTGGATGATTGTCTGGCTTCGCTAGATAACCACGTGAACAACCATATATTCGAGAAATGCATTCGCGAATTTCTTGGAAACAAGTTATGCGTCGTGGTCACCAACAACATTAACAATATTAAACACGTTGACGTCAGTAGGGTTTTGTTTATGGAAAACGGTACTACTTTGGACTTGGACCAGCAGTACGGCAGTTTAGATAAAAGAATTACTTATTACATGGACGAGGAAGCAAACGTCAAACTAAATAAAACTACCTCGAATGAAAAAGATAACAGTGAAAATTCGACGGAAGCCGATACGTTACTGCCACCGAACAAGGAAGTAGTACTGAGTAATCTTTATCGCGAGCAAAGTAAAGAAGGAGGAGTCGCGTTGAAGAACTACTTCAAATATATCGCATATATTGGCGGATTCGCAGGGTTAAGTTTGTTGTTACTTACATTTCTAGCAGCTCAGATTTCTATATCCTACGCCGACAAGCTTATAAGTAATTGGTAAGTGTGGATTTTTTATATTTAGTGTTCCGACTGTCCAATTAAGAAAGGCACTCGGCCCTGTTTCGAAAACTAATTGTCGTGGGGTAGACAAGATGTGGAATTTTCAATCATATTGAATAAGTTTTAATTACTATTGACATTTTAAATATAATGTAGTTTTCTTAACATAGGATTTAGGATTAAGCAAAGAGATAAATTCCAGATTGGTGTTTTAGGGTAAACCTAGAACCAAAAATAACGGAGTACATCGCATTCAATCGTACTGACGATCCGGAATACGAGGCGGCTCTAGAAGATCGCGAGAACATGCTTAACTTATATACGATCTTAATAATGGGAGGCTTGATATTTGCAGTACTCCGATCGGTATCCAGTTTCTACTTTTGCATGAAAGCGGCCAGGCGACTGCACAAGGCAGTCATAGTCGCGATTCTCAATACCTACATGTACTTTTTCGATGATCATTTAATTGGAAACATTATCAATCGGCTTTCGAAAGATTTCCATTCTGTAGACGAATACATGCCTTTCGTGCTTTACGAAAGTCTTCGGGTAAGCGAAAACATATTGTTAGCCCAACATTTCCAAAGTATTCTTTTGATCCGTTAGGCTATTATTATAATAGATACACACACATACTGACTCGAATCGAAACGTGGAGGAGCTTGTGCGTGCCACCATCTTGTCTATTTTTATCTATTCTATTTTAATCCTTTCAAGTCCCAAACATAGCCTATAATACTATCGAGGGCTATTATTTTGACAAAACCCATATAGCAATGGCCAACTTACTCAAATATGTTCTATTGAATTATCATAACTCGAAAAATGTGTGAATGATGTTCGTAAAACGGATGCGGTCCAAGTAACACTTTGAATCAGAAAAGAGATTTTTGAATTTATATTCTGGTATCCACCTACACTGTTTTTCAAAGGAAGCAGCAAAACATTTTTATAAAATTGCATAATAATTTTTATTAACTTTTATCTAAATTTTTATTCTTTGCAAATCTTCAAAATTTAATTTTATGAAAGATAGGTATAGTTCTTTGGTATCGTAGAGGGAATGAGATATTTGTTTCTAAAATAGATTTAAAATATGTGTAAAAATATGTGTAATTTAAAATATGTGTAACTAAACGTTTTATACCAAATTAAAAAAAATTGTAATATGTAACCACGCATTTGGTTCAGTTTATTTTAAAAATGACTATAACGGCTTACAAGTTCAAAATAGAAAATAATCAATCAACATCTAAATGGGAAAACAAATGTTTAGTATATTTATAGATCCAATGTTAATTAAAAACAATAAAATTTCATACAGATAACATTTGTCAAGGTGTCATCAAAACATCATCAAACAAATAAAATGTTTCGGTTTCCAAGGCAATTTTCGATCATTAAATCCTATTTTCAGATAGGAAACAGACTAGATACATATTTTTGATATCAGGATATAAAATATATTTATTCCAAGTACAAGTCAATAAAACGTTTTGTTCAAAAGTTGTGAGAGAAAAAAATTATAAGAGAACTGTAAATCCCATAGGCTTTAAATCATAATAGTATGGTCGCCTCTTTGATTAATAGTTTAAATTAGGCACTTAAATCCAGTAGCTGAATATGCTTTTTGAAATTTTGACTAGCTTGAATTTGTATTGGATAAGAAGTTAAGGAAAAACGTTTTTACAAATCTTTTTCCTTGCTTTTTTTAAAGTAAATTTTTGCACCCAATGATTTCTGACATTCTGTTTTGCTGAAGCAGCAAATTAAGAATCCCTTTGCTGACCCATAAAAGTTCTTTTACCAACTCTGATTCAATTGACCAGCTTTAGTCCACAGCGATGATATTTTTAGTAAAATTTAATTTAGCATTAGTAAAATTAACTCTCTTTAGTTATTTTTCGGTATAGCCGGTGTAATTACGTTAATCACTTCAGTCAACTGGGACTTTTTCATACCAGCTGGGATACTATTCGTAAAGCTTTATTTTGTTCAACGTTTCTACCTCCCGACAAGCAGAAGTCTTCGCAGATTGGAAGCGTCAAGTAAATTACTGTTATTCATAGTTTTCTTTGGTTAGTAGCGGAACATTACTTTTAGCGCGTAGCCCGATGATTGGATACTTAAATTCCACACTGGAAGGGCTAACCACAATAAGAGCGTCGGAGCAACAGAATAAACTGAAATTTGAGTTTGATAGGCATCAAGACCTGTTTACATCTACATACCATATGAATGTTGCTGCTGGAAAACTTTTTAATCTACTTCTTGGATTATTCAGCACCACGTTTACGATGTCGGTTATTCTGAAGTTCCTTCTTTGGTCCACAGGTAAATAATCCATGTGGCACTTATTGAAAATGCTGTTTTTTTGTATTTTACTACAGACTACAAAGCAGGAGACGTCGGCCTGGCAATATCCCAATCTATGATGCTCGCTGCCCTCGTTCAAAACGTAATCCGTCTCACAACGGAAGTAGAAAGCTCCATGACATCCGTAGAAAGAGTCATGGAATACGCGCACGCGAAAACCGAAAATAAAGCAGGTCAAGTAATACCCAAGTGGCCTTCCGACGGGAGCATACGTTACAAAAATGTTTACTTAACCTACAAGACAGACGGCAACACCGTACTGAAAAACATTTGCTTCGAAGTCAAAGGAGGGAGTAAAGTCGGCATCGTCGGACGAACTGGCGCCGGAAAATCGTCAATTATATCCACCCTGTTCAGGCTCTACGATTTCGAGGGGAACATATTCATCGACAACGAGAATACTAAAAACGTATCTTTAGATTTCCTGAGGTCTCACATAGGCATCATACCGCAGGATCCGGTTTTATTTTGCGGCACCGTACGTTCCAACATCGATCCCTTGGGCAAATATTCAGACAACGAAATATGGAAAGCGTTAGAAAGAGTAAACATGACAGCGCATATCACGAGTTTAAGTCAAGAGATCAATAATAGCGGATCCAACTACAGCGTGGGCGAGAAACAACTCCTATGTCTCGCTAGGGAATTAGTTAGGGAGAGCAAAATCATAGTTTTGGATGAAGCGACTGCCAACATGGATCCGGAAACGGACCGAATGGTACAAAATCTCATTGAAGCGAATTTAGAGAGTTGTACTTTACTCGTCATTGCTCACCGATTAAGCTCTATAATGGATAGCGATAAAATTTTAGTGTTGGACGCCGGAAGAATAGTCGAATTCGACAGTCCGTCAACTCTGCTCAAAAATAACAATGGTCTGTTTTACAAGATGGTTAAAGATGACAATTTTGCGAATATTTATTAAGTTCTTTGATTATTTTGTAAATAATAATCTGTTAATAAACTTTTAGACATTAGCGGGGGAGTTTTTTAATAGTTTTCCATAAGTGCTCTAGTTCGCAATCCTGGCGAATTTTTAAAAGAATGACATTACACCTTAAATCGATACAAAATATTTCAGAAAAAGAAAACATTCAACCGCTAAATTCTTGATATTTAATTGGATTTTGGAGAGCGACCGACAATGCGTGTTTCCATAATTAATGTTAATAAGTTCAGAAACCTCATTTAATAAAATAATTACATATACATTTTTCAGACTCGACATTTCTCAACTTCAATTTAGAATATAGTTTATCTTGCAAATTCAAAAATGAGAAGAAAGAAATTGTACGCTGGGGTTTGCAAAAGTAAGACATTCTTTTTTTTTAAACAAAAAGTTCATTAACATAAATTTTAAACATCATAGAATCAAAGAAATGCTCCGCTCCGCCATTTTGAGAGAACCGCTTGCCGCTGATGAAATGGTCGTTAAATATTGGAGGTTCATATTATTATCAGCCTCTTTTAAGCTTATGTTAAATTCAACATCAATTCCTAATTCATAACAAGGACGTAACATTCTGTGATCGATATTTGTGATTAGTCACCCTAAAATCAGACTAAATCTAATTTAAAACATTTTATCGGATATTCTTGGATGTTTTGGTTACCAAAAAACATTTTTTATGATCGAATATTCAAATAGCTATAAAGGTATAAATTTAGACCACAATTTTTTATATAACAATGAAAACAGAAAACTGTTGTCAATAACAAACTTGCACAAATATTTTTTTTTCCAAAATTTCACTTGACTGAAAACACATCATGAATTAATTTTCAAAAAAAAATAACAATAAAAGTGATCAATAACCGTTTAATTATTATTATTATATTAAATGCCAAAAAATGATGGTTCACTTTAGATATATATAGAAATTACCTGTTTCCCAGGCAGAAAGCTCCCTTTTATTAAGGATTCCATATTCGTAACAAATCAAGTAACACATCAAAGTTCAACAAACCACAGAATTCGAAACATCTGCCTTTACGCATACCTACTGACCTGAAGCAGACGTAACGCTAGCCCACAAATTCTTCAGTCCGAGTGTAATTATAGACGGCCTATAAAAACCGTCCTTTTATTAAAAATGGTTCAGTCTGATTTAAACGCGGTGTAAACTTTCTGTAATTAATCGTCTTTGCTGTACTTGATGTGAAACTCTGATGACTGTAATAACAACTGGTCCGTGTATAATTGTATCGACAAAATTTAGTGGATGTTTCCTGCGAGTCAATTCAGGGATGTGTTTCAAGAGAATCAGTTAATATGGAACATAAGTGATATGCAGCATAGCACAGAAAGATGATTCTAGTTAGTTCTTTATCAATAAACGCGACCAAAACAAAAGCAAATAAGACGAAACTAATTTTTAAAGTTTTTAAAGCGACACAGTAAAATTCTAACACAGACTCATCCAAATTCTATGCTGCAGATTTAGAGAAAATATAAATAATATTTATATTTAAAATCGTTGCTGCAGAAGAAGGTTTTAGGTGAAGTTAAAGAACCTCATAACTGGCTTTCGTAGTTTTTCATCATCATTTTATCACTGTGTGTGTCCCAAATGATGCATCAAATGCCGGAGATGTACCAAAGATGTACAATTTACTGTGGATGTACATGGACTACTAATGCAGTAAGTAGGGTTTGTGAAATAAATTAAATTAGATAAAAATAATTAAAAATCCCTGGATCTAAATTCTTTCTTTTGTGTGGTTAAAGAAAGAGCTTTCACGGTGCTAGAATTATAACTAATACAAATTTTAAGCTTGAACAAGTGAATGCCGCAATAGTAAATGATCGATGTAGTTCATTTGCAGTTTGCCTGCTGAGGTAGTATATATTTTAGATTTTGAAGAATACACAAGGGATATGCTATAATAAATTATCAAAACTCTCAAAAATCGAACTGAGGTGGCTTTTACTTGATGAAAATCCATTTGACGAAATAAAAATGAACTAAAAGTTCAGATTTTCACGAAATTATATATTATAACATGACAATTGTTTGGACAACATTAAATGTAATGTTTACAAACTACCTGCTTCTACATATACCGAAAAATGACAATAAGTCCTTGATTAATGTTGTTGTGAGAATTTAAGTTCAATAAAGGAGAGGTATTTAAATCTAATTGATCGATAAGCAATACATTTAAATGTCTCATTTTGTTCATCTCCATTGCTTCCAATAAATTTAATTTTATACTTTTTGTGGCTGTATGTAAAATATCAAAATTGTCGTAAAAATGTGTTTTTCTGTGTTTAAGTGTGTAGCATAATTAGAATCTAGACCATTGTTTTTAAACGCTCTTTTATGTTCGTTAATGCGTTTCTCGAAGGATCTACCTGTTTGTCCAATATCAATTTTAGTACAAGGTCCGCATTTCAACCTGTCACATCTGATTTTTGAAATTTTGGACAATTCGTTTTATTGTTTTTTAAAAATTTTCCTATTGTGTTATTAATTCTGAAAGCTATTTTTAAACCACATTTTGAAACTTATTCACTGGGTTCTCCTATGTATGTAATTGTTTTAAATTGTTCGTGTCCTGTATTAGGTTTCGGATAAATAGAGTTTACTGTTGTCTGGATTTGTTTTTTATTTATTATCGATAATGGACGGATTGTAGATGTTGTTCAGTGCAATTTGTTTAATAATATTAAGTTCTTTGTTTTATTTTTTTGTTGAAAGTGGCGTATTAAGAAGTCTGTGTAAAAAAGAGTGAAATGCATCGATTTTGTGTGTATAAGGGTGATTTGAGCTGTTATGTATGACTGGGTCCGTGTGTGAAGGCATATAGTAAATGGAAAAATCAAATTTGTTTTATTGTTTCCGTAAGAGTTAAAAATTAATAGAGTTATCCTGTTCAATCTCGATAGTGAATTTTATACGATTATGTAATGAGTTAATGTAATTTAAAAAAGAATTCAGTTGTCTGTCCGTTCCAACAAAGCAAGCAAAGACATCCACGTATCCACCATCCACCATAGGAAACTTTAACTTAAAGGATGTTCTAGTATGATATTTTCCAAATTATCCACAAAAACCTCGGTTGACAAAGGACTAAGCGGGTTTCCCATAATCTTTCTTAGAGATGTAAATCTTTCCTTTAAATTGAATAAAATTGAAAGATACTATTAAGCAATCTAATAAATCTTGTTTCACCAATGGGTTAACCTGTTTCCGAGTTAGGGTGAAATCTACTAAATCTATCACATTCATAGGTGGAATACTGGGAAATAAGTGTTGTACATCAAAAGACAATACTGTTGCTTTAGAAGGGATTTTGTTATCTTTAATTTTGTTGATTAATTCAAAAGAATTTTTTATGGTTAATTTTGGTTTAAAATCTGTGTTAAACTTTAAAATATTTACTAATTTTGTTGAGAGTTTAACTGCTGGAGCTGTTACATAAGACACGACTAGTCTAATCTTGTTTATGTAATTTAACTAAAGAATATAACGTCACTACTGTGGCGTTAGTAATTACTTCCTTGACTTGTTTTTGATATAACTCGGTAGGATCGTGTTTGATAAATTGGAAAAGTTCTGGTTTAAGAAAATGGTTGGTTTTTTAAATATATTCTGGGAGATCGATAGCTATTACTGTCTTCCCTTTATCTGCACGTGTAAATATTATGTTATTCTCAGCTTTGTTTTTGATAGTTTTTGCTAGTGACATTTGAGAAATTTTTGGTGTTTATTGTTATCTATTAATTGAGTGTTTATTATATTCGCTAATCCATGTTTTTTTTTAAATTAGAATCGTTAATGTCCTTAATTGCTAATTCCCAATCGATCCCTAAACAGTCTAATTCTCTGTTAATGTTCGAGTGCTGTAAGTTAAAGTTGCAACCTTTTTCCAGAAATTCAACTCCATTTTTAGAAAATGTTGTGTCTGTTAAGTTGTAAAATTGGTGGGTGGTATTAGAAATTAATTTGTCTAGCTTTAGTTTTTGTCTAAGAAATTTTTTATGAATGATAGATGAAATGTCTGTTTGAACTCTATAATCAAATGTGTCAAATTCTAGGGGATTAAGTCTACGAGACAATTCAGAATGTATTACGTTTACATAAATGTTTGTATCCCGTTTTCCGTGCTCGTGTCTTCGTTCTTCCTTCATCCATTTCGTTTGGCCTTGGATCTAGGCTCTCCTTGCAGCGGGACTTCTGTTGTTAGTTTTTAATTTTATAAACTTTGGAGAATATATAATTTCGTGAAAATCTGGACTTTTAGTTCTTATTTATTCTCTCAAAAATCTATGAACAAAGCAATTTCTAATTTGCCTTCCTTTTTACTTGATTATGACCGCCTAAGTACTTTTTCCGTTCCTTAATAATTTAGGCCAGTAAATTCGATGGTCATCACGAACGAGGTTTTTACATACTTGCTATTCGTTTAAATAAAGTTAAACATCCCAATGTGCCAGTTAATTTTACTTCAAAGAAATAATTAAATTTTAAATTGGAAATATAAATGACCGAAAAGATCGTTGAAATTTTATAAACAAATATTGGTTTGATGACTTCGCTGAAACGTTGTAAAATCGAAAATACATTAAACGCGTAGCCAAATGATTATTGCTGAATTTTCTAGAATGCATGTCAAGTCCACGCATGTGATGGAGGCGACGACTCCTTTCGAGAATTCCTTTAAAAACAATGACGTTCGTAAAACTGCGATAGGGGACTTATAAAATCATTCATTGTACTCCAGCTGTAAAAACAAAAAATTAATGTTAACTTTAACTGGAACCTATATCATGTGTGGAAAATTTAGTCATAATTTATTAATATTTTAACACTGTGTAGTTTAGTGCACTACAGTTCTTCTACAAGGTTTAAAGAATTTTTTCCAGTTTCAAATTTTGTTGTTATATGGGTTGTCTCTAACTACGTTCTGATATGGAAGTGATTATTTGGGTCAAGATAAGAATAATAGATCATATAAACAGTCAAGGAAAAAAAAAATTTTTCTCAGAAGGTGTCAATAGCATCAAAATTAAATAAGTTTTATTAAAATAATAAAATGGAAGAATTACTCACTGATTTCTCACATAATTCTTGCGATTTCCAAAAACAGTAATTTCTAAATAGTGACGTGTTACAAATTAAGCCGACAAAGAAATATTTTGGTTTATTTAATAAATTGCTAATAGTTTATAAGACCATTTAACAATTTAATTTAATAAATTCTGAATCTATGCAAAGTTAAATACGATGAAAATGTGCGGAGAATTATTTTAGCGCAGATGTGTTGTTCTAATAAATTTATCGTATACTAAAAAGGTTCACGAGGTGGACTAGGTGTTAATTTGATTTGAGGATATGCACGACAACAAATATCAACATTTTTTGATGCGCTTCACTAACAGAGTTATATACAGAGCGTGTCAGTTTATTCGCTTAAAATGGTCCGAACTTTTTTTAAGATTGCTGTTGTGTTTGGTTGGTTTTGGTTAGCTGAATCAACAACAACCTTTATTAAAATTATTGCTTACCTAACCACAGGATGGTCAAACGCATACTTTGTACAAAACGCTTACAAAATCTAAAGAAAAAAATTGAAAATTGAATGAAATGGAATTACTACTGCGATATTCACTTGTCGCCATTCCGAATTAAAAAGTCGAGAAAATGGGTGCAAGTCCATGACACACTTCTAAAAATGAAGAAAAATATTTAGCTCATAGATTAAAATTAAATTGCTATAGTTCAGTCCATAACTGAAAGCTATTTTATAGCTACCGAGTTTAAGAGGCGATCTTGAATTTTTGTAAAATTATCGCGCAGTTGTCACAAGTAACAAGTCGCAACAATGTTGGAGGACGTGTCACTCATCAGAAGGCAAAAGTTTTTTTATTGTTGCAAAAAATAATCCACGAGAACAAAGACAGCAACACAATTATTCCAGTTCTGAGGTAATATATTTTTCATTATTTTTCTTCCCCTGTTTGCATAATGTATATCTTCTCTTCTGTTCTTCTATTCCACTCATTCCACACGTAGACCTCCCAATCAATTTTCTTTTCTGCGCACTATAAGAATAATAAAAATTAAATATGGCCCACTTCACATAACATAACAATAGATATTTTTTTTAAGTGTGCTTGAAATTTACATTGAATTCCTAACATTTTTTGAGTGAGATACCAGTAGGTATCGATATTTTGAATACAACTTCACCGACTTCTTAAATACTCTCGGAAGCTCGCTTTATGAAAATTTGCGATCTTACAGCATATCCGCTATGTCAGCAACATCAAAAAATCACTAGACGAAGTCGATGCTAATTATTGACGTACACCGGTTGTCCAAAATCGAAAGCGGTTGCGTCAAGTGACGCGCTTTTGGTTCTTCCGACGGTACATTTAATTCCAGGCTCGCCTTGTTTGTTTATATTTATGTTTGCGTTGCCAGGCGGCATACTTTCGCATATACGTGCGTAACATAATTATAACCATCCAACAATCATCGCATATTTGTCTCACGCTGCCGTCCATATCAAAACGTCAGAATGCGTGGCGGGAACCACTCCTTGGCATGTCTTTAAAATCTGCCGCCGCCAGTAGGCTACCCGTTGATCCTCGTTCGAAGATTTCGATACGTATTTTCCACTAACTTATTATTTTAATATGGTATTGTATTTTATTTGTACTTCTATTTCTTTATTCGCATTTGAATGTTACTGTCAGTGATGATACATAGATTGTACATTATATGCCTGTTATTTTATCATATATTTTAAGTATAAATAAAATGTAAACCAACAAATATATGAATACCAAATATAGGCATTCACCAAACAAATATTAGCATAAATGCTCACACAAAAATTATACAATATATTTAATTAACACACTTCTAAATTAACGTTTAATATACTTTTTCATCCTGGAAGCTCTTGTCAATAGTTGCCATTTTGTTAAAACATTTAATTCCTACGTATGTAGGATGCTGTTGTGCTGGAGAGTCTTGAAAATGACTGTATAAGATTATGTGGTTATGTAGGTCTTTTCTGTTTATATTAGGTGTTTTTAGGTACACAACGATGTTAATGTTTGAGAAATATTTTCTACAACACACTGTCCTTTTGATACCCGTCATATATCTAATTGCTTTTTTTGTATAATAAATATATCAGCTTCCATGCGCTTAGCTTAGGTGCTATATTTTGTATATGAGTGCTCCATGTCATTTTTTGGTCTATAGATATACCTAAAAATGTTGTACTTGCTACATTTTTAATTGATTCGTTCTACAATCGTATCAAGACACTGCGTGAAATTCTTTGGTACTACTTTTATGGCCACGATTTTATCCCAGTTCAAATTTAAATACGAGACTTCTTATGCCCATATATTCTAGTTTTCTTAGGCGCAAGCCATGACAGCCGCTATGAAAGACTCTACTAAGAGCAGTACTAGTTGATTTATTCATACGAAAGCCATTTTGGTTTTTTGGGAGTAACTGAAATTTTTTCAAATAATTATTTAATTGCGAGTTGTAAGAAAATTCAAAAACTGACATTGTATTGTGAGTTTTTAGGATTGGTTGTCTCACCCTTATGCTAATAAATTGGAACATTTTAATTTCTGTAGGTACGTACCTTCGGCGAAGCTGATTCATTAGGAAACTTAGTGGAGAGCTTATTTGTTATGACACTTTTATCAGTATGTTTCCTAGTATGATATCAATCATAGTTTGTTAATGACAAAAAGACTCTGCAAATGCTCAAACCTTTATCAAATTTACATTGCTCTACATCGCTTGCCAAAGATAACACAAGGTTTTGTATTTGGTTTTGAACTAGTGAAACGGGGTTCTAGCCAAGAGCTATTTGGTTTTGTTACATCCTTACACTTACGCTATAATGTGGTAGGTTTTCTGAGAAATATTACCTGAATTGGCCGCATGGAAATAGTAACATGAGTGTTACAAATCATTTGAACCGACGCAATAAATAAAATGAGTTAAATTGTTCAAATAAAAAGGGGAATAACCAGGTATGTTCAAAGTACAATCACGATAACTATTTTTTAAAGATTTTTTGCAGTGAATTGAATTACCAGTTCCTACTTATTAGATAAATTATGATTTAGGACTACAAAAAAAAGTCAAATCCGATCACTAACGCTGCTGAAAGTAGACTAAAATTATTTAGTTTGAGCTTGCTTGGTTGTAGGATACTTGTCCGCTTTAAATGTTTATCAAATAGTATTTGAATTTGCCTACACAATGGCATTGATATTTCTTTCTTGCATAAAAATGTGACAAACTTAATTGTTTAATTTTTGTACCAATTTTTTTTGGAGCCATATTTATATGTATATTAGACTAATCAATTACAAAATAGGCAACGGCATCCGCGGACTACAGCTGAAATTACGTACACTCTAAAAGCCTAGCAGCTTCAAAGCCAAGATGTCAAATACATTTAACTACAGGAAAGACCATCAATAATGTTTACAGCATACGGAACCAGAGATTGAATTTTTACTAAAAATAAAACTGTATGCCGATGTCAGATGTTTTTGCTTAAAGCATCTTTCTTACCAATCACTTTGTACATTCAATATATTCCAAAGCTATGATCTATCCGTCAATCACTTTTGTATGTAATTTTGTAATTTTTTTGTAAACCGCAAACGCTCTTAGGACAGAAAAATTATTGGAATTATAACAATCATAATAATTAGCACAATATTTAATGTAATAGATATATGTAATATTTCTAAAATCTAGATTATAACATCGTACAGGGTTTAATAAATTTTCTATAATTATTAATTTCAGTAGGGGCACTATAGGTAAGAAATATAAATTGAAATTTGCAGTTCGCATTCTCAAAAGGGTAAGTTTCCAATTTCTACTTAACCCTATATTTGCAGTTGCGGATGTTGGGCTCTAACTCCGAAACAGTGCATCTAACAGAAAAAAAAGTTCCGCACACTTTTAAAGTACATAAGATTTTCTGTAATCTGAACCTAAAAGGACCTCGATAGGACTATTAGGTCTCAAGATACGCCTCGTTAAAAATTGTCGATGTCTTCTACAAGGTTTGGAATTAGAGTTTCAGCGACAGTTCAATATACCGAGAAATATCAACGTCGACGTCGTGTCAGACCCTTTCGCCTCGCTTCTTGGTTCCCGACGATTGTAAACAACACTAATTTTTCGCTTTGTATATAATTTATTCTATTGACATAAATGGTTATGATGATGAAGCCGGCCAAGTTAAAACCATGCATTTCACAATCAACGAGGCACATAATTATTGCAGACGTGAAATGATTTTTTACAAATTTAATGGTGTACAAGTTTCACACAGTTTCGCATATATTATAATTTTTAGTTTTTTCTTTTTTCGAATATCAAGAAAACTATTAACTCTACGGGATTCTGCGGGCACTTAATTTAAAGCAAAATACCTGCTCTCTAATTTCATTTGACTCAAATCTACTCTGAATTTCAAACCTTTAAAAAAATACCAATTTTTAAAGAGGCGTATCTCAGGGCCTATTAACAACTTTTTCTGTTAGATGCTCTGTTTCGATGTTAACACCCAGAAACCCAGAAGCTGCAAACTTGGCGAAGACTATGGAAATCTATCCTAACAATATGCCATAAAATCAAAACAGGGTGATTTTTTGGGACCTAACGCGATTTTAGACTAGCTTATAAATATTAGAAATATTCTGTCAATTCTATTCGAAGAGAGCTTGCATCAACTGTAAAAACTCACAATGTTGGGACAGGCTGTATCCATTATAAAAAGTAAAACTTATGCACTCATCGTCTAACTGGAGGAAAAACCGTAGGGGATAGGTAGGTGCATGGTGCACATAACAAAATTTTCTTAAAATTTGAGATGCCTCTGAATCTGCAATAATATATTAAAACAAACATAGGATAGGATATAGTTTAAAAAAAGTTTAGTTTGCTTTATATATTAATCGGAGTATTGATTTCTTTTAGTTATAATGTACTCTAAAAAAAATATATTTATTAACCGTATATTTTTGGAAAATTTTGATTGTCACCTTTTATGCATACCAGATTTAACAAAGTTTCTTAGTTTGGTTCTCTAACAGTCATAGCAGAACACTCCTATCCCCATATAATAACATTTCACAGAGGTTGAGGTTCTGAAATTTTTACAGTATTTCATTGAAGGTACTTAATTCTTAAGTCATAACTTCGAAAATGTAATGGCAATCTTAGGAAAGCAATAACATTTATATTATCCACAGTTTACGCAGTTTATTTACTTATGCTAATGTTAATTATGTATACCGAATGTAGAAAAATCATCCCCACCACCGTACACGATGAAGAACGCGGCACTCTTTATCGTTAACATGTAACATCGGTATTTCCGACATGGTTAAAATCTCGAACCTTGTGCTTCATTTAAACATTAACAACGACGAGACTATAACGACTATGACAACGATAGATCTCGTGTAGTTTCCCACACATCACGCAAAACTAAATTGTTCGTTTTTCAAAAAAATGTTTCTCGATTGATCGAATTTTGGCGCCTTCGCGAATTTTTTTTTTATTCGATTATCTAAGCTCGAAATGCGTTGCGTTCGCGGTTGTATCGACGCGATAAGGTTGGGAGGATTTTATCAACGAATTTTTTAGATACGGTAGTGCGAAAAATGATTCAGTGCTCTACGGACGGAAAAGCTACGGAACATGGATCAGGAAGACCGACAAGTTAAGAAGAAGAACCCAAGAGAAGGTGCCTCGTTCCTTTCCATCATCACATTTTGGTAAGTACATTAATTATAGTGTACTTACACTTATTTATTGTTTGTTGTCAATGCAAATACCTGCACTCTCTGTCATTAATTTGCACTGGAAATATAAATTTTTCGCACTCAATTTGATATCATCACAACTTATTGGAACTGTGGCACTGCCATGAAACGCATATTCTAGATAAAAATCTATATTTCAGAAATATCTTGTTAAATTCAGCTTTTGAGCTTTTATTTTCATGTAACCTTTGGAGAAATGTTATATTGTTTAAGAAAATCTTTACTGGAGAAAAAAACTAAAAAATTAGTTTGATTTGGGTATCTGATGTCAAAACTCTTGCGAAGTATCCCTGTTATTTTTATAGATAAAAACTTGCTGTTTTGCGGCGGTATTCTTATCATGCAGTGCATATTTACCAAAGTTGTGTGTTTTTTTTTAATACAGACCCTTTACAGACCACTTTTTTCACTACCCAAAAGTACCTTTTTCTGTATATTTTCTTTGCTTGGCCATTTAAGAAGTCTCCAAAACTAATCAACAATCACTAAGTTAAATTTACTAACCAAACTAAAAAAGTCAATTATCAATATCTTCATGGGCCCAAATTAATTTAATGAAACATCACAATTATTTTTCACAGCAAACTATTTTCGGTAAGCATAGCCAGGGCTTGTTTAAGGGAAGAAATAATTAAAATAAAAATAAAATCCTTGACAAAAAAATGCCGCAATCTAATAAACGTTAAGGAAAATAAGCAGGTCCGTATTTGGAAAAAATGAAGACCAGACTTTTTATTTCCAATTTGACAACAGTATCTTATAGCAGATAAAAAGTTGCTATAACAACGGATATTATATTAAAGATGTCTAATGAGGTTAGGAAAAAATAGAAAAGTTTTTTCTGGATATCTCCGATACTAGTAGGATTTTTGCCTTAATTTCAAAACAATTTGAGACCTACTTTTGGCAGTTGCTATGATGCCAATAGTGAGAAGCTAATTTATGATACCCTGTATAATACACGATTACATTTGTAATTAGCAAATGGCATGTTTGTTTTCACGTTTTAAACTATTCTAAACCATCCTTTATCTTATTGACTCCCTTTCTCTATAAATAAAAACAAATAAGCCTCCTGTAAACTAATTGTATGTAGGGTTGACGGAAACTACATTAGAAAAGTTTTTTACGGAGAAAACTACACTTATAGCCGTTAACTGTACAATCCCATTTTTCATGGTTTCGCGGCGTATCTCCGTTAATCAAAAAGCTTGCTTGTGGTGGTAGCCTTCGTCAAGTGGCACAAACAGAAATATTTTAGGATTTTTTCAGATAATATAGTGACCCTGCTACGTTAAAAATTGATACGCCTCAGGCAGATAATGATTTTCTGCATTTCACTAACGCCACTTTCTTTCTAAACAGCGATTTCCACACACTTAACTCGTTCTCCTAGAACATTTACTTTAAAATTTATATTAGTGTCAAATTATTTTAATTTTCTAATTAACCATAATCAATACTTACCTGAACATAGTGTTGAGTCAGTTATTTTTTTCTCCAACTTCGATAAAAATTATCTTTTATTTGTTTTTAAAAAACTCCGGAACTCACTCATATTTAAAGACAAGGCCGGTTCAAATTGTTCATGTTAAACCACTTTTTTAAAAAGTGAAAGTGGCATTTGTTGCAAAGTTGACTTGAAAATTACTTCAATTTGAAAACTGTTTACCAACCTCTAGAATTTAGGATAATAGTAATATAATTTAGCTGTCAGTCATCTCATTTCTTAATTAGTAATTATTTCTCTCTGTATTATTTTGTATTTTTTGATGACTTACTAACAAAAAAATTAAATTATAGATATATAATAAAATTATTGCACACATAAGAGATTCGACGCAAAACCACCAAAAGCGGGACACACTTTACATATTGCAATATTGACATGTTTAGGAATCAAAAATTACACACACATACTTAAAACTTATATTTTAAAACTCTTTATAAAGCCAAATTGTGCACGACATCACATCCGCAGTCTTCGATATTCTTCAGGCATCTAATAAAATATATGAGTTTCCACGTTGGACCGTTCCATCTTCGTAAGCAGAAGGTCTATAAATCTGCGTGTGGCTCCATTTTCGCATTGTATTCCGATTGTCCAAGTGAAGTGCTTTAAGTTTTTCAATCGCAAAACTCCTTTCGCTATCCGAAAAGTTTCAAGAGGCGTCGGAAAATGTTTAGAGATTTTCAATTTCGTCACGTTCTGACATTGCTCGAGAAGTTTCGGAAATTGCTCTCCTACAATGGGATCCACCAACTCCAAACTCCTTAAACGAGACATTGTTGCCACGACCCTCAAAGTCTGCCGCGGATCAGCATCACCTCCAAAACTTAAAGTCTCCAAGTTTTTTAAATGCACGAGCGTATCCTGGGGGAAATTATGGAAGAGTGTCGTCAAATATACCCCGAAAGTTTGCAACTGATCCAGATGACTGATAGTGCGGGCTTGATCCACAGTCATTCTAACCGAACCCAGGTGTAGATGGCGAAGCTTCTCCAACGTGGTGAGCAAATGAATCGATTGTAGTTCGAAGAATCCCCGCAAATGCAGAGTTGTCAAATTTCGCAAGTTAACGAGAGATTTGCAATCGAAAACTATCCAAAATCCGGACAAATTCAGCTCGCGTAGACTGCTCGAACAATGAAATTGCTCCAAGAATATATCCGGGAATTCGTAAAGCGATAAGGTGCTCAATGTGGACGTCCTTACAATGCGTCTGAAAATGTGTACCTGAAAAAAAAAAAGAAAAGCTAATTTCAAGGCAGAGTGGAGATGACAATGATGAAATTTTACAAAGTTAAAAAATTCGATGTATAACAAAGTGTTGTAAAGCTTATTAATTAATAGATAAATCACTCCCATAAGTGTTTATTAAATTAGTTTTAAAATTTATTTGTTTAGGATGTTATTGATCACTATGGTACAAAAAAATGTATGACAACACACAACCAGATTATTTTTTCGACATTTGACGTTTTCCTATTTGGGCATCAATAACTATTGTCTTTTATGTTTTTACATAAGTCGAATTTAGTTACAAAAAATGATAAGGATACGACTCGTGTAAAGTACGCAGAAAGTGGATTTTTATAATAATAGGCTTTGCTCCAGTGTTTATGCAATCAGCTACCCTTTAATTTTTTCGCATTTGTTTGAAACACCTTATATACATTCTGTTAAAATAAAGCTTAACATAACCCTTCACTTTTGACAAGGATACATCCATTAACAATGCGTTAGAAACTTAAAAAAGTATCTTTGACCCATTTATTTTTAGAACGTTTTGTATATAATTGTATATAAAGAAAATATTTTTACCTATAACAACCAATAATAAATTCATCTATTTAGGTTCGAAAATATAAGTTCTATATAGCAATTTTTCGAATGCTCACATTCGAGAGTGACATTGTCCGATTGAATATCAGACGATAAAATCGTAGTTAACTTTAAAATTACGTCAAAGTAGTCATAGTAACTAAATAAATAAACTGAAATTGACATTGACGACGATTCCTCGTTAAAAAATTATTGTGTTGACTGTACAACACTACATAATGATTAATTAATATATGAAAAACAAATCAGTTGTTTACTTCGTTAAGTATGGTTGCTAATATTTAAAAAAAAACGTTCATACCTTGGTTGTTATAGATCCGTTAATTGATCGGAAAGCATCGTAATCCATCACTAAATGAGTACTCCCATGTCTTCTTAACACATCGGCGAAAAGGTCGCCGTCTTTTAGCCTGACATTGGTCAAGTTTATTTTACGCCACAAATCACTTCTACACATAATAACTTCGTTCCACATTTTGCATACCTTCGATGCGTTCGATAAGTCTCTCGGACCCAGATACTTAAAAATTTCAGCCAAAATGTGCTCCATTCTTTCTTTGAATAAGCAATAGTTACAAGGATAGAGCTTGTCTGGAGTAGTTATTTGCTTCGCATTCGTATTTGATCAAAAATTAAGCTAATTGCAGTGAGTAAAATCAAATTACTTATTGGAAAGGATTAACCCTAAGCCCCTAACTAGACCAAGCGTACCCTTTTAATCCCGGGAGTTAATTGTCTTAGAATGTAAATTTAATGGAACATTAATATAAAAGGTACTACCACAGATATTAAAGAAAAAAATCCAATAAATGTATCATTAATTTAACATTAAGGGTAACAACAAGATCATTATAGATGCAGTCTGTTAACTACCGGAAATATCTGTTTTTCGACTATAGGCATATTCACACAAAACGTGGATAACTAATCCCTTGTCATCATTTAAAAATATTTTTAGCTGCTAATTTCGCCTTAAAAATGTTAAATTAGGTTTTATTTTAAGTTTACCGTTAATAAACCCAACCCTTTCGGTTTTTGAGTTATTTTTTCAAAACATACAATAATTTTGATTTATGTTTGTTTGATGCCATTACGTTTTTTAGGTAAAAGGTACAAGCGCAAATATGTATAAATAATTATTTTATACAAATGGGAGAATTAGTGTAGTCGTTTTTCATTATTTTATTCGCTTACTGAAATTATTCACATATTTTGTGATGAAACAATATTTTCATTAAATTAAACAGTGCAATTATCTAAAAAAGGGCAGTCAGCACTTTTCAAAATTAAAGTTTCGCTTTAAAGTCCTTTTGACTTTAAAAAAATTTAGTAGAAACTTTATTGTCATGTATGCAGTGTGTATTTTTTCAAAAGGATTATTTCCAAAACGTCTTAAAATACGCACATGTTTAACGAATATTTTTTATTTTTTGAATAACGGAAACACTTATTCTGTTTTCATAACAATTAAATCAACAGACAAAGAATATTAAAATATCATATTCTCTCATACATATTGTGATGCTAATTACAAATCTTCGGGCTTCCTGCTGCATCGGCTGTTGATAAATCGAACTTACTAAAAAACACTCTCTTTAGCCGGGTTATACATTTCTACAACCATATGCAACACAACAATTTTTCATTTTAAAAAATGCTTATTAATTATCACTAGCGTAGGTATACTACATATACAAAACAACCTTTTATGGTATTTATTTGACATTAATATTATTGTGTATGACAAATAAGAGAATATAAATTTAATTTAAAATATATCTAATAAATATTAAACAATCAAAAAATCATCTGAAAATTAATTAGTACCAGTTTTTGCGACATGCTGTATATGTAACGAAATAAATCAATCGCTAAAGCGAAGTTATTTGTGGAATGTGTGCCTTATCTGCCACATACGTAATATTATTATCGCGGCTTACTGAAGAGCGATATTTGAAACGGTAAACTTTGCGTTGGTAAATTTCGCACCCTGAAAAAACTTCTCAAATTTTTTTAACGCGACGTAGTCTGGAAAATGCATACATTTTGTCCGCAATAAATTTAACCTAGCCGCAAATAATTAATGGAAACTTAACCGCAAAGAACGTGTTTTTAAAATTCAACGTATACCTACCGCATGCTTCAATTTTATGACACGAAAATTACGAGGGGCTATAAAGAGAATTGCGTGAATCTTAATTAGATACTAAATATTTTCGCACCTACAAGGTTTCTAGAAGATAAAATTAACATCGTAACGAGTTTTAAGGATTCGATTTCAACTAATGCTATGTTATTTGCGTTACTAAAGTTGTGACCAAGCAATAACATTCAAGCAAAAATTGAAATTTTGATTTTAAAAGTATTAACGCAAATAGTTTATATGCGTCAAGTTTGGTATCGAACTTTTTAGTCACGAGTTGGATTTGGGAGGAACGGAGCTAGTGAATATAATAAACTTCGCACATTTCCAAATGTTGTTTAGCAAAGTTTATGTATAATATATAAGCAAAGCAAATAAATTTGATTTAGTAATCAATATCAAATCTTCCACGTTCGATTTAGATGTTTAGAACGTTCCTTGATTGATCTTGCAGATATCGCAGATTACTGCTGTGTATCGCAAACACGAGCAAGATTCAAATACCTTTAAGAGCTCCATAAATTTAAATAGAAACATTTTTTTTTAATTAACTGGATATTTCTCTTGTAAATGAGTTTTATGTTTTAATTCTGAAGGTGATTAAGTGAAAAAAAGCAGAATTAGTGCTAAAAGTCATTTCATTTTCTTATGTAGAGCATGTACATTTAAAAATTCGGTAAACTAGTTCTGTTTATTCGCTTAATGCTCAATAAACATCTAAACTTTATGTTTCAATTTTGGAAAATTTTCTTTATGCTTGATAATAGTTTTGCGTAATTTTTCGGGCATTCAATTATTGAACGCAACATGTACAAAATATGTCATACTACAGGATTTTATAATAGATCTATTGACATATGTAAACATTTTATATGTGCTCGCACATAAACAATTCTGCTTTGTTAAAACTTAGGAAGACGGAGGGTAATAAATTAAAATAAATGACAACCGACATGCCTGACCGTGAGCGTGACATTCGCATTAGTGAATTACAATAAGCAATTCCTGTAAAATTGTTCCATTAATATATCTAGACCATAAGTTTTCAACATAATTCCACAAAAACTAATTAAAAGGCAAACACTCTTTTTTAAGCTTTTCATTTATTTGCGACTTACTTCTGATTACTTTCTGACTAACTAAATTGATAAGATTATTAAATACTTGTAAACCGCAATGAGTATAAAATTGATAATGATTGCAGATTCAAATTGTTGTTGTTATTACGCGCAGGTTATTCCCGACATTCCCAGAGGTTTATTTCGTAAAGCAATTATTTTTATAGAATATTTTTGCTATTTTATTATGTTTAAACAAATTTTAACTATTTGTAAAAAGATATAGGTTAACGATTTGTTCATAACATACAACTTTTTATTTTGATTATATTGTGTTGCAGTTCATATCTGTTTCTACATCGACTTCTTATTTAAATTAATGAGCCAAAACTAACAACAGAAATAATAACTATTGACCCATTAACTACCCTAAAATGAATTACAAGAAAATGGAATTTTCTATTTTTACCTACTTTTAATTTAAGAATTGGTGCTTTCTACCTCAATTTGAGATTCTCTCTCCAACAGTATTTATTTATCTATATATTAATGTCAAATATATGTATGTTCCCAATGATGCCTCTCTACTTCTACTTCATAGAACCACTGTTGTTGACAGATTATATAAAAGTGAACATTTGTAATTGGTTTAGAAAAATTAGTTTTAAGAGTGGAAAATGATACCAGAGAACACTGGATTGTTGTTTTTTCTTTTAATTAGACAATATTTTTTTGCAGCTTTACATTTCCGATATTACGTAAAGGATGGAAGAAAGATATATCTGAAGCGGATATCTACAAAGTACTTCCCAAATACAAGTCCGAAGATTTAGGAGACAAACTCGAATCCCAATGGGTAAAAGACACAAAAATCAAGCAAAAACCGTCGATAACGAAGTGTTTGGTGAAATGTTACATAAAGTATTACATGTTTTTGGGAGTTGTACAGTTGTGTATGAAAACTGCATTTGTGTAAGTTCCTAAATGGACTTTTTCGTTATTACAGCAAAATCGCACCCAAAACTTTTTCTTCTTGTTAATTTCTTTAAAAAAATATTATACATTTTCAAATCGCGAATTCAAAGCTTTGTATATCATATATTTTAGGTTACTCCAACCCAGGGCTGTCTCAAAGTTTATCGCCTACTTCAGCCCAGCTCAGACGTCGATCTCTAAAGCCGATGTATACGGATACGCTTTTATGGTGATAGGCATCAATCTCATAAATTGCATCTACAATCATAATTTTCAACAATGGGTCGCTGAATACTCATTAACAATCAGAACGTCTCTATGTTCTTTGGTCTACAGGAAAGCCTTAAAATTGAGTCCGACTGCATTTTCCGAACCCGCCATGGGCAAAGTGGTGACGATGATCACAAAGGACGTGTTCTCTATAGATGGCGCGCTACCCTTTTTGAACGACATGTGGATAGGTTTGATCCAAACCATCGTTGTGACGTTCGTTTTATACAGAAAGATCGGGAGTTCGGTATTTGTGGGTATCGGATTCTTCTTGCTTGTTATACCGATTCAAAGTAAGCGAATTTTTGTACTTGAAATTCAATGCTTAGATTATAGGACTAGTTTGCCACCTGAAATTCGGAATTAATAGAAAAAGAAATAGAAAAACAGTAAACTACTTTCAAAAATTCTAAAATAAGAATTGATAAACTAAAAAATTAAAAATGCAATTGTGTCTAACTTTTCAGCACATCAAGAACATATTAATTACCACCATTTCACGATGGCTTTTAAATTGTTCATACAAATTTTATTTATTGAAAAATACAACTACAGACAGCTGGTTCTTTGAAAAACGGGGTTGATGATAATTATCCTAACTGTAAAAACAGCTACGTAAAAACAATCTATTTTTAAACTTTTGTGTTTATTATGAAAGATAGTATAAGCATGAAATGAAACTAATGAATTGTAAAAATACTAATTATAAACATTTTTGTAGCTTTTTGTGCAAGAAAAGGTGCACTGAATCGTTTAAAAGCTGCCAAGAAAACTGAAGAGAGGATTCAACTGGTGCAAGAAACATTGAGTGCTATAAAAATTATCAAAATGTATACGTGGGAGAAGTATTTCGAAAAACTCATCAACGCCGCGAGAATGTACGTAATTGTCACATTAATTTTGTTTCGCTATATGCGTTATCTTTGTCTGGCTGCTATATAATACTGCGTAGCGACTAAGCATTTTATTCCACTTCGTAACTGTTAAGTAGTTACTTTAGACATTAGAGAAAAAAAAAACTAGAAAAGCTATAACAGTCCAATCTACACTTGACAATTTTGGGAAAAATGCAATGAAAACTAATTGGAGCCCGTTATCCGACTTTAAATAAAACAATTTTTTTAACTAGACTGGTTTCGAGTATGTTACATAGTTATTCTTAATATTTTTAAAACTTTAGAATTACTTGTACCGGTATCTTTGTCAATATTGCGGCTAGAGACTTTCTTTATCTTCTTTGTTGTAAATTTTACCTGTTCCTTACCAAATTATCCATACTCACTTAAATTATGATACATTTTATCAAATGTTTGCTTTCCACACACGTACACACACCAATACTCAATTTAATGACAATTCAACTTTGACTTTATCCATGACCAACTGAAAAAATGTTTTCCGATGTTATTGTGTTGCAATAACACTGCATTAAACTAAAAAATACTTAGAGATTTGTATTTGAAGTCTTTTTTTTTATTTACATAAGTAACTCAGTCACACAAGATAATTAAAACTGGCATGTTTTGAGAAATATCCTGTATCTTCTAGTCTAATCTAGTCTAGTCCAGTTTCTCAGTTTTTTATTGTCCATTTGGTCCATACCCTATAGTATAAAATAATACACAGCACCCTGGTGACATATCTTTAATCTAGTTAAATTTCTGAATGTTCGCCAGCCTCAAATTACTAAAGAATCGAGTCCTCTATGCAAATTAGAGCTCAACCAGACACTTGAGCAATGCAATAATAATTGCAGCGGCTAATTAAAACACTGTTTATTGTATGTCCGAAATAAAAATTGCAATTGCAAAGTTGCCAAGAGGCTTTAAATAATAAAATAGTTCTTTCAATTTTCTTGCAAGTCCAGAAATTGAAGGACCTGTTCAGTCATTATGTATAAAAGAGATTTTTTTAAATTCGAATTTTGTAATTGCTAAACCTTTAACCTAAACCTAAACCTTATTTTCTTCTTCAATACGTTTCAATGTGAAAGAAGTTCAGACTAAAATAATTATTCTGACGGATATTTACAATTTTGGAATTTTGCAGAAAGGAAACGTCAAGGCTCAGAATCATCTACTACTTAAAAGCGCTCATTCTAACCCTGGGAGGCTTAACCATGAAGGTTGCCGTTTATCTAGTCATTATCACATACACTCTGACCGGTTATCAAGCAACAGCCGAAATGATATTTTTTATTCAACAATCATTCGTCGTGCTGAAATCCTGTATCACGACGTCCATACCGATGGGCGTGAGTCATAGTGCCGAATTAGTTGCTTCGCTGAAACGAATTCAGGCTTATTTAACTGCCGATGAGTTCGTCCCGAAGGATAACTCCAAGTCGGTAGCAACGCATCCGAGAATTTACTTGAACAAGGTGTCGATGCACATCAAAGATAAAGAAATTCTTAAATCTGTATCGTTGGATATAGAAAAGGGACTGCTAATTGTATCGGGTAACGTCGGAAGTGGGAAAAGTTCCCTTTTACAAACCATCATCAATGAATACCCTATCTCTGGCGGCGAGCTAATCGTCAAGGGAACGATTTCTTACGCTCCGGAAGAACCATGGTTGTTTCCGTCCACCATTAAACAAAACATCCTATTCGGACAGCCGTACAACGAGCAACGATACTACGAAGTGCTAAAAGCTTGCGCACTAACTTACGATATAAATCAGTTTGAAAAAGTCGACAATACTGTAATCGGAGATAAAGGAATCAACCTGAGTAGAGGTCAGCAAGCTAGAATAAGCTTGGCTAGAGCCGTGTACAAGGACAGCGATATTTACTTGCTAGATGACTGTCTGTCGGCCCTAGATGGCGAAGTCAATAAACACGTGTTTCGAGAGTGCATAAGACATTTTCTAAAAGACAAGATCTGTATTTTGGTGACCAACAACATAAACAATATCAAGTACGTTCCCAATAGCAATTTACTTTACATGGAGAATGGAATGACGCTAGACTTGGTGCAGCAAAAGGAATCTTTGGATAAAAGGATCACCTATTACATTGACGAAGACGGTAATTATCCAATCGAAGACAGCGACGTTGAAGCGGAAACTAACGTTGATGAAGACGCGACCGAAAGCGATCAGTTGTTGAGGCAACGAAACTCTGAGCCAAATAGAAATATGTACCACGAAGAAGCGAAAACCGGAAAGGTGTTGTTGAAGAATTACGTGTCCTATTACAAGTACGCTGGCGGTATTTTGGTTTTACTGTTTATGATAATACTATTCGTGACGTGCCAAATTACAGTCTCCTATGCAGATAAGCTCGTCAGCGTTTGGTAAGTGATCGCGCCCCGTGCAGCATACATTTTTTTTTAAATTGTTTGTTTAGGGTGAATGTCGAAGCAAAGCTGACAAAATTCCAAATAAAAAACCAAACCGATTCGGACGAATACGCCAGTACCGTACTAAAAAGGGATCGAATGCTGAACCTGTATACTATAATGATTATTGTGAGTACCGGATTAAGCCTCGTAAGGGCGTTCTCGAATTTTTATTTTTGCACCAAAGCGGGAAGAAACCTCCACAGGGTACTAGTAGAGGGCGTTGTAAACGCTTACATGTCGTTCTTCGACAATCACTTTATCGGTAACGTGGTAAACAGGGTAGCGAAAGATATGCACACGATCGACGAAGCCGTCCCATTTGTTATCTACGAAAATCTGAGGGTACGTTATTTTGCTCACTCCGTTTCTTAATGCTAATTGAAAATTCGCTGTTGTTTCAGTCGTTCTTCCTCATTATCGCCACCATGGTGCTGATCGTATCGGTCAATCTAATATTTCTGGTCCCGGCTGCTTTTCTTTTTTTGATACTATACGTAATTCAACGATTTTACATGCCAACGGGTAGAAGCATCAAGAGATTGGAGGCAGCGAGTGAGTAAAATATCGCATGACTCCTTTGAAAATAGTAGACTCGACTTCCGCGTACGAGGTGTGTTCAAAAAGTAAGGTGATTTTTGCAAAGGGGGTGGTTGAGTTCATACGATCTTCCTTTTTTTTATACTGGTACAAACATGTGTTCACAGTTTCAGCCATTTTGCACTTTTAATTCTTTTATGAGACAGAAGCGTTAGACATGGATTTGCATAAAATTTTGTGGAAATAATGGAATACAGTGTTGCAAAACACTTGAAATATTGACAACGGAATATGGTAAAGACGTCGGCATCTACTTTGAGCAAAAAAAATGTTTATAACAGGTACAAGCTGTTCCAAGATGGCCAAGAAGACCCCGATGACGAACCAGGCTCAGAACGCTCCAGCACGTCAATAACTGATGAAAGCGTTTGAGAAGTGAAACAAATGCTGCTGAAAAATTATCGAAATGTGACTGAAAACGTCGCAATGTCTATTGGCTTGTACCATGCAATTTTTTTCCGAAATTTTGAGCATGAAACGTGTAGCATCAAAATTTGTTCCGAAACTGCTTAATATTGAACAAAACGACCGTCGAAGGAGCATCGCTCAAGAGCTGTCAAACGACGTCAATGATGATAATATGCCGAAAAAGGTCATAACTAGTGACGAATCATGGGTATTTAGTTATGACGTCGAAACCAAAACCCAGCCATCCCAATGAAAGAACCCACCAGAATCGTCAAAACCAAGCTCGTACGGTCTATAAAGAGTATTACCTTAAAACTATGTGCCGTTTGGGAGATGCAATACAAGGACAACTTCCTGAATTGTGGGAAAACAATTCGTGGATCACGATAATGCACCTGCTCACTCATCATTGCTTGTTGAAATTTTTGGCCAAAAACAAAACCACAATCATGCCTCAACATTGACCTGATATGGCCCCCTGAGACTTTTTCCTGTTCCTAAAACTCAAGAAACCCATGAAGACGGGAGATTTGCAACGACTGAAGTGATAAAGAACAAATCGCTGGAAGAACTCAAGTCAAGGATTGGAAAAAACGTTGGCACATATATATCTGGAGTGGATTACTTTGAAAGGGACAACATTAATTTCATAAATAAATAAATAAATACATTTTGATAAAACTTAAAACTCGCCATATTTTTTGGACACACCTCGTATATTAAGTTATCTTTAATTCAATTTTAATATTTCGAATCACATTCATTACCAGGGAGACGAAAATACTCAAAATGCAGTATTATTTTATACTATTGTACGTTGAGGGGTCGAGAATACTGAATGATACTAATTCCGAATATTCCAATTTCCAATTCGTTTTATTTATATGTTAAAATTAAATGAGCCAGCATGTAAACTTGTACTGTCTGTCCAAATAACAATAAATTAAAATTAAAAATCGAATGTTCGACTTGCCTTTCGAAAGGTACTGAATAGCACCATCTTTACAATGATACTGGAATCGATAAAATTTTACCATTTTACCTTTTCGAACAAATAGACTTTCGACTTTTCAATAGCAAGGAGTCCAATGGTTGGATATGTCAACGCATCACTGGAAGGGATCACCACGGTGAGAGCATGCGAACAAGAGAAACTGCTTAAATACGAATTCGACAGACACCAGGATGTATACACGTCCGTATTTTACATGAACATAACCACAGTCAGATGGTTCGCATTCGTGTTGGACCTTTCCTGTACGGCGTTCATCGCCGTAGTCGTTCTGAAGTTTGCAATATTTTCAGAGGGTGAGTGAGAGCATTTTTATGTGCTATTAATATTAATATTGTCAAATTTCTGTGGAATTGGTGCAAAATCTGTTCATTCCAATTTCAGTATACAGAGTTCACCTTAATTACTTATTTGCAATTAACAAACTTACAGCTCAGTTCAGTGGCCTTTTAAAAGTGCCTTCCGAGACCTTTTCAGGGTTTATAGTGTTGTGAGATCTGTTCTTAATCAATAAAAAGTTTGGAATTTCAAATGGAACTCGTTAATTTGGGATACTACACGAAAACCGGATTTATATTTCTTTGGCAAGCGCAAGAAAATCAGAAATCAAATTACAAACTTCTAAGCTTCGGTCTTGCCTAATAGAGACAGAAACAGAAAAAACTCAACATTTTATAAGAAAGACAGACAAAAACGCATTCGCATCTCACTTGGTGTTTAATACCAATATTTTAAAAATAGGTTTTATATAACCAAGCAAAAATGGGCGAATCATTTTTTTTTCTCCAACATATTTTTAATTTCAGGAACTTTGGGAGGAGACGTAGGACTAGCAGTTACCCAAGCGATGATCCTAACCGGCCTTTTACAGTGGTCCATTCGCCAAGCAGCGGAAATGGAAAATACCATGACATCAGTGGAAAGGATTCTCGAATACGCGGAAACAGATACCGAAAAAAAAACGGGACAGGTATTCACCGACTGGCCCCGGAACGGTAGTATTAAATATAAAAACGTCCGACTTTCATATAAAACAACTGGGGAGGTAGCTCTAAAAGACATAACTTTCGAAATTCAAGGAGGAAGCAAGATCGGTATAGTGGGTCGCACCGGCGCAGGAAAATCGTCCATCATTTCGACGCTGTTTAGGTTGTATGATTTCGAGGGTCATATATTTATCGACGGGGAAGACATTAAAAGTCTGGACTTGGAATTTTTGCGCTCCAAGATCGGAATTATTCCCCAAGATCCCATTCTCTTTTCCGGAACGATCAGAACTAACATCGATCCATTGAACAAGTACACGGATTCGGAAATTTGGCTGGCAATTGAAAAAGTCCAACTGAAAAATCTAGTAACTGGGCTGGATCAACCAGTAACCAACGGTGGCCAAAGTTATAGTTCAGGTCAAAGGCAGCTGTTGTGTTTGGCAAGAGCCTTGATCAGCAATAACAAAATCGTCGTTTTGGATGAAGCTACGGCCAATATGGACCCGCAAACTGACGCGTCGTTGCAAAAAACGATCAAGGAATGTTTCGCGCAGTGTACCGTGTTAACCATAGCGCATAGACTAAACACTTTTATACAAGCCGATAAGGTGTTGGTAGTCGACGGTGGCAGGATCGTCGAATTTGACGAACCTACCGTTCTTCTTGGAAATAGAGACGGTGCCTTCTACAGAATGATGAAAGAAGTAGGGACTGTTAACTTTTTGTAAATTAACTTTATTTTTTTACGCTTCTTTGTAGAGAGGAATTATATTATATATTTGAAACGTGTTTCTTCTTTTTACGCAAGGTGATCTGCAGCATGTTTCTTATTTAAAATTCTATAAAACTTCAGAATGACCTTATAGCAGTCACATACTTTAAATTTTACTTGATCTCTTTTGCTCCCCTAAGTTGCAAAATTAACAGTCCATGTAAACTCGGTATTTTAAAGAAAATTAGAAAACATCTCAAAAATTTATGTTTTCATTAATGTTTCCTTTCCATCAGGCAGGGGGATACTATCTCTCCCAAATTATTTGCGACAGTGCTGGAATATGCTTTTAAGGAACTGGATTGGGATAAAAGGGATACATATTAAAGGCAAATACCTGAGTCATTTGCGATTTGCCGATGATTGATGACACAGCCGAAAGTTTAAATGAAGAATCGAAATGACGAAACAACTAAAACCAGTAATAGAAAAAGTAGGTCTTAATAACATTCAGAAAACAAAATTCATGAGCAATCTAGTTCCAAGTGAAAAGGTTTATAGCTGTAATTATCTGCGACATAAGATTAGAACAGGTAAAGATAATAAAACTTGCGAGGTTCAACGCCGTATCTGTTTGGGATGAGCGATGGGCGTCATTTGGTAAATTGCAACTTATCCTGATAGTGACTTTGCCGATATGCTTAAAGAAAGAAGTCTATAACCAATGCATTATGAAAGTGATCACATATGGCTAGAAATAAAAAATATCCTTTTACTAAAATTTTATTAAAAACAATTTTGATCACCAAATTTCAAATCAATTTTTCCGTCAAAAAAGCCCAACCAAACCCAACCAATTTTGTCTGCGATGTATATAAATATTAATTATTGGAAAATATTTCTGAGAAAAAAATGTTTCTGTGCCGCTACGAGAAGGCTCCTTTTTTTAAGAATGACGACCAATATATACACGATCAAAAAACGGTGCCTTTTTCTATCGTCTGGGTAGCTTGTTTGAATTAGTGCGACGGCAGCGGTTTAAATTCCTTTAGAGTAAAAATAGAGCAGAAGAAAATTATGTCCGGTGATATTCATAGTGGTGTCGAAGAGGTATTCGTTAATCCAGAAAAAAGAGAAACTCATGAATTTGTGGACAAAATAAATGATGTAGAAAAAAGTGCGTCTACAAATGTAACGGTAAGTTGATTATTCATAATAGATTTATCATTTTTTATTCAATTAAATATAGTCCAGTAAATTATGCTTAGTATGAAAGAATAGGAAGATCTATTTTATAATATGACAGTGTAAATAATTGATAAACTGTTACCGAATAAGAAAAACATAAAACATCTCTAGCAAGAGGAATCCCTTGTATTTATAATAAATGAACTGGAGGATTACGTGGTGTTTTGTTATGCATTAGTAAAATTGGATATTCGAACAAAAAATTAAGCAAATAATAATTTTCAATGTTATCGTATAGAAATAACAAAAACACAATTATAACGTAGACAAATAATTTTAAATATGTAAAAGATTCTTTTTTCGATATTCGATATTGTCAAATAATGGTAGGTGCTTTACGCTTTAGTAGACCTTTTTTTTTTAAATAAATTTCGTATACAGTTTATAAAACTTAATATCCGGTGGTTGCAGGGTAACCTTTTTTCAAATCACTAATAGCAGTTTTCCGTAATGTGTTATAGCTATTGACATTAAGAAACAAGTAAATAAAAAACCCCACATTTTATATTTAACTGAAAAAACTAATAATAATATTTGGATCGCTATGTGTCATCGTTATTAAACCAATAAGTGGAACATTCCCAAAAATAAAATATTCCAAATATTTCCGAACTACGTATCCTTATACAGTGTGTCGTCTTTGTAGTCCCTTTGCTGCGAAGTTTGCGACATCAAAGTAACCAGTGCTAAAATTTTACAAAAGCATCTCGAGGGTCGCAGGCACCGATCTAGAGTGGAGAGGGTGGGAAAAACTTTTTATTGTGACATTTGCGAGATCCGGGCCAACAGTGACGTGCAACTGAAAATCCACCTCACAAGTGAGTGACATATACAATTACCAAAATCGTTCGAACTTTCTCTTAATGAATAATGTGGTGGTGCAACACTTGCCGTCTCAGTAATTTTGATTTCTGAAAACAGTTTTTAAAATATTGAAGAAAACAATCGTAGTTTCACGAAAACGAAGCAAAAAATAAACAATAATTTCATTATTTTGGAATTATTTTCGGTATATTTTCTTTCAGGTTCGAAGCATAGATCAAGGGTTGCCCGGAAAGAAAACAAGGAATTTACTGATCTGTCTTCGAGTCCAGTCGGTATATACGTCATGTTGTTTTGCGCGTTTTGTTTTTTCATAAATTTCGTAATTTTAGTGAAAATAAATTATTAAAAAATAGTTTTAAATTAAACGCATGTTGTAGTCTTTTATTATTCCGTATGTTTGATATTGTTATTTTGTATTAGTCCAGCGATGCGACAGTTCAATAAATTTTGTGTCTACATCTACATGTACTCTAATGTTTTTGTTGTATAAAAAATATATTATTCAATAAAGTTTTCTGATGTTAAGGTGCATTTTCTTTCCTACCCGATAGTTACCATAACCACTTGAAAAAACGACTTTTTTTCGAAAAAAGTTTGATTTAATGCTTAATATTTACATAACAGCAATGAATTTTCAACTCAACGATCTTGAAGTAAATTAAATTAATGATTTTAAATAAATTAAATAAATAATTACATGAAGTATACTACACTTATTAATTCGATCGATGTTGAACACATTTTCTTAGTAGTCGTCACAACGATTGAAAGACGAGGAATTGGGCAATAGTAAAACACATCTACAAGAACTCGCAATATCGAAGATTTTAGAGACCACCTCCGCTTCTTTCCACCGATATCTTCTTCTTCAACATCTCCTTCTCGTGCTTTTGCTCCTCCAGTTCCGCCATTCTGGCGAACCTCGAGTACGTCACGTGACCCGATTTGATAGCGGACATCATCTGAAAAGCCAAGATATAACTCGAACTAAAAAAAGGACCAACACAGCGACAAACATCGTGGTTCCTTGCCAAACGTTCCCGTCTAGCGCAAAAATTTAATTACAATAAAATAAATACAATACCACGGGGATTACATTACAAACATGCCCATCTAAAAGAAAAAAAATCTGGAGTTAGGTAGAATGCCTAATTCGAGGGGTAAACCGCCGCCCTAAATTATTTTAGTTAATTTGTTATCAATCTAAAAATCAAAGTTGTCTTGGAGAAGATAATTTTGAAAGTTTGATCAAGTAACCTTTGGACAATGCAACCGTAATACAAAAAACAAATGCGTGCTAGTAGTGGCCAAATTGAAATCTTTTAGGTTTAACCATTGAAAAAAATTTCAAAGAATCAACGAAAAAAGCGGCCTTTCTTAAGTTGAACTGAGGTGGCTTTTACTTGATGAAAATCCATTTATCAAAATGAATAAGAACTAAAAGTTCAGATTTTCACGAAATTATATATTATGACATGACAATTGTTTCGACAACACCGTGTCTTGATCAAATGTCTTTATAGACTTCTGTTGTTGGTTTTTAATTTTATGTATTTGGGAAAAACCTTATTTTGCAGACATTTGTTAAAAAACCAAATGTTTTGGAAATATATTCGGCAACGTAGAAGCAATTTAAAATACCAAATAGCCAAGAAACCAATTTTAGCTTGATGAAAATCCATTTATCAAAATAAACAAGAACTAAAAGTTCAGATTTTCACGAAATTATATATTATGACATGACAATTGTTTCGACAACACTGTGTCTTTATCAAATGGTGTTGTCGAAACAATTGTCATGTCATAATATATAATTTCGTGAAAATCTGAACTTTTAGTTCTTATTTATTCTTTCTTAAGTTCATATAACGTTATTCTTGCTAGTTTTGTTAGCTTTAACTATTATATTCACATTGTAGAATTATTTTTAAGGGCCCCTTAAGTCACTATTTCTTGTTTCTTCTCAAAATCACTTCTATTAATTAAGTTCTGCCGCGATCGTCCGAAAATGTCTTTAAGAGGTCGCAACTACCAAATTTACATGACAGTTTGACCCTAATCCTAACTCTAAAAATATATAGAAACCATTTAATTCTGCGTAAAAGCATACTTTAGAAATATACAAATTTTATATAACAAAAAGTTACAGCAATTTCTTTAAAGTTAATATTATATTATAATACTAAAGAAATACTTTATGAAAATTGAGCTCCTTTAATATTTTGGCATACCCTGTACATTTCTTTACGCATGGGGAGGATCCTTCCGGAATTTCCCACTTTTCTTTTAACCGATCAGGGTCGCATTTAGCAAAGAGCGATAAAAACCCATCTCCAACATTCAGGTAATGTTTTCCCTTTTCTCGCATTATAACCCCTTCCGAAAATCCAGCAAAAAAAAAGGACGGTTGATCAAAAGAAAAAATTTTTCCATTGGAATTTCATTCCATCTCTATTGACCATACAAGACAGTTTACATATTGTATGTTTGTATCGGCATAAAGCCTAGCGGTTTACCCCTCTCCCCCGATATATCGACGCTACCCTACCACCGAATCAACACGCAGAATCACAGCAAAACCCTTGCAGTGATAATCACACAATCAACAACCTCTAGTCAAAAAACACAAAGGGATGTATATTGCATACCGATGAATTGTGCAACTACATTAACCGTGCCAAAACCAAGCAAAATATTAAAAAAAAAAAACTGTAATATTCGAGTGTGTGTCGTTTAAGTATCAACACAAACTTTTATTTGGATCAAATCAAACCTGTAGATATTCATCGAGCTCTACTTGTCCGTTCATGTTTGTGTCGATTTCTTTCAATATGCCGTGCAACTCCTCTCCCGACACCTCTTTTTCTCCGTGATGCTGTAATTACAACAAAACGATCAGTGAAATTCGAAACCGATACTCACTTGAAGATAATCGGCCAATTCGAGTTGCCCGTTATAGGTGACGTTTATATCAGAGAGTAAGTTGTGCATCTCTTCGCCAGTTAATTTCATCCCTAAGGACTAAGCAAACGGTGTGTAAACGTGTCGGTTAAAAAGGAGCCCTTCATATCTAAACACTTACTTTCAAGCTCCTTCTGATATCGTTAATCGACACGTAGCCCTTTCTGTCCTTGTCGATGATTTGGAACCTCTTAATGTAAAGCTGGATTTCTTCTTTGCTTAAATTAATTGGAATTTTGTCCCGACTGGCGCGATTCACGTTTTGACCCATCTCGTTTTGCAAAAATTCGGATGCCAATTTGGTCTGCTTCTCTTTTTCGGCTGCAACAAGGAGACTGGTTTTCCACAGTCAAAGTATTAGAGATATCGGTCACCTTCGGACCACCCTAACTCCTCCCCCATAATATTCACTATATCCGGTAAAGCTTCCTGCGCGGCTTGAACGTTCAAGAACGCCAACCTCACCCTCCTCGCGATCATGTCTATCGCGGTCATCGCGTATTCTCTAACGCCGTATCTTAAATTTAAAAAAAACCCAATTTTTTTTTTCAAAATGTAACAACACAAATTCTGTAGAAAATCATTATTATTTTCAAATCCATTTTGCCTTTATATCCGGTATTTGAGGCGTACAACAAAGTCAAGAACATTATGCAAAATGATCAAATCAGACGATTCACTCATTTATTCTTCGATTTATACTACTAAATAATGAGCTTTTTTGAAAAAAAAAACTGAAATAAAAGTTAATCTTAGTAATTTGTCAAATTAGCTTGAATATATCTACGAAACTATTGGGTTAAACCATTTTTGGATTAACAGTTTAGTTAGTTGTTTGTTTCATTTAAAATGTTATAGTTGTATATTTATATACGTGCTATGTATGAGATGTTTGATCTCTGGGAATACAAGTCATAGTAATTCCGTTACACGAAGGGACATAATTGAGAAAAACAAGTTAAAACCCGACCATGCTTCAGTTGACACAAAGAAAGTAATACTTGGCGTCCCTACAAAATGTTGATACACGTCTGGTGCTACTATACCTATTAAATTATGTAAAGTGACCTTACTATTGTTCTTAAACACTTCTATAAAATTTAAAAATTAAAAAAATACAATGAAGAGAAAAATAAAAAAAAGTCAGAATATAGAAATCCAAAGAAGAATGAAACAACACATCTACTATTAATAGAAAATGGAACTAATTTTTTTCTTCTTAATTAATTATATACATTTTGCAATATAATTTTGGTTTAATATTCGATACTGCGAACGCATTAAAATTCGTTGGCAATTAAAGGTTCATTGTGTGTAGTTATACAGAGTGAGCCCTTTTTCGATGTAATTTTAAAGGTAACTTTTAAATCATTAAAGATACAGGATTGGTTAAATGGGAAAAAATTGTATATTTGGATGCTTAACGATCCTGACGCTACAATGAGAGGAATTGTTTTATTTTTCTTGAAAATAGGAAATAATTAAACAAGAAGTTACTAATTACAAATTGAGCTTAGTTGGGTCATAACTAATCTAAAAATACCAAAATACACATTACGTAGTTAAAAAAAAATCAGTTTTAGCCCTGCAACTTTTTTATAACTTTTTTAGGTAACATTTGAATTGATGATTACACAGCATGAGTCAGTGAATTGATTTTTTTTATATTGTTGCGAGGTCAAAGTGAATTTGAAATAGAAAATATTTTGTCTCATTTTACATCTCAAAGGCAACGCTTTTATGTGTATCACCGTCGTATATTTAACCTTTCTGATCGAGTAAATTTATGGTCATAATAATTATGAAGGTGCAAAATCGGCACAGGCTAAACTAATTATGGATCCAAGTTATTTTAATGGGACGTATTAAAAGTTCATCGAGCCGGATTGAGATGAAACCAAATTAAGAGCACCACTAAAGCGAAATTCGCAGGTCATAAAGTTGATTAGCGAGGCTTCGTTTCGCTTTTGCTAAGTGCCACTGAGTCATGGCCAAATTTATTGAAAACATTTAATGGAATCTAATAAACGTCCATCACCAAAAATAACAATGCGATCAGACTGATAAACCAGCAAAGATTCCAACAATTAGAACAAACATGTTAATGTGTTTTGGTGCTAACCTGACTTCCGCGTCGATATAGGGAAATTCGGGATGAATCTTTTTCCCGATGATTGGCCACCGTTTCCCCGTTAGGTTCGCCATTTTGGCAACGGCAAAGGCCCTGTCGCCGTAGGACTTCGCTAGATGTTGCGCCACTTCGCACTCGAGACCGAAATCCTGCACCAAGCGAATGTACATGGTGGGAGTCCATTCGTGTGCTCCCTCTAACAGCAGGCCGTCCGTCTGACTTGTCACGTGTGAACACCTGTTTTCTAAATTACAACCTGAAATAATGTTGACTTTTAACTTATTAATGAGCCATATAAACTTCAAGAGAATCAAAATAACGCTACTGGTTCCTATATTTATTCCTTTTCTAATAATTTATTTTGCTAAGGGAGAAGTAGAGTCCTAAAAACTTTGAAATCAGCCTCTACATTTTAATAACATTCTTTCTTTCTTCATTTTTTTTATTCAAATGTACGGGTGAGCTTATTTTACACCAAAAGCATATGACAGAGTTTAATCAAATGAAATCTTGTTTAATTACATCAATAATTTGTAATACTTTATGAATATTAAAAGAAATTCACTATATTAAAAAAAATTAAATAAAATTCAATTTCGAGTTTTATTTTATCGAACTATGTAGGTATGACATGAATACGGTAACCCTGTTAGTACTTAAATGGAATATTCTGTTTATAATTGTGGATATGAATGCTTCATACTAATATTCGAGCTGGGTATAAATTTAGATAAATTTGCGTTAATTTTTGACGAATTTTATGCAAGGCATAACTCTAAAAGAAAAAAAAGGTTCACGAAATATTAAATTGTTATATTATATTCCACAACCTTGAAATCAAAGTTTTTGGCAAATAATAAGAATAACAATGTGATTAGAATTATCACATCTCACAGAAAGTCATTTTTATTTTTTATATTCACATTTAAAATAATCTACAAATAATATTTACGAGTTGGTTTCTATTCACGCAAAATTGAGTAGTATAGAAAGTATTCAACTTTAAAGTTTAATATATTTTGTGTGGATTTAACCTATTTTTCTTTAAAATTGTATACCTTAGGGGATAAACGAGGTAAGGAAACAGTCCTAGAAATTATTTTGAAGTTTTTGAAATGGCCACAAGGCCACAATTGTTATCTATTTTTTTTAAAAAACTTATTATATAGTTAAAGTGAATACTATTGTAAAGTTGAGAAGAATTCAAATGATTTTTGTTTTAGCATCATTTACTCTATACCTGCAAGGAAAGTGATGGTGTGTGTATGTATATTGTCTTAAAGGTATCAATAGTGTTATGAGTGACGCGATTGCGACTGCTTACCGCCAGGTGGCACTTTCTGACATTTTTCGAAAATGGAAGTCTTTAGGTACCCAAATAACGGCCCAACAAACCTGCGAAAACCGCGTCTCAACCTAAGCTAAACTTAACGCTCAAAAAGAGTGTATTTTTGGAAAAATGTCTTCTGTACTATCCTAATTATTACAAATTATTACCAAATAAAGTTCTAATTTATTATTAAGGGGATGCCGAACAGACTTTAATTGACATTACAAATTTTTGTAGGTGTTTAATTTAAAAATTCAGGATAACAATTACGTCCTCTGGAACTCAAAAATAGCATCTCTCATTGCCCTTAGTGGAACACCGGCGAAGGTCGCTCTTAGTATGATAATTTGATAATTAGAAAAGCAATAATAGCAAGCGCTCCTAAGAAATTAATAGAAGTTTGAAGTCGTCAAATAAAAAAAAAACTATTAACAAACTAATACACACTTTTTATAGCGGCATCGATAGTTTCTTCGGCCATCGATCTATACGTGGTCCACTTGCCGCCGGCAATGGTGACTAACTTTGATTCGCTAACGTGCACGATGTGGTTTCTAGCTAGGGATTGCGTATCTGGTTTGTTCGGATCTGATACTAAAGGTCGAATACCGCTCCATGCCGACAAAACATCGCCCCTACGAACTAACCCAAGACGTAAGCATCTAACCGATCTACGTTGCCCTCCTTGGACTACCTTCAACGTCTGGATTGAGATAATTTTTAACTTCCTCCAAAATAAATAATATCTCGTCTTCCGTTGGCCTTGGATTGTGGGTAACTTCGCAAGGTAAATCTGTAGTTCCGGCTATCGTGTGCTTCTGCCACGGCAAGAAGAATATCACTCGCCCATCGCTAGTAGACGGGTCCAGCAGACCCATTTGCTCCGGGCTGTAGTAGCCTACACGAAAACAATTGCGATTTCGAAAAAAAAATACTTAAAGATCACACTTACCGGGCAAGGTGATATGAACGCCGCTACTGGGAGAGCAGATGCTCTTAATTTCGGGTTTGTCCATTTTTCTAATGGAGTCCGTAAAAGGCCCGGTGGCATTAATGACGCATCTTGCTGGTACCGACCACGTTTTGCCGCTCATTTCGTCGTACACCTTCACCCCAGATATTATTTCTGCGCCGTCTTTTTTCTCTTTTATTAAGTTAACGACTTTGACGTGATTAACTACAGTAGCGCCCAACCTGGCCGCGGTTAGTGCTATAGCTAAGTTCATTCTGGCGTCATCTTGCTGACCTAATAGGAATATTATTATCAAATATCCAGGCGAATTTGAAAAGATTTGAATGCCATACCATCGTAATACACGATGCCTCCTACGAGTTTATCCCCTCGCAACATGGGAAACAACTCCAACGCGTTCTTTTTTGACAAAAAGTACGAACTTTTGAGGGTCTTTGAACCCGCCACAACGTCATACATTTTAATTCCAAACCAGTAATAAGGAACCTGCCACCATCTGAAAGCAATTAGACATTCCTAAACGACTAGATGAAATCAATTGTTTCAATTTTTTCAGGTTCCACTTTTTATAAATCTATTGCAGAACTGTCTATTATAGAAGAAGCCTTCGAATAAATTTAAAATACTTTTTTGAAAAATAAAACAAATCCTATACAAAAATTAAGTTGTACAGGATGTTTGTTTATATTTTGTACTATACCTGTAGCCTGATCTTGAAGAGTTAACATACACTACAAAACATGTAAGGTTTTTTATCAATTATCTTTTGGTATTTATAAAATAGAAAGAAATGAGGTGCAAATCTATCAAAATGACATAAATTACATTATTTAAAATATAAATATGAAGAATTTTTCTTCCTGATTTTAAGAATATAAAGTTCGCCTATCGACGTTTTTCCAATATTCAAGTTTAAATTTTAGGTGAAGTTACTAAACCATAAATCAAATGTGTATAGCCAAGATCTGGATCCATTTATAGCGTATTGTGCGGAAGAACAAGCCGATATTTTGCAAATAAATGAATATTAATGAAATCCGTTCTTATACAGATTTTATTTAAAATTAAAATATGAATATTGGAATAGCGGCTAAACTAAAGATAAGCAATTTTATATGTATAAAATTAGGAAGAAAAATTCTTTTCAAATAAATTAAATTATGCTACACATTGATATATTTGCAATTCATCAAGATTTGACCGTAAGTATGGTGCAAGATATAAACAAACACCCTGTACAACCTGACTGCGCAAATCTTCGTATTGTTAATTTGAATACAGTATGGCAAATTTATAATACCTAGCCCCCACAAGAGAACAATCAGAAGAAAACGTGAAATTTTCATTGGCTTCGATAGCATAGTAAATACATAATATTACTTTACACGTTAAACTAACTAATAATTAAATTATAAATAAAGATTAACCTGGTTACTTCCTATAAAATCCAAACCAAAATAAAAAAATCCTATAAAGACATGTTTCTTAATATTATGGATTTTGGGACTACAAAGAACTATTTTAATACATAATATCAAAAAAACTAAAAAAAGAACATTGGTCCAACTTGTGCTTTCGTGGTCCTAATTATTAGTTTAATAGCAATGATTTTATAAACCAAAACAAAACCCAATCACACGAATATTTTTCTACGACCGTTAGTTTTTGGGTACATTTTTGCAAAATAACAAGCCGTGCGGAAAAATCTCCGAAAACATGCGATTGCAAGCGAACGGATGATATCCCGGAATATAGTGTCATCACATTTTTCCATCCGTGAACCAATACGTGAAAATATATACATATATACAAAACATTATTATTACAACAAAATTATTATTGGTCATTAATTAGTGTTTTGTTATGATAAAAGATCATTTCAAAGAAATCGACGCTAATTAATCACAAGATTTAATGAACCTGCTATAAAAAAGAAAATAAAAGAGCATTATGAACAGTTTTAAACGCGAGTGGATGATAATCTTTAAGACAGCAAAGGCCATTGGCTTTACACGGATAAATCACTCTTTGGGATAATATTAATCTGGACAGTACATTGATACCAGCAACATATCCTTTATATGCTATTGTACTATTGATAAATTGCCATCACATGTTTTCCGCGAATTGTTAAAATGAAATATCGAGTGAACGATAACAGTCTAGACTGCTAATGAAGGTCGCACACGCGGATAAAAGCGTGATATATTTAAATTGCCACTTACTGATACACGGGTAACATAATAGGTAAAGGGTGGGCGAGATGTGGAGCCTGGTGCAGCATGGCTGCTCTTTCATGCAGCGCCTCTTTCACCATCCTGTACTGTTCGTAATCGAGTTGCATTATGGCTTTCTGAAGGTACCTGTAAAAATATTATTGACCGACATTTTTGTACATATTTTATTTTCACACTCGCGTGGAAAAATTTAAATCTATAAATCTACAGGTTCTGATAAATGTATTCCCTTATATTTTTAAATATGTTAAGGTTTAAACTAACCAAACTGTTCTATAACTGGACGTTAATTGACATCTGACATCCAGTCACTTTTTGAAAAAATTATAAATTATTTTTGCAACTTTTCAAATGCGACTTGATTCCGGATATTTGTCTCTGATGAGGATGTACCTTACACCGCCGTGGATCAATTTGGTACTTCTGCTGGAAGTTCCGCTGGCGAAATCATCAGCTTCTATCAAAGCGGTTTTCAAACCGCGCGTACAGGCATCGAGTGCGCATCCGGCACCCGTCGCACCCCCGCCCACTACGACAACGTCGAATTCCTCGGTTTCGAGGGATTTGATTTGTTCATCTCTGTTCGGCAAAACTCGTCTTGGCCGACGAGTTAAATCCTGCTGCGCATTTACTGCGAAACACTGGAGATGAAGAGAAATTTCCACAGTTGCGTACACAAGTTACCTTAATAGTATCGATCTTAACTAGTGTTGAGAATCAATTGAGCACTTTTAATTGACTAGTCAAAAAATGTTTTAACATCTTGCAATTGTAGAGTGTTGTCTAACATTATTTAATAATAATATGTATTTTATAATAAATTATTATGCGTTTGTGATGTCCAATTTACATATAACCCCCTTCAAGGAATAATCGAATGCGATACTTAGCGATTCGGGGAATCCCAATAATAATATCGACTCTATTTGGTTCCTAGAAGACGTGATGGCGACGTAACGCACAACTTAAATAAATATAAATTTCATGGTGTTTTAAAATTTATTTCGGTCAATTGTCCAGTGCCCAGTCATTTTTTCGGTCCATTCCACAACCCTAATCTTAACAAAAAACAGGACTTATCCAGAGTCTTCCAGACGGACTATCATTTATATAAAGCGTTCAGACAGTTTTGAAATTCTCAGTCTAAATGCTCTTTTGAAATAAAACAACTTTTCCTTTACAAAATTTGATGCTGACATATTAATAAAGTAGATATGCTGATAGGAAGGGGTTAAGTAAAACACCAATCAATTTACTGGATGCAGACGTTTTGTTTCTTTTCCAATGATACATTTTTTTTAAATTTTCTTTAAAAGAGCGATTTAGATTATCATTTTTTTGTTACTTTAATTGACTGAAATATTGTACAACGACGTAAAAATAAAAACGCGTACTTACATTTTGACGGTTTTCCTTCAATAGTAAATAAGTGGCAATACCGGCACTAATGGTACCAGCCAAACCACCAACTGCCAATCTTCTCAAATTAGTCGCCATTTCTTAACGTGCTCTGCAACAAAGATTCCTGCTAAAGTCCTTATTATACGTTAATTATCTATGCGATAATTGTCAACGACGTATGTCATATGCCTATAGCTCAGCAATCTCCTTGGTAATGGCTTGCTGGAAATACTTTAGTTTGTTGCGGGCTTATACTTATACACGGTGATTGAAGAAAAATGAGATAATGGATATAATACATATCACATATTGACACAAATATATCTTATCCGGAAGTTATAAGGTCTCACTGCACACTGTACAAACGTATTTCAACGAAGACTTTGATTTTGAGATTAATCTGTAAAATTCACAAACACAGTCGACGAAAGTTTGTGCACGAAATGTATATTTCTTTATAGAATTTTTGGAAAATATGATTCATGTAGAACAACGCAACGAACTGCAATCTTCCTGATATTTTTTTGCATTTTTATTTTATATTTCGTTTATATATAGCAAATTATTTTTCCAAAATGGTTAAACTAATAAAATAATTAATAAAACAATAAAAAGAAATATTTTATCAACACGGGCAAATAATTCATTTAAAACCAATACTCTAAATATTTTGTTTTTGACTCAAGCGATTTGAAGATGTTTCGAAATTTTACAGCTTGTAGTACATAAAGCGGCAATTTTGAGCCTTTTGAAAAATACAGGGAGAGTTTAATATAAAACTAATTTCAAAATGTGGAAAGATGGTATCTTGCACCTTTTACATATTTGGCAGAAATTATGATGTAAATGAAATCATGAGCACTCAAGAAGACTTATGCAGATTTTGGAACCTATTTTACATTCGATATTTAAACAAAATTTTATAGTAAAAATTTATAGCAAGCGCCCTCTATGAGCTGCGTTAAGAAATTAGTAGTTACCGTTTTATTAGCCGATAGCCGTTGGGAAATTATATTCAGATATGATTTACAAATTACAATGGAAAATATCACAGAAGTAAAAAAAACGCAACCGGATTTTTTTTTAAATGTTCAGTACTTAATCCAATTAAAGTAATACTTTTTACAAAAATCAATGCAAAGCAATTCGCCGAGAGCGAACTTGCACAAAGTCGACCACATTCGACATTTATTTTTAAATTATAAATAAAACGAAAGTAAAAAGTCAGAACCCCGCCAAAATTAATAAAACTATAAAAATCACGCTGAAATAATAAAAATGCGAGTGCGATTGTGTTAATGATTGTGTTGAAGGTCGCAATCAGCTATTCTATCTAATGCCGCCAATTTTTTTTTGGCTCGGTGAAGGCGACAAAAAATTAATTTTTTAAGCGTCTACTACAAAACACACTAAAAAAGCGATCACAATTTTGCTTTTAAAAATGTAATTAAATTATCATAAATAGAAAGTAAGTAGTAAGTAAATGGCAAAATTTTAAATGTTTAACTTACGTGTAATTTATTTATTCCGTTTCTGCTATTGCAAAAATCGTAGAAACTACGCCGAATTTTCTTGCGATGCCATAGAGCGAAACTGGCGACAATTTTTTTTTTAATAAGCACCACCGTCAAATCGCTATTTTTTTATTCCATCTTCACTTCGTATTATGAGGTTATGTAAAAAACCAATCGGGATATTCGTTCGTATAAAAAATCGTACGTCGCGATGTGAGGGTTTCGTGGACGTAACAGTATGAATTCCCAAATGCAACGTTGTCGGTTCGATTATGCTGATTTCCTGGGCAATAAATTACCAACTAATAAATTTTTACGAACTGACATTAGCCCTTAATATTTGCTGGATAATCAACATTAAGTGCTCACCATTTGAATAGGATAGGCATAGAATAGGCAGTTTTTTAATAGGTTTTTAGACTACTCTCTAGTAAAGTTCAGTAAGCATGCCATTTAATAGAGTTCAGGACGACATATTCCACCAGAGTAGTTACAGAAGTCGTCATATAGTTAATATTAAATACTAACTCAATACAAAAAACGGAAATCTTCATTTTGACAAATAACTTTTCATTATTATTATATCGGAAAATAGTGATTTTTTATTACAGTGCTTAGAGTCTTACTTAAACGAGATAGAACAAAGTAATTTCCTGACAGTACAATAAAATTAGTAATCCCTATTTGCTACAATCTGTTTATATAATATTTTGAAAACATATAAAATCATATGGAACAGAAAGAAAAAGCTTAAGTAAAAGAAATGCATCCGGTATGTATCTATTAGTCTCAATAAAAGTTCTTTTTGGTTAACTTTATTTTGACACTGCTGTTATATTATTGTCTTTGTATGTACATGCATATATTTACATATAAGATGTGTTAGATGGGTCCTTGATTCTATTGATCTAATCTAATCGTTATGATGAATAAATGGAGGTCAATATATCTTCTTCACATTTTGAATTTTGTATAATATTGTAAACGTTTTTTTTTTATGTTCAATTTAATTACATTTATTTAGCTATATTTAGGCAGATTCGGCAACAGTGCATTCTAAGACTATGCGTGCGCGGATACGAGCGCAAGTCAACGTGATCCCGTGTTGTCGGATCAAGAAAAAGTCGCCATATTTTAGACGCTGTTGTGGCCCTTGTCATATCAGAAGCACGGATTTCTAGGAAATTATTTTTGAAGTACTTACTAATAATAATTCCAAAATTAAAATTGATAATGAATTAAAAAAAACTATTGAAAAAGACTAGATGATAAGCCACATCTGAACTATATGATATAAGATATATAATATTTCTTATATTTATATTAAGATATCGCAAAAATAATTTTGGAAACTTTTGAGATTTTTGGAATTTTAGAAAAATACTAGTTTTAAGAAGATTTTTTAAGTCATTCAATTTTCTTCACGCATTCCCCTTATAATTTTGTCTATTTAACTTAGAAGATACCATCTACATAGTATTTCCTCTATAATGCAAAAATGTCGTTCGATTGTTTTAAACTAATCGAAACGGATTGTTGGTTATTTCCTAAAATTTTCATTTATTTTTTGGCAAAACTCAAGTGTAGTTTATTACTTTCGTAGAGCACAAATAAATGACTTGATTTTATTTCTTTTTTGTGCCCAAAAATTTTATACAAATACCAATGTCTCCAGTTTATAGTTGAATATTAAAGAACTGTAAAGTTTAATGGAAGTGGATAGGCAGCAGCAAAAATATTCAAAGGAAATCCAAATTTCCGACTTGGCAACACTGGCACGATTCCACATTTTGCGGCTCGCGTGTAGCTATCGATTGCGTCATGATCACCTGAAAATCTTGACTTCCCTCATTCATTAACTTCGTGCCCGTCACTGATGAGTAATACCAGCTCAACATATTAGAAGACGAAGGCTGTGATTTTTAGATCGCAGCTCTGATGCTGTTACACACAATACTTCAATTTATTTTATTTTTGTCTCCCGATATAGTCGTTGCCGCCGTAATGTCAATGTGGAATATTGCCAAAGTCAGCAACCATACGATTAGATCAGGTTCTGTGACACGGCGTTTTTTGAAGACATTCGTTTAATCTTATCAGCCAAATTGGCATACAAACGAAATTCAACGTGCGTTAGAGACCTTCAACATTTGTTTTTTCAAAGTGTAGCTAGGATTAGTCCCGAGAAAAGCAAGGTTTCATTTATAATATGTTATAAAAGCATATGTGCAGTATGAATCATTAAAATCAGAAAACAGCATAGCTACATTTATAATAAAAGTTGAAATGAAATAAATAAAGAATGTCTCTTTTTTTCAGAGAGATACTGGCAAAATTTAAAGAACTCTTTTGTTGTTCTTCCTGCTTACTGCACTATTGCTGATTGCCCCTGACAGGAGGTATATCATACTCAAGTAATGCTTTTAAATAAAAAAGAAAACATAAAAAAAAAACAAATTTTCATGTTCCACCTATTGAACAAAACTAAGAAAATAAACTATTCAACAAATTGGAAGTAAAATTTTATTGACGACATTAAATTAATACAAAAAGCACCTTACAATGTACCTTTGGTATAAAAACAAAGCTCACTGACACATTCTTTATAAATACAATCTAAAAATAGCTTCTTTATACAGTGAATAGTAATACCCAAAATATCTACACTAAACCCTGATTGAAGTAACTAATGCCGATGCGACGAAAGCAATATAAAAAAAAGTTTGTTGTAAGAAACAATTAACTTTTTGCAAATATTTCAAATCATATTTCAAATTCCAATGACAAAATTAAGAAATTAAATTCTTTATATACCAAAATCAGTAACACTTTAACTATGATGGATGACTGACCAATGTCTCAGATCCAAGGTAGCTTTCGTAGCATCTTCACCGTTTCCAAATATCACTATTTACTTCTGTGCACGTAAAACCCATACTCCTTAAGCTTCCTATACAGTGAAATGTACTTTCCTGCGGCTGTTGTTCTGGGAACGATATACTTCTCGCAAAAAACGGTTCTATTTCTAGCCGCTTCGCTAAGCGACCCATATCCCAGAGTAACTAAAAAAGTCAGCACAAAACTGTAACAATTGTGCTTATCTTCGCTATAGGTTTTCGCGTTCCAGCACTTCTGTTTGCAGACCTGCCACAGGGTGTTGTCCCAATGTTCGGTCCAGGATGGTGCCGCGCGGTCCACCAAAAGACACTGGTTCCAGTGACTCGAACGGTGTTTCCGCAGACCGTTTTTGTCAAACTCGACAATTGTACCCGTCGATGTCGTCACGCCTATATGAAGATCCATAGAGTTGAGATAGTCACTGGAAAAAATAGACATTGCTAACTTTAACGGAAACAAGCCAATATCTTCAACATCGATAAGGCGCATGAGCGAGTCATCAGGTCTCGTTTTCAACCAAAAACTATAACTATTGAAGTGTAAACAATTTGCTCATACCTTATTTAAATTTGTAATTATTGCTGTGAATCTACAGTTATCTACATCGATTTAAAATTACGATACTTATATTATGGACCTATAACAAAGATTGAAAATTTCAAGTCAAAGGCTAAAACCGACAAATAAACATTTTACAGTTAATTTATATACAATATACATTTTGAACACAAAAAGGTCTAATCAATTTCTACTAGTCACTAGTTTTTCATTGGAGTATGCACAGTCGAACCTAATTAATTAAAAAAGTATTTTCTTCTTAACTTCGTATTAGCAAACCAATTTCAACGAAACATCATAGGAAACGTATTGCGAATGTTTGAAGTTGTTTATCGGTGTTGTTTTGTTAGTACTTTATTTTGTTTATTTTCATGTTGTTCAGGAACACTTTATAAAATTTGATGTAATGATTACGAATATAAGGGTGAAACCAAAATTGAAAAAAGAAGCTAAATTTAAAAGAAAATTGCACCGGAATCAAATTTTTCAAATGACGTAACAAAAAAGAAAAATTTTGGTGAAAAATGGTATTTTCTTCAAAAGTATTATGCAGACAATACTAATATTAACGATTATAATTATAACAAACAAAAAATATAACAGACAATCTCCGCCACTGTCTAAAAAGGATTGTTTTGTATAAATTGCCTTTAAAATTGCAGCAAGAATCCCTAAAAAATAATTTTTTGGCAGAACTGTACCACTCGATTAACTTACCATCCCACGAACGAGCCAGTCAGTTAGAGAACCAGCTTTTCTTTAGAATCTCCAGTCGAGATTGCCGAATTTAATTTGTTCCATTTTTACAGAAACAATTACAAACATTTTTCAGCGGCTTGCCATAGTTTTAGAAAAACGTCCAGTATTCAAATGTATGGAAAGAATGAATAAACAGAATATTGTAATATAGTTGCGTTAATTATTAAACCAAATCGTTCCTACTCACTGGTTTGTTAATTAAATTACCTTTAAATCACTCAGCACATCGTCCGCGGTCATAATAATTATCACTTATTTTTTAAAACCTGCTATTTAGAAAAAATACAATAGAACTTATTTCACCGGGCGAGGTCAATGCAATTGTTACCATCAATTCATAATTGTAGGTATAATAGCCGGTGCTGACCATGAGAACCACTACGTGGCTGTCCTATAGTATATACGTGATTTTACAAACAAAAAAAAAAACAGGAACTCACTTCAAAAAATCGCCTGTCGTTGGTTTGATGACTACTGCGCAGGGGTACTGGGAAGCTCTAATAAACGGGTAAGGAACTCTGGAATGAAATTTTTACCCACATTACGTCACAAAACATTTAAGAATATAGAGCACAAATTAATCATGATTACAAAATTTAATTGCTTTACCTAAAAGGCAACAACTCGAAATTTGCCTGCTCCAAAGATTCCTCGCAGACTGGGCAGGTTTCGGCTAGAGAGAAACAAAATACTTTGGACCCGCAATGCTGAAAGCACACTATTCCCGGATCCATCTTTGGAAACTGAGTAGGAAAGTGCGCGTTGTAACGCTGTTGACTAGTACTATAATTGTAGATACAATTTTAATTAATATATACAGTTATTATTGTAGAGTTACAAAATTTGTTCTACGCCTTATATAAATATTTACAAAAACAATTGTCAGCCAATTAATTTTCAAAACAAATAAATAAAAAAATAAAAGGGGGACAGCAAACAACGTCAAGTAATTAACTTCTTATAATATTATTTGCACTTCACGAAGCATACTCAAACAATTCAAAATATTTTTTAAATGCAGTGACGAACCCAACCTAGCTTTTCGAAAAAAATTCATTTAAATTATTTCATTTATTTATATATTTGTTGCCATTTTGGGTGAATCAACAAGACACATGTAACAAGAAAAAACTTACGAGAACCGCTGGTACGCTTAAACTATAAATCAATGAGTACAAAATTATAACAAATTGGAAAGTACATTTTAAGGTTTCTATTCTAAAATTTATTTTTTTTACTCTACGTTTAAAACATTCACATGATCAATATCTAGGGAATAATTATATTAAACACACTTTACTGCCAAAAGGTTACGTTTTGCCTTGGTTCTAGTAGGATAATTTTGAATAAAATATAAGAGAACTCAACCCGACAGCCTAGAATCCTGTACAGCATTAACAGATCTGCCAGTGACCTCTTGATCTGAAGAGCAATTTTAAATTTTGAACGAATAAGACTATAATTATGATTCTCAATGTTTGAATTTGATTTGAATCCAAGATATCTTAAAAATCTATTTTGCATCATGATATATGGGCGTTATAGTTTGAGTTACAGATAGTGAAACCAAAATAAAAATCTGTTGAATTTATTTTTGTAAAGCCTGCCACTCCATTTCATTCCATGTGATCTTCAAATGTCCAAATGTCTAGGACTCCCAATATTTATATATATTTTTAGATTATCTGAGAAAAATAATATTTTTAAGTGTATTTATGTACTCGTAAATTATATAAAAGGTAAATAGAATTTTGGGAACTTCATAGGTACTTTTTAAAACTTATCTTTATCGGAAGCCTCTATGTTAGAAGAAAATCAGTCAAATTACAGTAAGTACGTAAATTGCGTAGTATATATATATATATATATATATATATATATATATATATATATATATATATATATATATATATATATATATATATATATATATATATATATATATATATATATATATATATATAGTATACTAAGAGCACTAGGAAGCAGCATCACGCCCGTTATTATTGTAAATTAAATAATGAGCGTTATATTCATAAGTTTCCTTTTCTTTATAAAATATTTGTTTCTTAGATTTCTTAGATATGCCACAACGATATCAATTTCTAGAAAAATAGCACACTCACTAAGTATACAGGAAAATATTTACGTGAACTCGCATAAGAACAAACAACGCTACATTGCAGTTCCACATTGTTATCTTTGATCAAAAAATGCGAAAATGTCCATTACTGGGAAGCATGTTTTCGAGAAGAGTAAAAAAAAAGAAGAATATAAAATCCCGGCTTGATGTTGAATTTCAATTTTTTTTTATTGAACAATGGAACAAATGTACAAACTTTGGCTACGTATTTCTAGCATACCAAACAGGATGGAATGACTTTTCAAGACAACGAAATAGCTCGAAAACGAGGTTTATGTGTCTCGACCCTGCTTAAAAATAATGGCAACGATTAACAACAAAATAAACAATACGAACTACGTAAGCGTTTTTTGTATTGCCTGGGTATAACCCAGATCCAACTTGACACGGTATAACTTTCTATCACAATATGTGATTTCTCGTCTTAAAGACTACAACTAGATGAATTGAAATTCTTAATTTTTTGCCAATTACTTAAAAATTATAAAATTGCTATTATTCAGTTATACTTACATACCGCCATTTAATTTTGCGTAGCAGAAAAATAAAATAACAACATTATTTACTAGTGAAGTAAAGAAAAATTATCCCAAACTGTCCTAAAAAAGGGGACATAAATAATAAATAATTCGAAACAAAATTATTAATTATCAAACGCCCTTCCTACTTACTAAGCTTTAATGTGTTTTGCGAAGTTTTCGAGAAGTTTTTTCTACCAATCATCTTTTTAATAATCGTCGAGAAAATAATTATTACTTTTGGTTGTTCAGTTTGAAGTGTTATTTTCCGCTTTTTTATTCTAGAACAGTTGTCGTTCGTGCATATGTGTTTCTTAACAGTATCGCCCCATTTAACTGTAATGTATATTAATTGCCTCCTATGTTAATCGCAATTAAAAGCAAAATTATGAAAGCTTCTCGCAATTAACTTTACGCACGATAAACAAATATAATTTATAACGGAGTTAATTATCCAGAAAGACGTTTAAATTACATTTGCAACCCTTTAACCCTCGCAAGGTTCCGCCGCTTCCCTAGCTGATACACTCTCAAGTTCATGAGTACAGAAGTATAACTACACTTACCTGATATTGTCTAACAGCAATTAGGAACTAAAACAAAACAACTTACCTAAATTTGCGGTTGTTGGCCACACAGATTTTCTGGAAACTCCTCTTTCATATTCATCGAATGTGAATTCAAATCTGTGTCAGAAAAACGAGACAATGAGGCACCGCATTCTTTGGCTTGAAGCGACTTTCGCAGCTCACCACGCTTCAAGAACAAAATATAACTAACATTAACTTTCCATCAAGAGTGATGTCGGCACAGTACTTTTCAACAGCGTTGCCGCTTTAACGCCGTATTTCCGAATATTTAAGATTTTATTTAAAAATTCGATAATTATTCTATGCAAGAGTGGATCTGATAGTGTTTAGTTTTTAGTTTCGTTTAGTTTAGTTTAGTTGCTTAACTTCATCTTAAGATGTGTAAAAAACGACAACAACAAAAAAGTGTTTCTTATTTGATAACAGCTTAGAGTCAAAATATACAAGCTTCTCAGTTTTTGTGTAAGAATCTATTACCAATCAACTCCGTACCAACACTGATAAATATCGTAGTACAGATTCCTTATTATTGACAAAGAATACACTATTCCAAAATTCTCCTTATATGTTATAGCAAATAAACCTGCTCAGACTCGATATATTTTTGAAGAAAATACATTTTCTCTATTCCATACTTTAAAATAACCAATTATGCACCTATCAGGAAGCGCCACATCTGTCACTTTAAAACTTTCAACTTCGTTTAACACTCTCTCGAAAAACTTCAGGCGTTTCCGGTACATTTATGATGGATATGGGAGAAATGGGACATTTTCGTTGTTGATGTTTGTTTTGTATTTAGATCTAGGATTAAGGTCGTTAAAAACAATAAGGTAGTAAAATAAATAAGAACTAAAATTTCAGGTTTTCACGAAATTATATATTTTGACATGACGATTGTTTCGACAACACCGTGTGTTTATCAAATGTGACATGTGACATTTGATAAAGACACGGACACATGAAAATCTGAACTTTTAGTTCTTATTTATTTTGATAAATGGATTTTCATCAAGTAAAAGCCACCTCAGTTCAATCAATGAAAAAGGTAGTAAACTGACGTCGGAAATGGCAACGTTGCAACCCGCACGCAACCTGCGGTCAAACGATAGTTTCGTATTATTGTTGTTTACGGGTTGCCATGGTTACCCACATGACGAAGGTCCCATTTCCGGGAGTTTTGAACGGGGGTGGCGATAACTTTCAAGTGTGAACAGTTTAGAACGAAGTTTGTTTTTGAAAAAATCCTCATTTTTTTTATTACTAATACGGAATTGCGTAAAGTTTATTTTATAGGTAAGCAACACGTTAGCGTAATAATTACTCCTGTTCTGCTTAAAATTGGGGCGATTTGATCAATATTTAGCTATGGTTTCAGTTTTGTCGGTAAATAGGGCTGTAGTCACGCAAGAGCGAAATGCTTCCAAATAAATCGTTGCTGTGGAAATTTATTGAATTTCTATTAAACCAGTGGCCAGGGATAAAATGCACTTAGGTATGCGATAATTGTACTGGTTTTCTAGTTGGTTATAGGGGATAAACGATGGACGACCAAAACTGAAAAAACGCACCATTGTTGTAAATTGGCGTTTTTGATATCAATTATTGGGATATGATACTCGGAACTCGATATTCTAACTACACTATCTATGGACAAACATCGTGCAATCTTGTACATTATTAATAAACCCGTAGGCAGTTCAACGAACGGAAAATATTTTCACTTTGCAGCAAGCAAATTTATAAGTGTAAAAAAATAATAAATGCTATTTCAAAAATTAACTTATTGGTCACTTTCAACGTTGATGTTTATTTTTATTTAGAGCTATAAAAATAGACCACAAACGAAAATAAAATAAAAAATTATTTAAAAAATTAATTATTATTTAAATTATTAGTTCAAGATTTCATGGTGATTTTAACAAATTGCGTAAAAAACGAGATACAGGGTACCAAAAAATTATTATATATATTTATTATATATTATTATATTTATTGAAACAGTATTTCTGGAGAAATCTATTGCGAATAACATACAACATTGTAACATTAAAAAGTAACTAAAATTTACTTTAAACCAGAAGTCTACTTCGGTAAAAGCGATTCCAATTAAAGCGCTTATATTTTCCTGATACCGATGTATGTCCATGCTTACACCTTTATTGGTACCGAATGACTTCGAGAATTGCTTTTTATAAGCCCTCGCGAAGCAGATTCTTATTATAGCTCCTTTCATTATAAATAGCCATTACATTTAACGATTCGTTAGTTAATTGCCTAAGTAACACCCGTGTAAGAATATTTCACCTGTATTTCCACATATCATTTAACTGTTTAAAGCAAACCCACTATAAATTAAACACCGTTCTTTTGACGAAAAGCTTGCAACACGTTGTGCGTATAACATAAAAAATAATTAACGTAAACCACAGTTTTAAAAATAAATTGCCGGTTGTGTGGCCTAACGGATGTACAGTTACAGTGTGTGTCAAAATTTTGACATCTTACGAAAAACATTTTATGGTTGATCTAATGCCGAAAAATTTGACTGCATAAAAAGTGTAGCAACAAAATTGTTAAAAGTCAATTGGGTAGTTAGGAATATATCTTTAGCACAACCACCACATCAAACTAAATCTTTTAACTGTAGTTTCAATGTATTTATGATTAATAAATGATTTAAAATTAAATGAATATTTAAATGTTTAACATGGTGATTGTTTTCTATGTAAAACAAAATTGTAGATACCAATAGAAATTATCGCCATTTTAAAAATGTACTAAAGTATCTTATTATCTTGAGTCTCCTAGTAAACAATAATTTCGTATCAGAGTAATCTATTTCATCTACATATTCTAAGTGAATTGCAAAATAGAAGGTTTTGTTATATGTTCTCATCTAAATCTCATAATATATTTTTTAAAATTTCTTAATAATATTGTCTGTCACCTATCTTCAAATTTTATTTGGTTTCATTATTGATGTTCGATGGTGTGTCTCTGGACAGTCTCTTTTTTTCCTTCCAGCAGAGTACAGTACAGTAATTCGATATGTTATTATTTCACAACACTAATATAACCCTGACATTGTTCGTTATAATAGTAACAATTAAAAACGACCTCGATAAGCCAATCGATGATGTCAACTCGAAAGACACATCATGTTTACGTTTAAGCAGGCCTATATAAAAAAAAGGGTAGGTACAATCCATGCCATTAATGTAGCAATCAATGCAAAAATAGCGCATTAGTAAAAAACGCGCCTATAGTTGGTAGTTGTTTTGCATTAATAAATTTTCAACTCTCAATATCCACTACCAAACCATGTCGACCTAATGCATTGCGTTCATTAAATAATTTAAGAATCTTGGATTGGTTTGTTAAATATATACGCGCCAAAAATAACTGCTTTATTCCTACAATAATCATAGGGGATATAGCTCAGTGGTAGAGCATTCGACTGCAGATCGAGAGGTCCCCGGTTCAAACCCGGGTGTCCCCTAGCGAAAATTTTTTTTTGTACAAATTTGTTTGAATAACACGTTGTAGTGTAACTTTATTTTATTTTCAAATGATATGTTAAATACAAACTACTCTCCGAAATATGGTAGCTGTTTAACTATTTGGCCAAAAATGTTTGTATTTACATATGTATTTCAAATATCATTAGATTTTTCTCCACAAACCATATACAGAAAGGGTTTAGTATTTTTTAAGTCGTACTTGACAGACAGAGTTCACAACGACGAGGTGCGAGGACATAAGTTATATAAGTTCATTGCCACAAGTGGAGCTTTGCAGAGGAATCTTCATATTGTTGACTATGCACTATTTTCTAAGCAGGAGTTTTATTTGACACTAAGCTTTCGTTTGCTCACCATATCAATCAAACTTGTAACAGTGCGTTGAAAATGTTGGAATATGGATTCATATTTCGGAATGCTAGTGAGTTTACAAGCGAACAGACACTAAAAGATCTCTACTTTAGTTATATTGGATCTAAGCTGGAGTATAGGGACTATGGACTTATAAAAAGTTCAAACGAAATTTAAAATTTAAAATATCTAGCTTTTAAGTGTGACGGTGTATTTCCGCAAAGATGTTTTGATCATAATGTTCTCTTAAGGCGATTCGGAACAAAAGTTTTCATTATTCATAGGAACTATACATTAGATCAATTTTTATTTTAATTATGTAGATCTCTTATAAACTGCTCTGAATTGTTATCGGTTTTCACGTTCCTTCGCGGGCAGTCAGAACTTCTCCAATATTCCGCCTTCCAACTCCCTCCACACACTTTTTGATGAGAAATCCACTTATTAAAGCAATGGATATTTTTAATAGATGTGTAGTAATGTAGATGTCAATGATCTAACATCGACAGTTTACATTTAAAGATTGATTTTTACGTTTCAAATGATTATTGTAGATTCGGTGTTGAGTTTTGTTTTTTTGGTTATATACAGTACTTAAGAACTGTACACCCTTGTAAAATCTTTGTTTATGATTCTATATTGATAAGTTAGTTTTTTTTGTTGGATAGATCTCTGAAAAATGCACTAAAATCTTGTTTTGCTTGTTGATTCATCTTCAAGTCATGGCCAACTGAGATTATTTAACAAAAGAGAGAGAAGAGAGAAGGGATAAATAAAAGTTGGCAACGAATCCTTATTCAGTAGTACTTAGAACCCAACTATAGCAATTTTTATATTTCACTACAGTATGTTTAAAATATCGTTTGCGCCCCGCTTAAGGCTGTACATCATTGTAAAATCTTTGATTACCGTTTGATGTTGATAATTTTTTTTTGTTGGATTACTCTCCCAAAAACGTACTAAGTTCGAATACCGGGTGCTCGAAATATAGTGGGCGCCTTGCTTAAGCATTAATCCTGTAGAATGTTTGCTTATGGCTCAATTTTGATAATTCCTTTTTTGTTGGATAGATAGCACTAAAAGACGCTAACGATTTTCTTAAAATTAAATACCATTAGCGAGGATTTTGTTACTTAAAAAGGATTTTTAATTCTCATCTAATAATAATAAAATAATAGAAGTATCAAAATTGTTTGACGTTGGCATACTGTTTCTTTTGTAAAACCAAGTTTGCTCTGGAGGTAGTTCTGAATACGAATCTGTTGCCATTTTTAATTTGAAAAAATCTCTAAAAGTACTTCTCACTTTTCCACTTCAAAAAACTCTGTCAGTTAGCCAAGACTTTGTTGATGCTATATGAAAAAACCCCTTTCATTTGTCCATCAAAAAAGAACTACCAAAATTTAGTCATAAAGAAACATTCTACAGGAGTAATGCTTCTGAATAAGAATTCGTTGACACTTTAATCTTAAAGAAATCCCTACTAGCCCTTCTCCATATTTGACATCAAAAATTAGACCCAGTTGGCCATGACTTCAGGTTGATGAAATAAGAAATAGTGAGTTTTTGAGAGATCTATCCAACAAAAAAAAAGTTACCAAATCAAACCGCAATCGAAAATTTTACAACGATATACAACCTTAAGCGGTAGTAAACGATATTGGAAATACCCTGTGTTGAATCATTATAGAAATTGATATAGTTGGGTTTTAAATACTCCTAATTCATTTATTTTTTAAATCCCTAATGGTACTTCTCTGTTCTCTCTCTTTTGTTAAATAACAAGCAAGTAGGCAAAACAAGGTTTTAGTGTATTTTTCAGAGATCTATTCAACAAAAGAAAAGCTTATATTATTTAAGTTATTTATATGGTTGCTTTTTGTTGGGTTGGTTTTTATTATGTCGATTATTGGTACATTTTCGGTATTAGGAATTTTCATTCGACCTGGTAACTGTACTTCGCCAATTAATTGTCTTGTCATTGGATATTATATTTGTTATACAATAAAGCTTATTATTATTATTATTAAATAGGAAATTTGCATTTTTTTAGGGACAGAAGCATCAGAAGCATGCGGCATGTCGCAAACAGGTAGCGCCAGCCTAGGCCGCACCTGGCTGGTTGTTGCCCTGTTGCCTCTGATAACGTTAGTGCCTGGGGTATGGAACGGGTTCGCTTGTCTCAGCAACCCTTGCATTCATGGGGTTTGCCTGGACGATTTGAACTCGACCTATTTTTGTTATTGCATAGATGGTTATACGGGTTTTCAATGTCAAACGAACTGGAACGAATGCTGGTCTTCACCGTGCCAAAACGGCGGGGTATGCGTTGATGGTATAGCCAGTTTCAACTGTACATGTCCTCCTGGATTTGTCGGTAAATGTTGCGACTTTTTCACATGTTCCCTTGCGCATCGTCGATGACTTTCCTAGGCGATTTGTGCGAAGAAGATTACAACGAATGTGAGAGTAATCCTTGCTGGAACAACGGGACATGTGTCGACGCCCCTAACGGGTATATATGTCAATGTCCACCAGGTTACTCTGGTACTCATTGCGAGATAGATATAGCCGTATGCAATGCGACAGGGGAGACGAGATGTTTGAACGGCGGCATGTGCATCGAAGGACCGGGAGATACCTTCGACTGCAAATGTCAACCGGGTAATCGAATTCTGTGTCCACCTACTCCTATAATCTTACACCTCGTCTACCTAGGTTGGGGAGGGATTTTCTGCGACCACGAATTAGACGAATGTATGTCAGCGCCTTGCCAAAATGGTGGAGTATGCATCGATTTGCACGCGGAATATTCCTGCGCCTGTCTTTTTGGTAACTAACGTTGAGAACTCGTAAATAATAGATAGACCCTTGATCCAAATTGTAGGCTACACCGGTAAAAATTGCGAAGAAGTAATACAAATTTGCAAAAAAAATCCTTGCAAAAATGGAGCTCTGTGCTTGATTGAAGACGGCGTAAACGTATGTTATTGTGTCCCGGATTATCACGGTGACTTATGCCAGTTTCAGTACGACGAATGTCAGTTGGGACCTAGGTGAGTACCTCGATATGTCCTTGTGGGAAATTGGGTTATTATCGGGGATACAAAGATGACTTTTGCGTCTTACTTTGTCAAGACTTGATAAATGGTATAATGAGATTCTGAATATCATCTGTAGTAGAAAAATTTGCGATTTAAAGAAATTTGCAATATCTTCTTTACTAGGAAAGATATTTCGATTTTGTGAATATTTTTTCAAAGGAACCTAGTAACAGAATTAATTAATTTAAATTTTGAATTCAACTTTTAGTTTTTTCAGGACTGTCATGACCGTTTTAGATGTTTTCTTATCAACTTTCGCGATGTTTTAACCGCGAAATATGCGAGGTTATTTTTTTCCAAAATAAAGATATTTATTTATTCACCAAAATCCAAGATATAATACACTTGTGCTAACGTTTCTCCCAATCCTCGAAGCACTTCTGGTAAGCACTTTCTGGTCTAGCCTTGAGTCCTTCTAGCGTCTCACCGTTCCGAACCTCCTCTATGTTGATAGTGACTTTGTGGTAAGGACCCTTGATAATCAAAGAAAACATTAATCAAAATGTTGACATTTTATCTAAATTGACATGTTTTCCTCGGTCTTGGCCATCCATTGGGACGACTGCGGGTTCGACGTCATAACCATATACAAATGATTCCACCACCTTTTTGAGGATCATCATTAACAGCTATTGAACGATACTCCTTCGATGGGCCTTTTGCTAAAAATTATACAGTTTCGGAACAAATTTTCCTACACGTTTCATGCCCAAAACTTCGGAAAAACTTGCATACCACGAGCCAACAGACACACAGACATGTCTGTGTTATTTAAAAAATGATACCATTTTTCAGTTTTAGAAAAAGTAGATTGAAAATGTGCAAACGGCATCTTTATGTCCTTAATAATAACAGTGATTCTAGAAGCTAGAAACTCGATATTTATTGCACAAATTCCAGATGTCTCAACGGAGGTACGTGTATAGACGGTACTGATAATTTCACATGTTCTTGTCCGCCAAACTTAACTGGCGTTTTCTGCGAGTGCCTTATATTAGCAAACAATCATTTAGACTGCGATTACGTAGCACCAAGTACAACTATAAACCCGTGTCAACCAACGGTATCGACCAAACCAACCATCCAAACCATTCCTACTATTTACTCGAGTGTTTTTACCACTCCTTCGACGAGCACTTTTTTCACATCTACGGGGACCACCATCGAAGTGCCAAATGCCACAAGTACTTTCGCCGAAACGACTATGATCGGCACCACAACCGAATTATTAATTAAGTCAACAACAACTCAAGAAACTACAACTTGGGCGAAAATTCCAGTCACCACGGAATCCGAAACGACTGCCACTGAATCAAAAACCACCGTTTCCTCTTCCAATCCGACTTTCTCGACCGAGTCGTCCTCCAGCACAACGGAAATTACAAACAAAGCGTCATCTACGTTCGCGGAACCTGAAACCACCATAACAGACGAGTCTACTACGACGTTCACAATGACTGAACTGGAAATTACCTCGACGCAAGTACCTGTTTATTCGACTTCCATTACACGTTGGATCGAAACAGCTACCACCCTCTCTTCCTCAACTATTACTATCCCAACCGCTACCGCTATTACTTCTACGAATTCCGATGTCGCCGTATTCGATAACTTTACTATGTCTCCCACTTCGACGCCATGGAGTACATTCGGAACTAAACCCGAAACTTTGAGTACTACAACCGCCGTCTATACAAGTAGCACTTCCTTTGCATCTACTTCCGGTGGACCAACAACGCCGGACCAAAAGGAAACAAACAGAACTTTTCCCGAGGAAACTATAGCAACGCAACCCTCGCAAACCACATTTTTTACTAAACAACCAACCAGTACCGTAGAAACCGATATCCCCGGGTCCGCAACAACTCCAGAATCGACCACTATTACCTATTTCGATTGCACTTCGCCAAAAGGACAGTGCCAAAACGGGGGGACTTGTATTTTTGTCGAACGGGGGCACAAGGTAGGTTAAGGCAAAAATAGTTTGAGTAAAGCTTTCCGAAAGATATACCGTTTTTACGACATAATCCGGTATTTAATTTTGGTAAATTTTTATTAAGTCAATTCCACAATGACGTTCCAGAACCGTATTTCTGTACTTCGTGCATACAAATGCTGAAAGCTGATGGATTTGTGTAGATTTTCGTCGGTGAGATTCCTCGATTATTATTAGTCCGTGCAGTGTAGTACTTTAAAATGTTTATTAGAAATATAAATGAAGGAGTAAATTTAGCTACAAAACAATGTTAGAATATTTATAAAAAAAAAGTTATTCTACATTATCACTGGACTCGTTCCCCAGATTCATAATTTATTCTGGCACTAGTCGACTTTTGTAAACATTTTCTTCTTTGGCAACACATTTTTTCCAACTAGAAGCAAATATTTTTTCTACTTCGCTTCTAATTAATTCTATTGCCCCAGAACTAAATGTGTTGATGCTTCTTAAACAGGGTTTCAGCTGTCCCCATATCTGTTATATCGGATTAAATATGATGGAAGACGGACAACTTTGAATCCCCGCTCCATGCCATCTTACCATGAGGACGTTTGTAGCACAAATTCTTTTATTTCTGTCAAATATCTTGTCCTCCACTCCGAAATTCTTCTTAATTCCATTAAGACTTGTCTCTTATTGAGGGTTTTGAAATAAAAGTCAATTCTTCTTGTTCAATGTTCAAAACACTACGCAACCTCAATATCAACTTTTTCGTCTGGACAACGCAGGTGACCCCAAAATTGAATAATGTTAGTATTTGGTAAGAACTAAATTGTAATAAAATATATATGGTGCCTCAATAAAAATGGCACACTGAGTCTTGAAAAACAACTTAATAACAGTAAGTTGGAATAGAAACAACTCCAAAGCTTCGACAGCTAAGAAAATATTGTTTCTTAAAACTGACAGCATACTCCGATTTCACCAACCAGCACAAATAAACCAATAGCAAACTGCGAAACTATTCATTATAAACCAATTATCTACATAAGATTTTGTATTGCTTTCAGAGGAAAATATTTTAGAGTCATTGCGTTAGTCTTAAATTGGAAATCAGTTTAAGCTTTCCAATGTGTTTTTATATAGGAGATAAACCTATCTAATGGGCAAATTCAACTTGAATTTGAGCTCCCTCAAGTAGGGACTGTTTTAAGAAGATTTATAAAAAGCACACTAATATGAAGTAATTTAATAGTTTTATCAATTACAACTTCCCTACTCTTCAAATACAACAGTCCGCACGGCATAGTTCTAGTCGGCTAACAACTTAAATACGGCCCTGGCTTGTGGTACACCTCCTTTCCGCTTTACAACAGCCGGGTCTTAAACTTATTCCGAAGTCAAAACCATAAAAAGTTGTAAAAACGGTATATGGTTTGGAGAACTCTAACACCTCACAATCGATGTCTCCTAGTGCGTTTGCCCATTCGATTCCGAAGGAGAGTATTGCCAAATCAAACTCGGTATCAGAAGCGCCGCCTTCAATGGCAATTCGTATCTCGTACATGGTTTGCCGAACCCGCTGAACATGCGGATCGAGTTTGAAGCCAGAACCTTATCGAGTAGCGGTCTGATATTTTTGGCGACCGTCGACTCTAGCTACATGGCCTTATACATAGAAAACGGTTTTCTTATGTTTAAGTTTTCTTGCGGGTATCAGACTATGTTACTCACGGAAATAAAGGTTCCGGTAAACAATGGGATGCCAATCAACGTTAAAGCTGGGTAGGTACCCGCGATGATGATTTCGATTGGTGTTATAAGTAGATCATTCCAGTCTCGAATTAATTAAAAATGTATCGCACTGCGACGCTGTGATAAAAGTGAACGACACGCTATCAATGACGGGCGATCAAATGGCTAAAGTCAGCTCGTTTTCGTTGCAGCCTTCATGGCTGTATCTGGGCGGCATTGCTAACAGTGTCTCGAATGATGAAATACCTAATGCCGGGTTCATTGGGTGCATGTCAAAGCTGAAGGTTGCTGAACATACTTCAAATTCTACTCCACCATTGCCATTGGTGTGAGTCCAATTTCAAACGTCCTTGCTTACAGAATTTTTTCAGATATCAGGGTTGAATGTAAACATTTATAAAGACGCCAAAAATGGCTACGACATAAGCGAATGCTCTTCGCTAGCCTGTCTTTCGAATCCTTGCAAAAACGGAGCTTCCTGCACGTCCAAGGGTGAGACTTGGACGTGTCATTGTCCGAATGGGTATATTTTTAACAAAACTCTCAGAACTCAGATCTGCATTTACTCAAATTTCAGCTACCTGGGGAAAATGTGCGAGTTCTCCACCTGCGATAACAACCCCTGTTTGTTCGGAGGCACGTGCATTCCGTTTTCAAGCAGCGGGTACATATGTCTCTGTCCGTATGGAAAGCACGGCCACTTTTGCGAAAACGGTACCAGCATATGGTACGCTCAATTGATAGCCTCTTATTTTTCTTCTTTCAGATCTCAAAATTACGGAAACCTATTTTTCGTCTACCGTCAGAGGACTATCTTCGTTCGTGGCCTATCCGCTTCCGGAAGGAATATCGCAAACTTTGGAAATTAATTTTAGATTCACCCCTACCACGGTGGAACAAATTTCGTTGTTGTTATTCATCGGTCAGTCTGGGCAACACGATTTTTTTTCCGACCATTTGGCGGTTAGCTTCGTAAAAGGCTACATCATGCTGACTTGGAATATGGGCTCAGGCAATGATATTGCCAACTGTTTGGTGACTATTACTTAGAAACGTTTACAGGTCCCAGAAGGATTTTTACTTCGCAACCCATCGAGAGAGGCGCTAGGGACTATCACGTAAAGTTGGGCTATTCGGGCCGAAGAGCTTGGCTGATGGTGGAAAATCTGGGAAACGTAACCGGTAGATCTCCGGGAACTTCCGTGTCGCTAGATGTAGCACCCCTCCTCTATTTGGGTAATTACACAGGTCTACCGTGATTTTGAGGTTTGAAAGCTGTTTGCTTATTTGTATATTTTTGGGGGCCCTTCTTCCAAGGAGCGCCATATTTCTGCTCTATTACGACCTTCTTTATAGCGTTCTATATCTTAAAAATATTATTTTATTAATATTCATACCTATGACATGAATATGATTTTTAAATGACTTGATTTTTATGAAATTCAATGTGATTTCGCAACACTGGATAATAGTAGATTTCTCTGCAAAACAGTAGAGTTGGCGCAGAAGCGCTTATGCGCAGTTTGGTTGTAACGGTCTTCGTATTACCGTGTTCGCGGCTGTTTTCTTTTTTGTTGCTTATTTCTAGGGTTGTTAAACTTATGAATAAGACGACATGGTATAAACAATCTAAATGACTTCTGTGGTAGTTATGCCGTAGTAAGGCAAAAGGCAAACTTCTCTTGTGAAAAATGTTATTTTGGAGTAAAAATTGTCGACCAAGACAAGTCCTGGGCTCCTTATACGGTTTGTTCCGTTTTGCGTTGAAGCATTAAGAAACTGGGAAAAAGATAGGAAAAATGTTTAAGCTTTGATGTTCCTGTGGTATGGCGAGAGTCTAGGAATCACAGTGATAATTGTTATTTTTGTTAGTGTAATGTTCGAAGATTCAACAGAAAAAATAAGAAACAAATTGTGGATCTTGACTCTGCTATTCGACCACTTCCTCGTGGACCAGATGTACCGTAACCTACCGTTCCAAAAGAACTAAAAAATGTCATATAGTAAGAATCAGGGGACTCTAATTCCGACCTAGATAACTGAGATTTCACAGAGCCCGAAGTGGTTGACCAGAGCGAATGATTTAATTAGAGATTTGCACCTTCCAAAGAGCGCATCCACATTGTTGGCGTCCAGACTTCGTGGCAAGCATTTACTGGCAACTGGCGTCACATTAAGCTTTAACCAGGATCGAGAAAAAAAAAAGACAATATTTTACTCAGAAAGGACCGCTAGTGTATTGCAATAATAGGATTCCACTTTTTTACGGAATAATTAAATAAATTATTTTTGATATATTATTTTTTCCTTCAATATTTGCAGAGAAACCTTAGGTGATAGGAAATAAATGCATTGAATTTTTGAAATCAGCCTACCAAAATTATATCACATCAGTTTTTAAAATTAAAACATCTGTCAAAATAGTTTAATTTTGTCGACCTTTTTGTTGGTAATTTGTTTGTTAATTGTAGGTGGTCATCAAGCGAAAAATTTTTCCTCTCTTCCGCATGATCTTCCGCTTCACTCTGGTTTTTCGGGATGCATTTTCGACGTCGAAATAAAATCTGGTAGGGTAATCATTCCTCTGCAGGGAACGACCAATGCCATCGGTAGGGCGGTCGGTCAATGCGGCACCACAGAGTGTTACGAAAGGAGCTGCCAAAATGGCGGGGCTTGTCTGCACCACGGCAGCACTTTTATGTGAGTTCAGCGAAAAGAAAATTGAGTTACCACAAAGTTACGCGATTTAATGAAAAATAAAAAAAACACAAGCAAAATTAAACTATGAAATGGTCCAGGAAGGAAGTGGAGGACAATTGAAACACGAACGAATCCGGTCGCCGAGAATATCAAACCACTTCCTTGATATGCCAATTTGTTTCATTTATTTTTATGTAATTAGTCCAAGCACCATTTTAAATTGACGTTTTCTAGTGGAGTAATGGTGGAATCGCTTATTTTTTTGTCAGTTTATTGTTATTACATACATTGTATATAGGGTATTTCGCGGTTAATGGTACCTTACACGTTTACGGCGAACCATACATTGGATTATTATGATAATTTGGTTAGATCCATAAACGGCGATGCTCTATCGATCTAAAATATTTTTAACGCTGCGCCGTTGCCGCTTCTTCGAAAAAGTAGCATCAACATTGAAATTTTGACACCACATTATTGCTTTTTCCGATTTACTAATTCTACACTAAAATGATTGTTTTTCAAAAATACATTTCTTCAGTGATTTCCCAGAAATTAGTTATTTCCTTTATTTTTCGACCATTTTTTTTATTCTACGACACTGGAGTCAGTAGAAAGATAAAACTTTCGACGGAGCAATACCAATATTAGTGGTCAAAACTGATATTTGTCTGCTGTATACAAAAATGGTTAAAAGCACATTTTTTAAAATAGAGCAAAGATGAATGATGTGTCATATCGCTAAACCAAAAACGTTTGGTTTCTGAAATGCCGTCTTATGTTAAATAATTCATTTTCCGTTTGATAGTTTAATAACGATTTACTTATTTAGTGTCGATTTTGTCTATAAAATCGGTTCGAAATGGAAGGAAACCAGTGTTCAGTTACTCTTTTAATGAATTTGTCTGTTATGCATGGCCAATGCAATCACCATATAGCCAGAACATGCAGAAAATTCTAAACACTAGACGCGTGATTTTAACCCAACCCATAGGTAAAAATCTAATGACGTGAGATCGAGCGATCTTGCTGGCCAATTCCACTTCCCCAAACGTAGACACCAATGGTCATTAAATAATGCATATAATTCTCTTCACACCTCTTGAATGCAGTGTTCCGGTGCCTCATCTAGTTGGTACCAAGGGGTCCGAAGCTCCTGAATGCTCAGATTCTCGAGAAAATCATTTACTTAATATTTTTTTATTTTATTATCATTCATTTAATTTATTATTTAATATTTAACTTACTTCATTATTTTTTAACAAGCAAAAGATTGTCGACAGACCAAAACCAAACGATTTAGGTATAGGGACGTGATATATCTTTCGAAATGGAATTCAATTATCTATTAGAATTTGTAATAATATACACAGAGTGTTCCAGTGTGGTATGCAAATCATTATTTTTGACCGATCCTGCATAATGTAGAACTAACTTTGACATTAAGAAATTCTGTTCTATACCCTGCCAAAATTTTAACTCACTACTGGCTCCAGTGTCGTAGTAATAAAAATTGAATTGAAGCTATAATTTTTCAAAGTTCCACCCAACAGCAACCGACGCAGGAAGAATCGAGAAGTTTTGTAGATAATATTATTTGAAGCTATGTTTTGCTTTGAAAAATCTTCCGTAAACGACCAAGGTGCGATCCACTATAAGGAACTATTTTATTATTTCAGAAATGTTCTAGAAAAAACTTAAAAGAAAATGTTAAAAACTCAGATGACAAACAAACTTACCTAAATTGATTACCACCTTAATCAACTTAAATTAAGTTTGGAAATTCAATTCAAATTCATAATAATAGTAGTATTATACCTTGCATACCATCAACCACAATTGCTATTGTTCAGCAAATGTGGTTATTGCCACACATGTTTCCATCAATCATTTAAGTAAGAATTTAACTTTAAATTTAATCTGTATATGCAAAAAACAATCATCATTTACTGATTAACATACAAAAAAATCTTCAGTATTAAGGCAAATATAATTATCTGAATATTTCATTCGACTATTGAATTGGATAGGCCCGCTGGCTTTGGCATAACCATTTGAAACCTTGAAACGATTTTAAAATTAAATGATTGAAAATAGATCAATACAACAGGTTTCGATGATATAAATATGCTTCACCTTTTAGGTGTCTGTGCCAAGATAATTGGTATGGCCCACTGTGTACGTCCAGATATAACTTGTGCGATAAGAACCGTACGAAATGTTCTGGACGTTCCAGATGCGTACCGCTGTTTTACGACTACGAATGCGACTGTCCCCTTGGAAAGACCGGAAAATACTGCCAGAAAGGTGGGTGTCATATGTTGGTTTCGGAAAAAGTGACGCACTTAAATTTTAAATTTTAACTCTCCTATAGATTGAAATGAGCTTCTTTTACAATTTTGTTCTTTTTTAAAATAAAATTTACAGAATTAGAGTTATATTTAGCTATTATCGAATTATGATGAATTGAAACTGGTCATAAATCAAATGCGCCAATTTTCCTGGAACTAAATGTACTATAGAGAAAAAAACAGTAATTTAATTTCAAGTTTTGACTCGTTACTTCTGTAGATGACAATTTTACGGATATCAGCTTTCCGGGACGAAGGTCATATTTATCATTACATCCATTAGAAATGGACAGCTCGAAATTAAATATCGAACTTCACATAAGAGCACTAAACGATCATGGCCTAATTTTATTCATGGGCAAGAAGGATTCGACCTATGTCTGCCTATCCTTGCTGGACGGACTACTCGAATTAAAAGTTCATTCAGGTACAGATTGGAGGGAATGTTAAAATTCAGCTTCCTGGATGAATTTTGTTAGGTAACAGCGGACTTAATACAAAAGACCAGTTAACAGTAAGAAGTTCAAAGCTGCTAATAAAAGGGATTTGGTATGGTATTCAGTTTGGAATATTCGGAAGAAAAGTTTACTTGCAAGTAGATCACGTCATTAACGTTGGAGTAATGGATCACGGATTCCTTCTAAGCATGTCAAAGGAAACCATATTTTTAGGCAAAATTTACATAACCTTTTTGTTACCTATTTAAATGTTACGAGAGGCTTATTTTAGGTGGACTTCCAGACATGTCGGAGTTACCGCTTTCGGCGACTTCCAGCTATCCGGTTCCCTACACCGGGTGTTTAAGGAACCTGGCGATTAACGAGCAAAAATTCCCTCTAATTGCTGAGAATATTCAACACGCCCAAAATGTTAAGGACTGCGATGGTACGCCGTGCGGTGGAGAAGTCTGTCAAAACGGGGGAACATGCTGGTACGAATGGAACTCAACCGAGTGCAACTTTTTTGTCTTGCTAAACGAATTTTGCTAAAGGTTGGACTCATTTCTCAAACCTCGTTGCGCATGCGTCGAGCCTTATTCTGGGGAAAAATGCGAAATTATTCCTGAATGCAGCAACGCCACTTGCCAAAACCAAGGTCGCTGTCAAAACGCGGCATGCTCGTGTAGGGTCGGATTTGGGGGTGCCTTTTGCGAAACAGAAATAGAGGTAAACATTATTAAACAGACATTATGTTAATGGTAATAATAATAATAATAATAATAATAATAATAATAATAATATGCTTATTCCGTACACAACGACAAATTTAAATTAAAAATAATAAATCAACAGTGAAAATTTTCTCTAAAACCCTTAAGTTGTTTGGGATCACATTTCATAAATTTACCCTGCAACATATTGCAGAAACTGACGTTAACAAAGGAATTTCTATATAATTTGTATAAAATACAAAGTCTAAGCTACATAATATATATTTTTTTTGGATATTTTCCCTGTTTTTGTTTTTCATTATTTTTTATAAAAATTTTGGATTCCTCCAGCGTTTTTATCGAGTCGAACTAGCTAACGTTTCGCCAATCATCCTGTTGGCTTCTTCAGAGCTTGACTGAAACTGCCTCGGATTTTACTCTCTTCCTGTTTTTATATTGTTTGAGGGGGGCGGAGCTAAATGAGGGGCATAAATACCGTCTCGGATGACTGATTCCCATGTTGGTGAAAGGTAACCTGAGTCGCGGTTAAGATTGTTACGTTGCTTATAAAACTCTATAGACTCTCGGATTTTAATAAATAACATTTTGTCCGGTTTCATGAGTGTGTTCGGCAACAGCTGACGAGTTTATTTGTCTTAGTCGTAAGGCTCTTTAGTGTTCTTTGAGCCTAGTTGATATTTTTCGTCCGGTCTCTCGAATGTATTCTTTGTCGCATATGCCTGGAGTGCTGTACACTCCTGGCAACTCAAGTGGAATTTTGTTTTTGACTGATCGAAGATGTTGAGAGATTTTTGGACAAGTGGTAAATCTGGTTTTGAAGCTATATTTTTTTAGAACTTTTGATACCCGACGAAAAACATCAACTAGGTTTAGAGAATATGAAAGAGCCTTAAGACTAAGAGAAATAAACACAACAGCAGTTGCCGAACACAATCACGAAACGACGAAAAATCGGAGAGTCTATAGAAATCTATAAGCAACCTAATAATCTTAACCGCGACCGCGAGGTCATCCGAGACAATGTTGAACAGAGTAAAATGGGAGCCAGTTTCAGTCAAGCTCTGAAGAAGCCAATAGTATGATTGGCGAAACGTAAGCTAGTTCGATAAAAACCGAAGCAGAGGAATCCAGAAGTATTACAGTATTACAGTAGCCTGTGGAAGTTTCTTTGAAAAATTTTAAAAAATATTTATTGTATACATTTCTTACTCATATTTCGTTTGCTTTTTGTTCTTTATGCATTCATAATTATTAAGTTGTTTGTTGCTTCGAGGTTTCAATTTTTTGAGATGTTTTTTAAAAGCACTTAATTAAAATCATGATTCTGTGCCTTAAATCCTCATCTAGGAAATTATGAAAATGGGCCTGCAAAAATGTATAAGATCTTTGTCTTACTTGTTTTTCACTTTCTCTATTTCTTGTATTGTAAGAATGAGTTAAATTTTATATTTCGGTTTTGTTTTTGAATATATTTAAAACAGTTGTTTTAAAAAATAACTTCCCTACCATAAAACATTTCGACTCACTAAACACTTGTACAGAAAAATAATTTCTATTTTTGCATAATTTTCAATTTTTTAAGATGCAGATCCAGTACTCCACCGCATCCTAAAATTCCATAATGTATACCCGAGGGCACCAATGCAAAGTAATAAACACTTGGTATTTATTAAGATTTCTACAACATTTGAATTTGTAAATCAGTGGTCTTAGGTTGTTTACTACTGTTTGTAATTGATTTTTCTATTTTAATTGTGTATCCATTGTTATTCCCAAGTACCTTATTTTTTCTGTCGGCTTTATTGAATGACGTTCATTGCTTATTTCACGAAAGTGGCATAAAAACTGTTTTTTCTTTATTCATGTTTTTACTCAAGTCATTTTGCACCTTGATTTTAAGATCATCCCAAGAATCATCTTTGTATAGGAAGACTTGGTCGTCCGCAAAACCAAGAATGGTCCCTGACGTGTTTACATGGTACAAATTATTTAGGTAAAGAATGAATAATACTGGCCCTAAAACAGATCCATGGGGGACGCCATAGGAAATGTTCTTAATATTATTCATTTTTGTTTGCTGCATTATTTATGCTTTAAATTGTTTTCAGAGTCCTGCAACTGTGTCAAAGGCCTTGGAAAGATCGACAAACCCCACATTATTTTCTAGAGAGCGGTAAATTTGTGAAGTTAAAGAGGCTATTTTTTTGTATAGTTTGTTTTCCTGTAGGAACTGGACTAATCACTCTTTAAGACCTTCTCAAAAATTTTTGTTTCGTTACTTATTAGTGATACTCGTAGATAGTTTTCTGGGGTGATTTTGTCGCCCTTTTTAGATAGTGGTTTTACAACAGAGATTTTAAATTCTTCAGGAAAGTTTCCTGTTGCAAAAATTGTGTTTATCAATCGGTTGTAGCATTTCCGTTCTGATGTTATCAGAACCTGGTGATTTTTTTAAATTTAGCGTGTCTATAGTTTGTATTATCTCTACCGATGTGGTATTTTCTGATTGACATTGTTTTGTTGTTTTCAGTTTATTAAATTTACAATTCTGTGGATTTCTAATATTTTTTGCAAGTTTTTCACGTTTGAGACATAGTTGTGAAAAGTTTCCACCATTTGAAAATTATTTTTTGTTGTTACGTGCTCGGCATTTTTTATTTGCATTATTACGTTTGCTCTATTTTTCTTGTTCATTGTATTTACTCTATCCCAGAGTGCTTTAACGTTTCCTCCATTTTCTGTTATTTCTTGTCGATAATAATTGCTTTTTGTTGTCTATATAACTCGGTTTAAGTAAGATAAAATACAATCTTTTTTAAATGATGCTACTTTTTAATTGTGTTAATATACATGAGACAAAATTTTAAACAAAAATTCTTGAGGACATACAAAATATTTTTTATCATCTTTGTTATTCAACATTTTTTTTCTTTTGGCAATTAAATCTAGTTAGGTCATTTATGAAGTAACTTAACTCCTAAAGATTCACAAAGTCGTGAAGTGGCACTCTCCTTTTTCTCATGAAAGAATTCGAGACGAAGGGTCGTAAATCCCAATCCCAGTTTTTTACCTGTGCGATACATACCATGTATGCTTATGGCTTCCGGTTATTGAGTTTAATAATAATACTCCATAATCACAGAATACATAATATTTTTGTTAAATTTAAGGTAAAAGTCCCTTCGTTTTCCGGACGCAGTTATCTTCTGGTGAAAAAACTCGCAGAAAAGAAAAGGAACATAAGGAATGGGGATATTGAGAAATTACATTTAAATTTTACCACTGCCAAAAGCGATGGACTACTGTTGTGGGCGGATACGGTAAAAACATTTTTTCCTAAATCAAACAAATATCTACGTATACCGCACATAATGTATTTATAATGTATTGTATTCGTATGATTTTTGAGAACTTTTGAACATTGCAAATGGTTTTCAGGGAAATTTACCAAACAATTTAACAAACTGTGACAAATCTTAGCATTTGCTGACCAGCACGTACTGTTAAAACTTTGAAACATATTAAGCATTTTTAATTCACCACGAGCGGACTAAGTGTTGCACCTAAATGCTTTTATTTTTAATATCCTGTATAATGACGAATTTAAACAATATTTCTGGTTTCCATGATCATTAAACTAAAAATAAAATGAAGGTGATTTCAAACTAAAAGCTAATGACATAAACTCATACGTTTTTCTCAAAAATGGAGTGAAATGCGGAAATCATGGAAAGAATTGCTAGAATTGCTATAATAGAAGATAAACTTTGCAGCAAAGATTCTAGTTATTGTAGTTTTCAAAACTAAAGAAAATATACGTGTTTCACAGTCATTGTTTTAAGAAGTTCTTATTTATTTATATATTATAGTAATCAACAGGATAACAAATTACAATCAATGAACAATTAGCAAACAAAAAAAAAAGTGCACATGCATAAAGCACAGATACTAAACTATTAATTTAACATGCTACTTCTGAGTAAATAATATAAGTTTTAAAATATTAGCAAATAGAGTAATGTTAGACTGTATTTGAAATTATGGTTCTAAAGTTGCAAAAACGAACTTGAAAAATTGCCACACCATGCAGTTCACTATTTATTAAGTTACAATATAATATTTTCATCGCAGATTAGTATTAGCTCTAGAAAGTTATTATTATATTAACTCACTACTTAAAACAGTCAATTCTGCCCCAAACCAGTCTATACAAAAATGTTGCTTCAGCAATTTTTCCTCTCTCTTGATACTAAGCGACGGCAAGTTACAAACCCAGCGATCTTGACGACTAAGCATTTTGACTAATGGAGAAAAGAAATAAATTCCATAAAGTTGTCAATCAAATCCATGGAACATTTGGAAAAATTTACAGTTGATATTGTTTATTACTATCCACACAATTTTTTGCTATTTCCCAAAGCCTATTGTGAATTATTTGTTATATAGCGTGACTATTAAACATGGTTCGGATACATAATTAATGAAATTATCTTCATTCTCGTTTACATGTTATAAGGCAGGATACATTTCATTATGCTTTCAGCATATTCTTGCTATTATTTGGGCACGTAAATAATAAACAAATTCATCAAAACTTTGAGTAGTTCCCCTTTTATTATGACCTTGTATATCCATTAACTGCTAAATTTTCTGAACATTCATTTGAATGGATCGACAATTTAATGCCTACCTAATGCAAATATAACAATTTTTAACGAAATTTTGTTGTTACTATTAATTCTATGTATGTTTTTAGGGTGAGAGCTTTTTGGGCATGGGCATTGAAAGAAGTTTTATCAAACTTGCACACGGCTCCAATCAGATCGACCACGAAGTTATCGAAATTCCTTCCTATTACAAAATTTCCGACGGTCTTTGGCACAGCATTCAGCTCGTTTTCGATCCGCCATCGCTAAAATTTGACGGCAGACCGTTAAATATGCCTATTAAATACAAAGATTCTTTGAAAAGGTTGAACCTGTCGGACGAAGGAATATTTTACATTGGCGGATATCCAGCGAATCACGCATTACGCGAAGAGCAGAGTAGATATTTTCCTCTCGGGTTTGAGGGATGCGTCGACGGGTTCGTCGTGAACAGTGACAAACCCATTCGCGACTTCAGATCTTACGAAGGATTTAACGTTAACGTTTGTAAAATTTTTTAATGTGTGAATCAAGTTCTCCGCCATTAAAGAGATATTTTCAAAATGCCAAAGATGAAATTCTAAAGTAACTAAGTTTCTTTATTTGGTAGCGAGTTGGCAAAGTTTGACTAACGATATACCGTTTTTACGACATAATCCAGTATTTAAGTTTAGTAAATTTCTATGAATGTCTACCACAGGCCTACCTTGCTTGGGTTTCTTTACGCAATTCCACATTAACGTTCCAGAATCGTACTTGGCTACTTCGTGCATACAAATACATTCAACAAAATTGAATAATGTTAGTATTTGGAAAGAAATAAATTGTAATATGTAATATGTATATGGTAACTCAATAAATATGGCACACTGAGTCTTGAAAAACAATTGAATAACAGTAAGTTGGTAATAATTAATTACAAAGACAAGACGGAATAGAGCTACCTCAAATTTTCGGAAGATTTATAAAGAGCAGACTAATATGAATTAATGTAACAGTTTAATCAAAGAAAATTTCCCTAACCTTAAAATGCAACAGTCCGCACAACAGAGTTCTTGTCGGCTAACACGGAGCTGGCTTGTAGTACACCTGCTGAATGTCCTTTCCGCTTTACAACAGGGGGTCTTAAACTCATTCCGAAGTCAAAACCATAAAAGGTTGTAAAAACGGTACATCTTTGGGCGAACTTTACTAGTGAACCCGACCTAAACTGGAACGGAAACGACGTGATAGTAAAGTGAAGGCAAATTTTACAATAGAAAAAGTCTTTTCTAACATTTTAACATTACCACGACAAGATTATGATCGTCGAAAATATTTTACACCCACTTCAAAAATTAAAACGATATAGTAAAGAACCAGCAAACAGGTAGAAAAATCCGCATTACTACCCGTCTCTCTCTAAATTTAGATCGAGTTCACTGGTTGCTAGTTTTTTTTTATTTATTTTTCGCACCACCTCCGTAGTAAGTCTCTAGAATGAGGTTTAACCAACAGAAATTTATATTTAACGTAAATTTTAGAAGTGGAAACTATTTACAAATAGAAGCGCAATATAGAGTACTTATAGGTGTAAGTGTGAGTCGAGAATATTGTTTCCGTTCCAATGTTAACACTAGGCTTGGCGAAACAGACTGATTAAATGGAAAACGTACCAATGCAATACTAGAAAAATACAAGATGGTCTATTATAATGCGGGAAAAAATCAGCATGGGATTTCCTCCTCAAAAATAACTTCCAAATTTTATTTTTTTTTCCAATATCAAACATCAATCCAAATAAAACCTCTAACTCCACGTAGGGTGGGTCCCTGGGTACCTTTTCTTTTGTACTAAATTTTTTTAATAATGCTTGTATATTTTTTTCCATGACGTACATTTCCCAGCTTCATCTATAGGATATTTACCATGATAATACCAAGTACCATGATAATGTGACAACTAACTATTAGAACGTTCTCGACCGGTAGTTTCGTTTTTTGCACTGCAAACAGCACTTAATATTGTTATAGTCAATGTGTATACCTTATTTGTTATCTAGTTCGTATAATTTATTTAATTTTCTTAGCTGCAAGGTTGCGTATGCTGCTTGAGATGATTTATTAATAAAACAATTAAAAAATTTCGTCCTTTTTGTTATAACATAATGACCAACACATTTTATAAGTCCGAATTGTTCGATAAATGTATACTATAAGTAAAAAAAATATCAATGGGAATGAAATTGGTAAAATGGTTTTATTTAAATTACCTTTCTATGGTTAAAATCTTATTTCCGCCCCGCGGTAGCAGAACAAGTTAGCAGGAATGTATAGTAAAAATAAAGCAAATATCCTCTATAGATTTAGATTTTACAAAAAATTCTGGAACTTTTTACCCTGAGCTATTTTGGAAATAGAAAATACGAAAAAAAAAGTAAAGTCGACATGTGAAATGATTGAAAACCTCTTGATCAATAACACAAGCCTACTTTGATGTTTGAAAGCTTATTGTAGATTTATGGGCGCCCTTTTGTTTATGGCGCTCTATTCTCAATAATTCTTCCTATGACATGAATCTGTTTGTTGCATCTTAGGCATGATTTTTAAATGAATTCATATCTATGAAATTTGGCAACACTAGATTTCTCTGCAAAGCAACAGAGTTGGCGCAGAAGCGTCAATACAGTGTTCTAACCTGCTTATGCGCAGTTTGGTTGTATTGGTCGTCGTGCTGCTGTGCTCGCGGCTGTTGTCTTCTTTGTTGCCTACTTCTAGTATTTTAGAACGTATAATTATGGAAAGACGACATTGTGTGCGCAATCCAAATAACTTTTGTTGTATCTGTGGGAGCTATGTCGTAGTAAAGTAAAGGCAAAGTATAACTTCTTTTGTGAAAAATGTATGCCACGTTTATTTTGGTGTAAAATTGGCGACCAAGACCTAGACTTCTCATGATGTTTGTTCCATTCGCTTTGAAGTATTAAGAAACTGGCAAAAAGGTAGGAAGAAAAGTTTTTGTGTTCCTATGATATGGCGAGAGCCTAGGCATCGCAGAGATGGTTGTTATTTATGTTTGTCTAATGTTCAAAGATTCCACAGAAAAAATAAGAAACAAATTGTGTATACGATGCTATTCGACCAGTACCACCCCAAAAGAACTATAAAACGTCATATTGTCAGAATCAGGGGAATCTAATTCCTACCAAGGTGTCTCAGATTTCACACTAGATTTCAGAGAACCTGAAGTGTTTAACCAGAGCAAATTAAACGATTTAATTAGAGATTGGCACCTTCCAAAGGATGCATCCAAATTGTTAGCGTCCAGACTTTGTGACAGCATTTACTGGCACCTGGCGTCACATCAAGTTCTTACTGGGATCGCGAAAAAAAGTTGTGTCAATATTTTACTCAGGAAGGAACCGCTAGTGTATAAAAATAGAAAATGTGCGATATATAAAAGAAGAATGGCGCCTGCTTATTGACTCAAGTAAGCGTAGTTTTAAAGGCGTTTTATTGCACAATGGTAACGAACTGGCCTCGGTTCCCGTTGCACATTCGGTACATTTAAACTTATTTTGAAGAAAATAAACTACCCAAAAGGTCAATGAATGCTTTGTGGTGACTTTAAAGTACTGTGCATGTCCTAGGACAACAGAGGAGTTACGCTTTATTTGGATAGTCGGGCAAGAGGTAGACATTGGACTCTAATAGTAGCAAAAATTTATAGATAGCTTAGTTGGCCCCAAAAAAGTTTTACTGCATCCTCTTCATTTCAAACTTAGGTTTATGAAGCAGTTTGTTCATGCCCTAAACAAAAATGGGCAGCACAAATATTTGTGCCAGAAATTTTCAGCCATATCTGATTCCAAGATAAAAGAAGGTATTTTTGTTGGGCAGCAGATAGGACATTACGCAAAGACAAGGAAACACAATGGCCAATGTCGAGAAAAACGCCTGGATTCCATTTAAAGAAGTTATTGATAAGTCTCTTGGGAACTCTAAGGGTGAAAACTACGAAAGTATTGTTCAAAATATGTTACAACACTTTCATCTTCTATGTTGGAATATGAGTTCAAAAGTGCATTTCCTGACATTAAGGAAATGGAACTGCGATACCAAGGCAGGTGGAGCATAACGATGATGGCGGAGTACTGCCAGATGTTAAAACGGGATATGACTTAAAAACGCACACCCGAATATAAGGCATCTTTCTGGCAAAAGGACGAAGGTTTCACTCAAAATAGTCTGAGTAAAATTTTGTGTTCACTTTTTTTAACCAGGATTCCACTTTTTTTACTGAATAATAAAATAAAATATTTTATCTACAACCATTTAATAATAGACGCATAATACTTCTGACAGTGAGAGTATTATGCTACGCATAATACAACAAGTGTAATTATATCATAAAAAAACAAGTGTAATTATATCATAAAACAACAAGTGTAATAAAATATTCTGGAATTCTTAATAATCCGGGCTTCAATTAATCGGCGCAGAATTCACACATTTCATTTATTATTTTTATGAAAATTTACTATAAAGTTACCCATATTAAAGTCATACACACGTTACCAATTCAATTCTATTATTCAAAAACAGTTCAAAAAATACAAACCAATATGACAATAATTAAAAAGAATTAGTAGGCCGTGCAGGCTAAATCTGACAGCGCGCAGCGGGTATCCATAGCGACAGCTTACCCGACGCGACGCTCATCGTGAATACAAACATTTTCTTTCATGAAATAATAATTGTAAAGTAAATAATATTCATATAGAGAAGCTTTAAAATTTCGCCTTGCAATTAAAACATAAGATTTAATAAAAATGGATTCTGAAAACGAAGTACTAACACCCCCGGAAATTCGAGCGGCAGCGGAAGCTGCGTCTCTGGATTTACTTCCCAAGAAATCAAGAAACAATTATGAAATTGCCTACAACAATTTCATGGATTGGCGATCAAGAAACAAGGCCACCTCCTTCTCTGAAGATACATTATTAGTGTATTTCAAAGAATTGGCTAAAAAGTATAAGTCGTCCTCCTTGTGGACGTTTTATTCCATGCTGAAAAGCACACTTTATATTAAACACAATGTCAAGATCGACCACTACGCGAAGCTACATGCTTTATTAAAAAGACAATCAGAAGGCTATCAACCCAAAAAATCTAAGGCATTTACCGGACAGGAAATAAATAAATTTATTTATGAAGCTCCTGATACAAAATATTTGGCTACAAAAGTAAGGAATGATAAGACGTTACATACCTACGGTATTTACCAAGAGGTGTTAATTTTTTAGGTTGCATTAATTATGGGAGTGATGGGTGCATGCCGCTCAAATGAACTACATGCAATGAAAATACAACACGTTACATTTTATGAAGGTTGCACTAGAGTAATAGTTCCCGTTACGAAGACCAAGATCCCTAGGAATTTTACTATTACTGAGAAGTTCCATGATATTGTTAAAAAATATGCAAATCTGAGACTGCCAAATGCATCAGATTCTTTTTTTATGAATTTTCAAAATGGAAAATGCACAAAACAAGTTATCGGCATTAACAAGTTTGCCAAAATGGGCAGAGAAATTGCAAGTTTCTTACAAATCAAAAACCCAGAAAGATATACCGGGCACTGTCTACGACGATCTTCAGCCACATTGTATGTCGACGCAGGGGCAAGTATGACAGCTCTGAAGCGCCACGGAGGCTGGAAGTCGGCTTCTGTAGCTGAAGGCTATATTGCAGACTCGCAGAAGAACAAGACCGATGCAGCTACTAAAATATTAAGTCAAATCAACCCTAATTGTAATATTAATAACAGTACTTTTGTTTCTACCCCCTCACAATATCCAGGTATGTCTACTATTACGAGCGAATCTTCTCATAACACTTTTTCGATTAGTAAAGACACCACGGACATTAGTATTGGTACTACACCAACTACGATGAATTTCAATAACTGCCCTAATATAACAATCAATTTTATGAAATAGACAGAGTAATACATAATGATCCTATTAAGCGTCAATTTAAAAATAATTGTGTGCTGAAGTGTAAATGTTAATTAAATATTATTAAACTTATTAAATGTTCAATCCAGGACTTTCATTGAATTTATTCCTTATTACATCACAACTCATAACACATAAACATATAACATAAACAGCATACATAAACAGTAACCAGTGTTGATATTGAGTGAATGGTAGAATCTAAAAATGTATGATATTATGTTCCATTTCATATAAAGCAAGTTAACATCCACTTCCGGCCTAACCGGAAGTGCCACCATCTTGAGAATATTCTAGCTGAATTGCTCTGCCATCAGCATTAGCTTCCTACCGAATTTTCAGGTTTCTCCCATGTATAGTTTTTTTTCACAATAAAATGACACATTTCAATTCCGGTGAGGTACCCTATATAAGTGGATGGTTGTAGATAAAGTATAGTATTTGACTCGAGTATTATGGACCATAATAAACTCAGATGATTATAACACTCGCCGCAAGCGGCTCGTTTTATAAATCATCCTCGTTTATTATGGCCTTCATAATACGCTCGTTAAATAATATACTATTAGAAATAATCTTTTTTTTTAATATTTGCAAAAAAAAACATCTGTCAAAAAGTTTGATTTTGTAGACCTGTGTAATTTGCAGCAACTTCTTACCGAATAAACTGTAACAAAAGTTAAGTTCACCGTTGGATATTGTGTTATACGGCACTCTGTACACATTCAAACATTAACAATTATCACCAATTTATGAAAAACTATCCTTATTTATGTAGCACTTATAGTTTTAATCTCTGGAGAGTGCATGGGGGAGGTGCCAGAGTTAGGAGTGTGTTAATGAGACGGGTTCTCGGAGAGTTCTGTCTAAAATAGTCCTTTGTGGTCTTTCACTTTCGCTATTATTAACTCCCTATCAACCACTTCCACATTTTTTGAAGTACGGAATTCTAAAGTTCAAATTGGATGCTACGGCCACTTTTCTATGGTCGCGGCGATTGTGATCTGATATTATTCTACTGCGGTGTGAGTGTATATATCTGTGGTCAGTGGCCTGTGGTAATTAGTAATCACGACTTTATAACTTACATTTGAAATTTGACAACTTTGATGTTGATTGAAATGGATAAGGATTATGCAACCGCATATTGCCGATCAGAAAATAGAAAGTGCGTTATTTGCTTATTTTCTTCTATTTAACAAAATTATGTTTACAGTCAAAAAGAAGTAAAAAACACAGGATACCTCTGAATTCGTGCAACGTAGATAACGTTATCAACCACAATGTATTTTAAATAAATTCGCCACAAGTTTAATGAAGGTTCCACGCGACACAAACCAATACATATTTATCAGGTCATTTAATTTCATTCCTTTGAAGTACTCGGGTTCCAAATTATATAACCCCACATTATTTCCATTACAAATATGGACCAGAACAGGAATTCCAAAGTTAGAGTTGGATCCAGGAAAAGTGAGGTAAGTTATTATTTATTAGTAAGTATGTATCAATAATGGTTATTACAATTTTTTTCAGCTTGCACTTGTTCAAACTAAGCATGTGATATCTCTTTTAAAAGAATTGAATCCTGAGAAAGAGTTTGAAATAGGTTTGTGTTTTAAACAGCATTAGTTGTAAATTCATTTTTGAATTTGGATTTTAGTTTCAATGAGTACCTTAGGGGATAAAATTTTGGATATATCGTTGCCGAAGATAGGAGAAAAATCTCTCTTTACAAAAGAACTAGAAACTGCCCTTGCGACTGGTGGTGTAGATTTTGTTGTTCACTCCCTTAAAGATTTACCCACTGTGTTACCTAGTGGAATGGCAATTGGAGCTGTCCTAATAAGGTTTGGCAGATACTGTCGTCAACATAGTCATTGATGTATGAAATAGAAAAATTTATTTTTTAGAGAAGATCCTCGAGATGCTCTTGTCTTACAAAAAGATATACTCCACCATACCTTACAGACTCTACCAGCAGGTAGCATACTTGGTACATCTAGTTTGAGAAGAACTGCCCAGTTGGCTAGGAAGTATCCTCATTTGAAAGTAGAAAGTATTAGAGGAAATTTGAATACTCGTTTAAAGAAGTTGGATGATCTAGGCAAATACCATGCTATTATTCTGGCAGCTGCAGGTCTAATCAGAATTGGGTGGAAAAACAGGATATCAAAGGTACCATTTAGCAATAGATTCATTGAAATACTAGTTAGTTTCTGGACAAACAATTAGTACCCATGTAATTGATATATTTTTTCTACAATTTATGATTGTTATCAACAATTGACATTTAAAATAATATTGTTCTAGAATCATATATGTTTTGGAAGACTTAAAATTATTTTTTTCTATGCAAATTTTAACTGGATTTTAAAATGCTTATTGAATAAACAAAACGGAATAACATTGTATCTATTTGTGAACACACCACTAATCCCTTATGCAAATATTTAAGTGCTTACTTGGTGTATCATTTTTTTCAATATTCTTTTATTTTCATTATCTTAGATGTGTTGAAATTGCGCAAATATTTTAATCCGTTTTTTGCTTCAATACAACTCAAATATTTGTATCAAAGAAGTGCATTGTGATAAAGTAGTGACTCAACAAACTTTAGAACTAAAAAAATTTTCTTGTAATGATTTCATTATTTATTACTAACCAAATACTTGTATATATTTTTTACAATTCCAGTATAAACCTTGAAATGAAAAATGTCTATAAATTAATTTGGATTATGGTTTATAGGTAGTCTTATCTTTTATAGAAATACCAAAGTACTATTTTCTGTCACAGTTTTTAGACACAGACGACATTATGTATGCAGTGGGTCAGGGTGCCTTAGCAATCGAGTGCCGCGAAAATGATGAAACCATCCTAAAACTTTTAGAACCCCTGTATGACCTGCAAACAGCTTTACGCGTTATCGCTGAACGCAGTTTTCTTAAAACCTTGGGTGGAGGATGTAGCGCACCCGTGGCAGTTTCTTCCAATCTTCAGTTAGTCAAAAATAAACTTGTAGAAGTTACTTTGCGTGGGGCGGTTTGGTCTTTAGACGGAAAGGAAGAGATTGTGGAAGAAGATAGGATTACTTTTGAAGTTCTTACGGACATAAGGTGCTCTTCGTGTCCATATAATAACGATGGGGGCATCGCTATTGAAGATATAGGTAGTTTGTTAATAATTTATCTTCTGATCTCTGGTGTTACATTTATTTCATTTCAGAATGTTGTGCCAAATGTCCAATGAATCCCAGTTTGGAACCTGCTACAAAAAAGAAAAAGATAGAAATCCCTGATGAGCTTTTGGCAAATGATCCCCATGAAAAGTGTCCTATTCCATTACCAATTGGTTCTGAATTCATGGGGCAGTGTCCATATTTAGATGGCGAATTAACTGATATTTCCAACCAATATGGACTGAAGAATGATTTTATGGGTCCAAGCAATGCTAATGAATGCCCTTACTTGGAACAGCAAAAATTGCTACAGCATTTACACACTAAGATAGAAAAATCCAGTGAAGCGTCAGCAGGGATACAGGAAAATGAAAATCTCTTTGCTGGTTTAGTGCAGCACAAGGACATAACCAAACATAATTTGGAAAAGGCCAGGAAGTTAGGTGAAAGAATTGCGAGAAATTTGATGGAAAAAGGTGCAAGCGATGTCATGACCAAAGCTCAAGCCATTGTGCACAGTCAACAAAATGAAATAATCAAATCAAATTGATTTTATATTTTAGGGTTTTCAGGTTTTGGATTATTTTGTCTCGCATTAGGTAATATAATTATAGAACCAATTGAAATATTCTTGTTCTCTCTCTTTTTTTATAAATAATAGGTTTTTTATTATAGAATATATATGTATATTTGTTGAACTTGGACTGGTGTAGTATAAATAAAGTTATTGTTAAACTGATTTCCACTGTGTTAAATTTGACAGCATCATATCCTGACAGAATTTTTTCAAACCCTTGTAAGCATTATATTTTTTCAAAGTGCTTTTAATTATAAAACATTCAATGCCAAGTTATTTATATTATTAATAACAGACAGTAAAACCCTGATTGCGGTTGTTATTCAGGGTATATCTGGATTCCTGCAAACATACAATATTACCATTTATTTTAATTTTAATGGCTTCAATATTCAATACCACAGACCAAACCAAAAAGCAGCCGCAACTAAATAAAAAAGTTCTCCAACCTATTTAACCTAAATAATCTCAGATAAATTTGACATTTCTTTACCTTGCTCATAAGTTTTTGCATCGAATGACGTACCATTGTCAAAAGTAGCGTATGATCCGGACCACTGTTCTCTGATGTCATTTTTGTATTCAGATATATTCAAACGAAGTAACTGATTTAAATTCGCCATTTTGGCAAGTAATCCCACTGGTATTAATTTGTTCAATCGTAAACAAAAAGTAAGATTGGACTATGATTAGAGATCCAAACGAACTAATAAAAACAATGTTCCATGTAAATTTATCTCAATCAGTATTCTATGCTATATATTGACTATATTGTTTTATTTATCTTTGCAATTTTGGCAGTTTTATTATTGTATTTGTTCGGCATTCTTGGAAAGAATTTTCGTTGTTGCTTACCGATATTTAGTTTTGTGTTAGCTAAAATAAGACAATGTCTAAAGATTCACATATTGATAGGGATTTAGATTTGTCCAATGCCAATAGAGGAGTATGGTTAGTAAAAGTACCTAAATATGTTGCAAATAGATGGGAAAAAGCTCCAAGCGATATGGAAGTTGGTAAATTGAAGATAACAAAGTAATGTGCTTTATATATCTGTAGTCGGTAATAATAATTGCAAAACATTGTGTTATAGGCAGCAGGGCCAAAAACCTCAAGTTTCTTTAACTCTGTCATCCCCTATTTTAAACTTAAGTGATTCAAATGAAGGCAGTATACCAAAGGACCACAGGCTAGACGTTTCTACCGTTACGCAGCAAACTTTAGGAGTGTTTTCTCATGTGATCCGTAAGTATTTTGTATTATGTAGGTGCAATGTGTTTTATCCCTTGAAAATCCTTAAATTGCAGAATATTGCATTTTTGTTTAAGCAACAAATATGGATTCTGTGATCCCAGAGACTGAAAAACTTTACATGGAGGGTAAGATTGTTCAAAAATTGGAATGTAGGCCATATGCAGATAACTGTTACATGAAACTGAAATTAGAGTCAATACGGAAAGCTTCATTACCAACTAGAAAAGTGCAACAATTGGAACGAGTTGTTCAAACTTATAAGCCTGTTTCAGATCACAAAAATAATGTAAGACATTTAATTTTGTTTAACTACTATCAAGTCTAAACTGTTGGTGAATTTATATCATTGGAAAACCATTCCCTATGACACAAAATTGTGCCAACAATTTATTCCTTGTTTAGTTATAATCAATAAATGTAGCACTTTAGGCTGTGAAAATGTTTAGTTTATTCTAAAAATCAATTCCAGATTGAATACATGGAAAGAAAAAAAGCCGAAGGGAAAAAAGCACGTGATGACAAGGATGCAGTGCTCGAAATGCTGTTTGCTGCTTTTGAAAAGCATCAGTACTACAATATTAAAGATTTGGTGAAAATTACTAAGCAACCAATTACCTACCTCAAAGAAATACTGAAGGAAGTTTGTAATTACAACCTCAAAAATCCACATAAGAACATGTGGGAATTGAAACCTGAATACAGGCACTATAAGCAGGCTGAAGATGCTGAAAGGAAAAAAGAAGATTCTGATGATGATTGATATTTTGTTAGTTGATTTAAAATTTAATTTAAAATATGAATGCATTACATTATCCAAATTCTTGTTGAATTACTTGCTAAAATTGCAGTCTGTTAGGTGATTAATTTTGGAATAAAATCTCAAACTGTGTTTGGTAATAATAGGTAGTAGTGCACTCCACCCATTTTTTTAAGTTGCAAAAGAATATTACATAGGAAAACAATATTCATCATTTCCAAAGTCGATGTAATAAATTTTTTAAAAAAACTTACAATTACTAGTATAGAAAATAATTTATACAATTTTAATACTTAATAGTGTATGTAATTTAATTCATTTTTTAAATGAAATTTGAAAAATCACTGCTGCCGTTTTAAATGTGTTTATAGGTATATTGTTTTTCACTCTATTTTCCCATAATTTTTGTATACGCGGCTCTACCTATCCTTAGAGATCTTTGGCCAACATTGTTCTGTGTTAGAAGTGTATTTCGTTATACCAATATAAATAATAAACTGTTTCTCTCAAAATAAAAGAAATGGTGATATTTTCAACCTTGTTTATAGGAAGAAACCCTGTCCTGTTTTTTGTATAAAGGTTAAACACCTTTCGCATTCAATTATTTATCAAAATCAAATTATTTATGATACTTTTTTTGTGGAAATAAAAAACAATTATCAGCCAAAGTTCAAACATTGTGAATGGTGTCGGAAAAACTAAATCACCTAGTTTTAATATATAATAAAAAATGAAAAACCTAATATATTTACTGTCGATTTCGTTGATATTGTTTGATTTTGTATTTTTATTGTTTTTTATATGTGCATTTTTTATAAATAAACTTTGGATTGTTTTAATAGCCTATTATTCTTTTGCCTCGTTTGTTTTTTACTTTAGTAAAGTATTTGACCAGTCTGCAACTACAGATGGTTGAGTGTGATTTTAAGTTATTTTTTGATTTTACGATTTCCATTTTATAGTATCTATTTAATTAAAAAGGGTGAAATATTTTCATAATGTAAATCCAATTTTTTTCTCTGCTTTTTTTAATGAAAATTTATCAGTTACTGCTGACATGAAAATAGGACTTCCAACACCAGTCATGTTAATAAATATATCACAAAGAACGAGATCCCGAGGTTAGTAAGAAACGTGTATAATTACGAAATAAAGTCACAAGATACAGATTTTTATATTCGTGTTTTAATATGGATCTTGAGTTGTCTGTGTAAAAAAATCAATTTTCAGTTACTGCCTTTTATTGCTCTTACCTAAGAGATAATATTTACTTAATAAAGAAACATAAATATCCCATTTTTTTGGAAAAATTGTTAGTTACAACTTTTTTCCTTTTCGATTGGTATATAAATAAGCAGTTCGTTGTTTTTAAGAAGCAATACTGGACAAGCGTTCCTTAAGTATGTTGAATGCGCCGGGATGCTAGTGTTATTTGTTAGCTGTTCTATTGGATTGTTGGTTCCTAAGTATCTCGGAAATAGTACGGAATATACCATTTTTCAAATTTTTAACTACATTTCAATTGGGTTTTTATCAAAATTTAATAAAATATCTACTAAGAGAAAGGCTATGCTGGATTTTTGCAGTTTTATTTTCCACGTTTTTATTAATACAGCTTTTAAAAAGTTTTTAATATTAAAGAAATTGTCTGTAGTAAGTCGACTTATTGGTAGAAAACTGAGATTGTTTTCGCGGATTGATTAGAATACTAAATTAATGGAAATATAAAAATGCAGAAACAACAATCAGTCAGAACATTTGGTACATCTTCACTAGAAAGTGCACTCTACGTCATATGCTTTACTGTCCAATAAGCATCTGATATTCGGAACTTTAGTAAATTAAACATAACACATTATCGGTCTATATTTAGTAAGTACGAGATCTTAATCAAAATCTGTTCATGTGATCGACTGATGTTCATGCCACTTTATTGCGTACCTGAACCTCGTTTTAATGCGTTTTAATGCTTTATTCATTATTATGAACTATATGTTGAAATTATGTTCTTCTATTATTATTAGGTAAGGTCACTGAAATTTGAATTGAAATTTGAAAACATGTAAAAGGTTTCAAAATTTGATCCCTTAATTATACGCAAACGATATAAATAATCATCCAAATAAATGTATTCATCCAAGCGAAAGACGCTAAACCTTTGATGCAATCTTAAGGTTTTTATATTGATAGACGCAACAAATATGTATTATATAACTACTCCAGAAACCGACACGATTGTTGACAATTGACAACAAACGTAAATTGGAAATAGCAGCTAAATGTATTTATAAGGAAAAATGTTTAACTGGCATTATGTCGAAAACTAAAAATATTCAGGACATACAAATTTACACAACAGGTGATGCAAATAAGATACGATGATAAAAGGAAGTTGTTCCTTTTGGATTTCTTAATTTCTTTTATTTAGCAAATAACTAAAAAAAACGATAGAAAATATTTTTAATTAATTATTTTAGTCATTCATTTATCTTAATTTTAATGAATAAAAAGTTATTGTCAAGAACACTGATTATCAGGTAACGAATTAAGCATTATTGCTTAAATTGAACAAGTAGCATGTACCCAAACCGTATTTTAATAGTGGCCCCTATTAGCGATTTTCATCCAAATTTAAATTTTTGTTTTTTAATATATGTTTTTGAGTCCAGCTTCTTTTTGCCCAAATTTGATTAAAGCTAAACTACATTTTCATCTATTAATACAACTATTGCACGTTCACACTGATTCCTCATACCTGTCAAATCCATTGTTTTTTTTTAAGTTAAGTTGAATTTAACCACTATGCTTTTTTACTAAGCGAAGCTTCGTATTTATACATGATGTCAAGTAAATGCCCCCCGTATGCAAAATTCAGCAGATAAAAAGTAGTGTAGTACGCACTTTTTTTTTCTTGCTTAAATTATCTGGTACGCATGTAGGTACATATAAGATGCACCCGTAGTAAAAGAGAACGCACCAATTAGGTTGCATGGCAATGATTATTTTGTTATCTTATCGGAAATATTTTATAAATATTTTTCTAATGTATAAGAAATAGTCTGAGGCGTCTCGTATTGCCGTAAACCACTGACAGTGGTTAGTTTTTAAATAATAACATCATTGGTGAGTGCAACACTGGTTTAAATTGATATTACCTTAAAAACTTATTGCCCGAGTTGATTGAGTATGTTACATTGACTTCAAATCATCATATACATCTTGCAATATTTGTGATTCCTTATAGATAATTTTTCTTTTATATATAATGTTATGTAGCTACTACAGTTAGCTACAATAAGTTACAAAAAGGAATATATCAGCAGAGGTCTTTAACGTTTGTTTTCCAAATTGGAGGACATACTCTTTGGAAGAAGCATTTTTTCTGTTAACTATTCACGATAACTTGACTAACTAATAAAGATAGAAGTGTGTCCTTGGAATTCTTAAAAATTTATGAAACTAACTTATTGTTCTTGCTAAAACTTCTAGCGCAATTAAAAATCTACTCTAGTACCTACTCTAGAGGTATTTTTTGGTGCGTTGGTTACTATTTAATTAAAGAATGCAAGAGGTCAAAAGCATAGTTCTTCTCTGAAATGGAAGGCTGTTAATTTATTTTTTAAATAATTTGATCCAATTGAAAAGCTCATATCGTAATATTTGCAATTTCAAGGGGTAAGGGGGCATTTCCGAACTTACTGGAAGCTGTAGTTCATTTTAGACCCCTTATTACCTTGTATATTGCTGTCGAGTTATTTTAAAACTTTTAAGTTTGTTATTTCATGTTCAATAAACAAGATTTTCGCATTTCGGATGACAACCATACTTTCTAATGTTTTCATTGTCAAATTTGAATTTTACTTAAAATATATTTTTTCAAAATTTCAAGTTCAGAGAAGAAACTAAGTCTTTAACTTATCTAATTTATAACTATTTGACTTTGCTTACCAAGTTTGTTATGTAAATTCATTATTCTGATATAGTGCGTATACTATGTAAATAATTACTTTTCTACGAGCGTGCCGAAAAGCATTTTCGTTTGCAAGGTTTTCCTCAGTAATGGGGGCAAGTACTTTTGCAAGTAATGATATCTGTGTTTGCGACATCTAAAATTGAAACAGTACGTCAATAAATTTGCGTATAAGTGTAAAATTGCCCAAAAGACTTGTAGTTCTTCATTGGACGTTAAAAATTTAAGAATATTATATTAAACATTAAACTTGAGTTAAATTTGTCAAAAAGTTATTAGTTTGCTTGACGTAGACTAGCTTACGACAATCAAAAATAACAATCCCGCCTTGATATTAATTTTATGGTAACAAGTTTTTGATAAAGTCAAGTCAAATAGATCTAAGGAGCAGTTATATGTCCTGAACAAAAAATTGGCTACAATAATAAAAAGAAAAAAAGATAAAATCAAGGGACACAATCGCTTTGGGCAGTGTGAAGAATTCTAAGATTTTTTTTATTCATAAAATGTGTTTTTATCACGTTCGTAGAAAAACAAGCGCCCCGAATTCCTGCGGAAACTGATACTTTTCGCATATTTTTGAAAACTGTATTTTGCCTAAGATATAAAAGATATGGAAAACATTACAAATTACAAATGTGAAAATATATATTTTTTTAATTCTTACGGAGGTTTCCTTTTCAGTTTGACTTGGAAAAATGATCTTTTTGTACCTAATAACACTTTTGGTGGTGACATTCGTCATATATTCCAGACGAGTTCACAGCTATTGGAAACGGAAAGGAATTATCCAAATGGAAAATCCCCACCTAATCTTTGGTAGTTATAAAGAATTGTTTCGACGCCAAATGTCTCCTCAAGATTTCGGAATAAAATTGTATAAGGAAGCTACCCGAAAAGGTTATAGATATTGGGGGCTCTACCAAATGTTTACGCCTGTATTGTTCGTTTTCGATTTAGATTTAATAAAGCGTGTTTTAATAAAAGATTTTGAATATTTCATGGAAAGGGGCGGGTATCATAATGAAAACGAACCGCTCACGGTGAACATGGCTACCGTCGACGGTACCAAATGGAGACCCCTACGTCAAAGGTTTTCTCCCAACTTTACTTCAGGTGAGGGTTTATAGTTATATATTTGTAGTATAGTAAACTTTTACAGGGAAAATGAAAATGATGTTCCAGACAATGGCGGCTTGTACCAACCCACTTGTAGACATGTTACAGGAATACGCCGATGAAGAGAGAACCGTTGAAATTAAAGACGAATTTTCTAGATTCACTACCGATGTTATCGGCAACGTTGTTTTCGGAATTGAATGTAACTCCATGAAGAATCCGGACTCGGAGTTTCGTGAATACGGAAGTCGCGCGTTCAAAATTAGCAGCAGAAAAAGATTTATCCTGCAGAAACTTCCGAATAGTCTCCTAAATTTGTTTGGTATTAGGCGGATCGATAAAGATGTGGAGGACTTTTTTAAGAATCTCGTGAAGAACAACATGGAATACCGAGAAAAGAACAACATATATCGCAAGGATTTTTTGCAAGTGATGACGGATTTAAAGAACCAAATTGCTCAGAATCCGGATGAACCGGAATTAACGTTGAATGACATAACGACCGAGTGTTTTATGTTCTTCGCCGCCGGTTTGGAAACTTCATCGACCGTAAGTACTTTCACTTTATATGAGTTGGCCGTTCACCAAGATATCCAAGAAAAACTTCGAAACCACATCAAGGACGTACTGGAAAGGCACGACGATAAGTACACATATGAAGCTTTCCAGGAATTGACTTATTTGGATAAATGTATTCATGGTAAGTGTTTCTTATATCCTATCTGTTTGAAACAAAAACCTTTACACTATGTTCATTATATCTATTTTAAAATTAATAATAAAAAATTTAATAATAAATTTAAATTTGTTTCGTTTCATACTTCACTGCTGACTTTATTGTAAATCATCAGTGCTAATAACAAAACAACGTAAAGACAAAAGTTGTTTAGATTCACTTATACTTTTAAAATACTATATTGTTATATACATACTGTATTGTAATTTAGTGGACGAATAATAAATTTCATATTAATTTTTCAAAGAAACTTCCACAGACTACAATAGTTCTATTGACAAAACTTATGGATTCTTCCTGCATCGGTTGATTATAAATCAAACTTGCTCGCCAGTCATTCTCTTGACTTCTTCAGAAAGTTTCAGGTATATGTGTGTAATGACGTTTGCTGGTCTAAATATATCCATCAATTCCTCCGACTAGAAACAATTGTTATATACATATCTGACGTTGATTTCCTTATAGAAGGGAATCTACTTTATTATTGTGTTTTGATATTTTTAAAATAAATAAATGCATGGCGATCAAAAACTGACATTAAAAATTTTAATGAAGAAATCGTTAAAATTCTTTTTTTTTTATAATTTTAACATATTGAGCACTAAATAAATATTTACTGTCGTTTGACAATTTTTTAGCAATTCTTATAAATCATGCCCCCATAATGAAATTATTATTACAAAAGTTTTTCATTTTTTTTTTTCAAAAATTGAACAAATTTTATTAAAAACATGCAAATGGCTAAAAACCCAATAGAAACGCTATTTTAAATGATCAATATATTTTTTTAAATATTATTTAAAAAATACATTTCTAGAAAAAATATATATTTTTAGGAAAAAAAAAACATTTTTCAGTCAGATGGCATAAAATATTGATTTCCAAACCCACAGCAAGCCAAAATAGTGACTTTTCGGTAGTTTTTTCGACATGTTTCATGGGCACAGCATTTTTAAAGTGAAAAACTTATTATGGCTAATATTTCTAAATCTACAAATAGACAACCTTACAGAGCCACCTTTTTCTTAAAAAATGTTATGTCGTTAATTTAATTTTTTGATCAGTCTGTATCAATTTTTGTTAAATATCACTTCAGACCACTAAATAATCCCAAATGTATAAAAAAATGCTTTCAGGGGTGTCAAATTTAAAAAAATGTCAGCAACGATAAGACTTAGACTTAGGAAAGTAGTTACTTGTCTACGAAAATATAAACTCCATGTATATATAATAATATAATACTTAAAAAGTATAAATGAATCCAAAGAAATGTTTTGGCAGATTCTGAGAAAAAGTATCATCCCAACTCAAGTAATCTGTTATATTTTAGAATCAATGAGAATTCATCCGGTAGCTACGCTACTTCCTCGTATTTGCACTCAACGCTACAAAATACCAGGCACTGACGTAGTTCTCGACAAAGGCGACGAAATAATGATTCCCCTCGCAGGAGTGCAATACGATCCAAAATATTTTCCCGAACCCGAAAAGTATGACCCTGAGCGATTTAATGAAGAATCGATTGCTTCCAGGCCCAGTATTACTTTTATACCATTCGGCGAAGGCCCCAGGCAGTGCATTGGTTGGTTTTTAAATATTCTGGGGGTACTATAGAGAAGGTCTTTACCAACTAGACCGCTTATCACATTTATTTCATTTTTTACCTACACAAAGTTATTCTGGTAAACCTTTTATTAAATTTTTATACTAAAAGAGGCAATATATAGCGTTTAACGGAGCGTGCTGGTTAACTTCTGCTCCTTAGGTCAAACAATTCGAAAGTTGAGAAAGTGACACATAGTTGGCACTGAAACCATTACTTATCATCTCCTTCAACTCCAGGATAGTAATTTTTTTACCTCAATAAGTTCTTCGTAAAGTTTTAACGGACTACAAGGCCGTATAATACGAATTCAATTATTTAGATTAATTTACAAGCATAATCGTCATAACTCACTGCATTTTGTTTTGTTTACAGGTTTGAGATTCGGCTTTCTACAGAGCAAAGTTGGAATAGCAGCAATCATAAAAAATTTTAAAGTAACGCTTAATAAAAAGACCATCCATCCGTTAGAAATCGTAGCAGATAGTTTCATACCATCAGCGAAAGGTGGCGTTTGGTTAAATTTCGAGAGAATATAATCAGAATTCGTGCTCGTAATAGAACGATATTTGAAAAATATGATTTTATCTTTATCTAATATTGCAAGTGTTTTATTTATACTTGGCTGCTGTCAAAATTCAAGTTGTCTGGCTGTTGATAATTGATTCCGCAGCATCATCATCATGATGGGTCTGTGTTTTTATTGGTTGCGGTGAAACAATGTGTAACAAAAAGAGTTTGGTGTCTCATTTTGATTTTAACTTTCCGAAACGTGTACTCTATCCACGGAAGAAGGTCTGCATCGTACGGGAAAGACTTCTTCTTCAAAAAAGATTAGAAATTAATTTTAGGAAAATATCTACGATAATTCCGTTTTTAATTTCGGACATATGATTGTGATATCATTTTTTGTATTTATAAGAAAAATTAGAGCTGTAATTACATTGTAAAAAAGATCATTAATAACACTTTTTTTTAATTATCGCTTATAAAATCTACAAATAAAATGATTTATTTTGGCATATCGTGCACATTCGCGCATTCGCCATTGTGTCAAGAAAAAAATTATGTTGGCCCAAATGATCAATATCTGCATACAGGGTTATATCTGAAATGTTGGTTACTTATGTAAGCCAATATGAGCTACTTATGTAAAATATTTTTGCCTTGCGGTGTTGCCAGATGTACTGTTAACATATCAACTTTTGTTTTATAATGGAACACCCTGTATATTATTACATTTTTAGATTCTGCGAAACATTCTGGAATTTTTCTATGTAAAATGCGTCTCTTGAACTTTTTCGGAGATAAAAACTAGTCTTTAAGAAATTTCGTAACAAACAACCCGATATTAAATAATAATTTTTTCGCAACCCGTACAACTAAACACCTGAATTTTTGGTTGCGGTCCCTATTCAATTGCTTTACCAGAGAGAGAACTAACTTATCGCGTACAGGGCGTCCATAAGATAAGGCCTACTGGGCAAGATTTAAAAATCCATGATACGTAGACATTTTAAATGGAACACCCCATATTTTATATTGGTACGGAAATGAGTAATTAATTTGTCATCTAAAAGTACCAACCTATGGTATATCTATTTTCACTTGTTTTCGAGTTATAAGCAAAAAACCAGAACATGGCAATTAAAGCGAATTAAAGTAATCACATCTCATTTGGGTAGCAGGCTCTGGTGAAGTTGAATATCAAATAATTTATAATAATAAACTTATATCCACATTTCTCACCAATGTTTGAGAAAAAGTTTAAAAGAATTGAAGCAAATTTTCGAAACCTGCGAAGAAGGCAACTTCCAATACCTGTTACAAACTCAAAAAAAAGTGAAACTAACGTTTTAGCATATTTTCACGCATTTCCACATGCGTCTATTCTGAGCGCTAAGTGATTTAAGCATACCTTGCTTGTCCATTCAACGGATATTGAATAGACGTGATATGCATAATTACAGAATAATTACATTACAATCTCTTATCCCCTGTCATTAGAAAATCCAAATTTGCACGAGAAAAGCGATTTCAACATACATTTAGTTTCAACGTGTTTTGTTTGATGATGTATAATAAAATTGATTTTTGTATCTACAACGAGAATTTGAACCATGAAATATCTGTAGCGTAACATGGCTACTTGATGGAGCTCCGGCCCGTTGCACAAATAGAGTACGTAAGTACAATCATGTTTGAAAACCGATGGATAAAGCGTTTAGGTCCATGGAACTGGCAACCGCGTTCGCCAGATATTACACCGGTTGATGCTTACTTTTGGGGCGTTATTAAAGAAAGAGTGTATACAACTCCAGTTGGAACAATATATGATTTAGAACGCCGTGTCGGACAGGCTTTTCAACAACTTGATCCAAACTAAATTCAAAGGTCCAATGTTATGAACTCAATTCATGGATATCTTAGAGCAGTAGGTCATTTCAAGCATAATATCTAGTTGTATGTAATTAAAAACAATTTAAAACTGTTCCATTTAAAATTCCCACGTAAGATGGATTTTTAAGACTTGAACATTGGCCCCTATCTTATGAACGCCCTGTATGCGATAAGTTAATTCTCATACTATATCATGGTGAAGCAATTTAATAGGGAACCCGAACCAAATATTCAAGTGTTTAGCTGTACATGTTGCCAAAAAATATTATTTTATATCGGTTTGTTTGTTACCAAATTCTTAAATAGCAGTTTTTATCTCCGAAAATGTTCAAGATAGGTATAGTACGTTTTATATAAAATGGATTCCAGAATGTTTCGCAGAATCTAAAAATGTAATAATATACAGGGTATTCTATTTAAAAAACGACAGTTACGTTACGAGTATATCTCACAACACCGCATAGTCAAAAATATTTACATGGGTAGCTCCTATTCGCTTGTAGAAGTAACCAACATTTCAGGTTTTTACCGTAAGTCATTCACCATAAAGGATACTAATAGGACACTTACCGTAAATAACCCTGTATATAGTTTAATATTATGTTAAATTTTGTTCTTTATAGTGCATTGTTTGAAGGATTTATAATTTGTAGAATTTAGTGCATTTTTCAAAGTTTCACAGAATGATCAATTTGATTTGATCAATATCGTGCATACGATACACAGTGAGCCAGGGAAACCCTAGGTGTTTGACTAGTTTGACTAAAACAAAATATCGTTATCCGATTTTTTAAAATATTTAAGTTTGTTTACTTGAAAGTATCATTCAATTAAGCACTTTGCTCTGTTTTTGTTACAATTTTTGCGTTAGTCATAGCTCTAAAAAGTGAAACCATTGCTTTGCAATAAGCGCGTTCATTTATGGTTTTGATTTATAATGTCAAAAGAGCATGAAAATCCATAGTAAACAAAAGTTATGACAATACATTTTATTATTGAAATACCAAAAATAATAACAATGTCTTACATGAATCAAACTTAGGTTACACTATTGCTCTATAAAAAAAGAAAACAAAATTAATAGGTCAAAACGTATAACGAAAAACATTTTTCGCCGTTTTTTTGCCCACCCGGCAAATTTTTAGAAAATTATTTTTGTAAAATGGAGTAGGTGGGAGCAAGATTGTTTCTTACACATAACACCACAATATATATATACTTTAATATATAGTATCAACAGCATTCCTAAATTATGCTAAAATTGTAACATATTGCTTAATAAATTAAAAACTTATTTTTTGGGAGATTTTTTTAATATGACTCAAAACAAATTAGAATTTTTTAAGGATCATTGCCTTTTAGAGTAATTTACTTAAAATTTTAATTAATTAATTAAAAAAAATTAATTTACTAAAATTTGTCTCAAAACTTACCTTTACTGGCTTCCTCCATTTGGAATTTTGTCAAAAGCTACTTTTCACACAAAAAATTGTATAAATAAAACATTCATGACACTGACAACAAACATTACAAAATTGTTGTTGACGTTTCCATGGTAACTAGACGACTTAAATCGCTTGTTTTGTGAAGGTTCATGTCCTAATTAATTAGTGTGCGATAAGGAAGTCATTCATTGTACGAAATGTATTATGGGTTCATTTCAGTAGTTTGGGCTTTCCCTGGCCCACCGTACTATACTTCTTCTTTATGGGTACGTATTTGCAAAACAACACTCAGCTCAATCAGCTAAAAGTATCTGAAACAACCGAAACAATATAATTGACGTTTTAGAGTGACCCTTTCCGCTCGCTTGAGTATTTTAGAGTAGGGACAAGAAAAAGCAATATTATGTAGATTAAAAATTATTTATACTATTAAAAAAATGTCTTCAAAAACGCATTTTTAACAATTTTATAAATCGTTAATACCCATTAATATCAGATAATGAATCTATAACACATAAAATCCCGCCCAACCTATTTAACCTGTTCAAACCCTCACTTGCTACGCTTATAAAAAAGAACCACCTCGCTCCCCTTAAAAAACGGCACGTGCCATATACGTTTCCACTTGACACGGACGAAAAAAAAAAGTTGAAAAAAAAACCACCAAACCCATACGCAAAACAAATTAAAAAAGATCCATCTAGCCCCCTTTGCCGGTCGATTTCCGGGTGATGCAGCCAGTTTCTACGAGGGTAAAAAACACCCCTCGCAGGCCGGCGTGCCAGCGTCCTTATATTCGTTTTTCCCCCTCGCCCCATTTTTTACGTCTACGTATATAGTTTCAGAATTTCTGCCGCCCTTATGTGCGCACTTTGTATATATAAGCACGCTTGGGGCACGTACCATCCGCCGAAAATAACTCACCCTTATTTTTGGCCAGACACGTTTTATGTTCGAAGGAAAAAGAAAAATGGACACGAATTTAAATAGATACGGCGAGAGCTGGCGTTAATATCCGTGCATGAAAATCTGTAATTTTTAAATGCAAAGTGAATGTTCTATTTTATTTTTACCATTGCTATCAATAATAAAAAGAATATTTTTAGTTATGGCAGATCGTATCTAAAATTAAGTAAAATAAGTAAAACATAAAAATACTTATTTAAAATAAACTAAAAATACATAAATGTAGAATTATAAAACTTACATCTAATTTAAAGGGGCGTGTAATTGTTTCAATGTTCGGCGAAAAAGATGTACCTAAACATCACTAAGCTCCTGAGACACACTACCTAAATCAGTACTAAATAATTTATTGTTTTGTATTGTATATTTGTAACATTACATTGATACCGCAAAAATCTTTTCCGCAGCTTTTAGTTTTATCAATATGTAGTACGGATTCTAGTGCTATCTACATTTGTGAGGCATATTCGGGTTTGGATAAAACCAGAAAATTGTATAAGTTATGGTATTAATTTGAAAACTTATTTTTTTCTAATTGCAATTTCACTAAATTGTTTATGATATGGCTAAAACACTTGAAAAGGGTAAAGAGGTAATGAACCATTGCAAGAATAATAATAGTAAGCATACTATGTGACAAGTTAATTGGCACAAATTTACTTGGCACAAGCGGAGCGAGAGCCTTTACTACGCTAGAAAGTTTACCAAACATGTTGCATACTATACTTTTTCTGCTACCGTTAGTTTTTTAGTATATTTTTGCAAAACATCACGAACACATTCACTGACATGACGGTCAGAATTGACAAACGTCAAAATTCAATCCGTGGGGTAATATCTCCGAAAACATCCGATTGCTCCCAAACCCAACTAACCAAGTGGCTCAGATCCGTGGAAAACGTAACTGACGTGGTAAAATGACATTTTAGGTATTTGACAGAAGGGAGTAAAAAAAATTGTTAATCTTATTGTAATCCCAACATCTCAATAATGCCAAATATCATTCTTAATATCGTATATAATACTTGCGAAAGCAAAAGCAATAGGACACGAATTAATGCCTTCTGGTTTTAAAAAAATTATAAAAGGCTTAATGCATTAAGGGAGAAAAGAATTGTGATGAAAACTTGGAATTTAAATAAAAATTTATAAAATGTTTAAAAAACTATAATGGTAAATAAAACTTTTCAGTTATCAGAACGATTGTAAACGAAAAAAGACTGTTTCTGTTTGTTTTGTAAATGCTTCTAAAAATTTAA